AAAGAAAATGGGGAGGGGGGGGGGACGGCGAGTCAACATTGTTTCATGGACATGCTCATAACACATTTTGATTTGAAACAACTAAAAAGCATCAAACAACCAGAATTTCAGAAAGGATGAAAGACAAATATTCCTAGGAGCTGATTCTTCAAACATATTTTTGGTTCACACTTTCGAAGCATTATGATGGAGGTTTCTTGTAATAATTTTTTATAAAAGATGAGGCACAAACTTGTTTTTTTCGTTCCCCCTCCCCCTTATTCATTCCTTAAAATAAACATGGATTCATAAAAAATTATATACCTGTAGTATTGCATTTATCAGAGAAGAATAATGAGAACCAGTAATGTCCCCCGTCAGACTTCATTTAATTTTTTTAAAATTTACGTTTAGTTTGTGTTTCACACGTAATAGTAAAAAATAAATTTGAAAAATAAAAGATTTAAAAAAAATGTTTGTTCTATGCTCAATAATGCCCGAATTGTTAGATTTGTGGAACCGAACTTGTGTCTCATGTATTTATTTGCATGGACGGATATATGTACATATTTTGTTTAGGCGATACGAGATACCGGAAGCTCGGTTTATATGATCGTTTGTTTTCAGTATATCTGCATGCACTCATACATTTTTGACTTTGGACTTTTATTATTAAACTATTAGAAAGAGAAGGTATAAAAAAAAATCAATTTAGAAGTATATAAAAGGCGGAAGACGATCTACTCATACATTCATCTTTTGTGGAAATTATCGTCACTGATATTATTAATTTGCACGCATCGTGGCTATTCTCCTTAAAGGATTGAAATCATGAGGTATCAATACCACGTACAAATGAAAAAATGAGAATTTTATGAAAGAAAAATCAATATTTATTTGTCCATGAAATGTTTCACTATAAGTTTAATTCAGATAATTAACTATGAGGGTCTAATAGAAATTCCGTCCAAGAGGGCAAATTGTCGATTCGACAGCGTTCAGCATTTCAACCGGATTTGTTAGTTCTTTTTTTCACATTTTTGATCGCTAAAACTTGAATTCCTCCCACTGCACGACACGTGAGGGAGTTTATCGCTTTCCAATGCAAGTTTCTTTTATCACACAGATTGAGGAGCACCGGATATTTCACACTAATCTCAAGACCAAGAGAGGAGGGAAACAAATGATTTCGAGAAGTAAATCCGTTAACAAAACTTTGAGCCTCCTAAGCTCGTGAAGGAAAACATTGGAATGAAAACCCCTACTGAAAGAAGCTTATGCAACGGGCCTTACACGGAATTAGGGCGATAGTTAGGTCTTCCGAACTGAGCTCTCGCTCTCCTTTGATTGTGGCTTTAAAGGCTTAGGTCTCGAGCTGTCAGATTTATTACTCTTTCTCGAAATAAGTTGTAAGCCTCGTAGCAAAAAGAAAGTGAAACGCAAAGCTTCCTCTCCATTTGAGGTTGTTTCAGGAATAATCTGTAGTGCACACTCCACTGAGTCCAACACTCCAGCCACAGTGGCCCAGAGTGGAATGTTGGGTGTTTAAGTTAAACAATGATGGTGAAACTCCCAAACAACTCATCTCGTTTGCGATGTTTTAAAATTTCCGCTTCCTCTTTCTTCTTTATTGGAATGTGGATGTGTAGAAGGCAATTAGTCAAATCAGGCATTTTATCAAATGCCTAGGCCGGTAATCTAATTTCGACAGTTTACGGAATTCTGTAAATTTATGGCGAGGAGTTCACGGGTTTTCAATATTTGGAAAAGAATAAATCTTCAAATCCGCGAACTCTCCTTGTTCCCTCCTTTATACATGCCTTTAATACATTTAAATGTTAAGATTTTGAAAAACTTTATGTTTTATGACGTGCTGCAATTTTCATAAGGAATGTGCATTCAGGATCTTAAAATTGTTTAAAATACTATTTTATGCTGCATATTTTTACAGAGAATTTTTTCTCACAGGAGCAAAGAATTATTTGTCTAAAATTAGGGTAGAAAATCAAAATTTCAATCTAAGTAAGAATATTTGACTCTTTCCCTAGGCATTTGACAAAATGTCTGATTTGACCTATTGTACTATTTGCCTTCAACAGATACGTTCCTCGTGTGGAGAAAAACTATTAATTTAAATAGATGATTACAAAACTTAAATTGTACCACAATTTTAATGTGTAAGACAACCTTTTTCAATTTATGTTTCAGCTGAATTTTTAGGAGACATCGCCGTGCCCAATGTAAATTACGAAATCCAACTAGATCTGCAAGCAAGCAAGCATAAGAACAAAACTTTGCATGACGAAATTGAAAAGTACAAGAAAGAGGTGCTGTTCGAGGGGCTCCAGGTTGAGGAGGAAGGTCTGACGTTCGTTCAGCGGCAAAAAGAGAGACATCTGCAGCAAAGACTGAGAGACATGTTCGGCACAACTTCGACGCGTTCGCCTATGACGAGGATGGAGCCCGCTCCATACGTAAAGGAAACCATAATGGATTACAATGAGACGAGTTACAGCGTGGAGGACGGTAAACTAACAAGGCGGATCAGAGCAACCCGGAAGAATTCTAAAGATCCTAAGGATTTCCGGAGAATAATTAGGAAAATGAGACGCCAAGCAAAGCTCCGTCACAAGTCCAAAGGAGTGTAAGTCTAACACTCATAAATCGCTAGAATTTTCTCACTTTCCAATAAAAACATAAATATGACTGAGCTGCAGACAGATCCTTAGGGTGGATCCTCAGCTTTTGCGCAATGCACATTGGCGGATCCAGAAAATTGGCAGCATTGTCTCTCTCCATTTAAACCTATGGAAATGTATCGATTCTTGGAGGGGCCAGGTGCTTTGACAAGAATCGATTAATTAATATAGGTTTAAATGGAGGGAGTCCTGTGTTGCCAAATTGCTAGATCCGCCTCTGGCAATGCAATTTTTTGAGCACGACCGAAAATTCGAAAAGAATGGGTCTTTTTAATGGGTCATCCCCTTTAACGCTGTGCAACTTCAAGCTTAGTGCCACAAGCTTAGTGCCCCTCAAACTCTAGTACTTTGGCCCTGTGACCCACTCGCCCAGTTCTAAGATACGATGTGCAGGTAATTCACCTTCCACCTGGGGACAGCAACATTTCTGTATGTTTTTTGACGTTTCCTATCATTTTCTCCCTTAGACTAAGACAACCACCGGGTGATTACCACCTGTTTCAATCGACATGATTGCTTAATTTTCCCTCTGTCCTCTTTGTCTATCGCTTTGTACATAAACTTCAATAACCAGTCCCAGCCGGCTGTTCCCGCATACCAATGGCTAAAGTGCAAAACCACGTATTTCCGATTGCAACTTTGTAGAGGTTGCCATAGTTTTTCTTCTCTGTGGGAAACCAGTTAACGTAATGTCTTAAAAACTTTCTTAATTTTTCTTTTAAGTCAGCAGAATATTCTGCATACATTTCGTGCTTTGATGTCGGGGTGTTTCTCCTCAAAGAAAAAACAGAAAAATAGGAGCAGACACTTGGAAACAGCACAATGGAGGTACGTGGTTTCACACTTTGGCCATCGATAGATTTAGAGTACCTATACGGGAGAGTATTGCCATCACAATCCCATACTACAGAAAAAGTGTGCCGCTCTTTGATTGGTCGGCTATCATGGAGCCCCAAAGTTGGGCCAATGTAAACAAACAAGATGGAGGAAAAGTTCTACAGACCTCTAGACTTGATTTTAAGTGTGATAGAAATTTTTTTGTATCCAACTTCTAAATTGAGTTCGGATCGAACTTAGATGAATATTTTTGACGAAAATTAAGCTTTGAGTGTGATTATCATTAATTTCTCAGCCGATAATGCGTGTTCCTCTGGGTCGGGTTTGTTTACATTGGTCGAACTTTGGAGCTCCATGATAGCCTAATACTGATGAAGCAATCATAGAGCGGCACAGAGATGGCAATACTCTACCGTATACAGGTGCTCTTAGAATCATGAGTGAACTTGGCTCCTTTTGCAGATTCCAGCGCGGGAAGAGAACGAGGAAACTGGATGGGAAACGAGAGACATGGGAAAAATTGAAGAAGGCGAGGGAGATCCCAGAATCGCCGGCACTGGAGGCGGAGATGATGGAGGAAGGACACTTGGCGGCGGAGCTGGAGATGGGCGGCGGGGCGCGGCACCGGCACACGCGGGCGGCGACGGCGAAAAAGGAGCGGATCTGGGACTTCGGGGTCATCCCTTACGAGATCGACGGGAACTTCAGCGGAGTGCACAAGGCTCTCTTCAAACAAGCCATGCGTCATTGGGAGAACTTCACCTGCGTCAAATTCGTCGAACGGAACCCCGTCGAGCATCCCAACTACATCCTCTTCACTGAACGTCCTTGTGGGTAAATATTTTAATTTATTCACGAATACCTTCCTTTTAAATACTCCATGCTTCCGGGCGAGGGGCGAGGGGATGTTTTCCGGAAAAAGAAGGGTATACATGTTGCAGCCAAAAAGAGACAGATCAAGCATTTAGGGAAATAGTCAAATTGACCGCGTTAAAGAGATACGAACCAAGCCACATCAGCGATTGCCAAATTTAACTGTGTAGTTTAATTTTTAACATGAAAATGGATAAGTGGATTTTCGTGAAAATTGCAGTGACTTTTTTGTATAGTATAAAATCCTTAAAGTTCCTTAAAATTTTCAATGGGATCTGCGCACAAGTTTTCCTGCACGGAATAAAAATTCCTGTTCAATTTGGCAATATCTGATGTGGCTTGATTTCTCTCTGCTAGACGCGATCCATATATTCTAACTTGGATTGAAATACTTATGATTTCGCTAATTTTAGATAAAATTATACGCTGCCTTTAAGAGAAAAAAACTCCATTCAAAAATGTGCGTCATAGGCGGTTCCAATAACTTCAAAAGCGGGGGGCAAAATTTTAGCATTCTCCCTTCTTCTTTCCTGCGTCTTTTTCTCTTTCTCCCCTTTTTCTTCCTCCGTGTTTCGGGGGAAGGGGGGAGGGGGGTTGCACGCCCCATACGTCCCTCTTTCGATCCGCCTATGATGTGCATTATACAGTGGTGCCTTCAATGACTGCAGGAAAAGTATCGATTGTTTAAGGACTTAATCGGATTGCGATGATATTTTGATCGAGTTGGACGAAATTGCTTGAAAAAGTAGTATTACAACCAGACTTTATTGGAGTTTAATCATATCCCACAAAGGTTGATAAAACATTTCGATACTACTAATACTAATAAGTCGCTCTTATAGCGCTTATACGCGCTCTGCGACGCCCAACCCCCACTGACAGCGATCTTACCAGAGCTCCTTCGGCTGATCGCATCTCCTCATTTCCTGCCTTATTCCCTCAATCCACGATTTGGCAGGGCGTCCTCTACGTTTTCTGCCCCCCCCCAAAAAAAAATTAAAAATTCGGATAACTTTGACAAATTTTGAAGAAATGACAATGCAGAGTAAAGTTTAAGGATTTTTTTTGTGTGGCAAATTCTAAAGCAGTGTCCGAAACTCACAGGCGCCAACGCGCCAAATGCGCCTAAAAAATTGGCAATGGCGCCTAAAAAATCGGCAATGGCGCCAAAAAAATGAAGGCTCTGCGCTAACGTGGCCCCTGAAAATCTGGATTTTCAGGGGAAGTCACATAAAGAAAGAAAAACAAATCTATTTGAATTAAAAAAACTTAGAATTTCCAGCACTACAAGTGATAGCTTTTTCTATTCTTCACGATTTCATTCTTAGTGCTTTTGTCTTTCTCGAGTTACATCTACTTACTAGTTCTGTTAAAAAAACATATTGCGTCTACCTTTTCACTTAATGCGCCGTAATATAGGCAAAAAGTCAATTTGGCCCCTAAAAAATCTTCAATGGCGCCTAAAAATCGGGCTTGATGCGCCACATGGCTCCCAAAACTCAAAGGTGAGTTTCGAACACTATTCTAAAGTCAATGTTGCCAAGTTGTGCAACATTATGAACTGCGCAAAACTTAAGTTATGCGAAACAGTGATGCAGCCGATGAGAGAAGGGGAGCACGGGCAAGTTTCCTGGAAATCGTTAGGAACGATTCAATGCTCTTGTTGTCGGGTACCTGGGACCATTTAAAATTAATTTCGCAACTCAACTCTCACAGCGATGCAGTTATCGAGTATCGAGGGAAATCCGCGCTGGCGGGTGGTTTGAGTTCGAGCTCGGCGCATGTGTGCAACTCCGCAACGCGCATCTGAATAATGCACATTTCGAATTGCCTCCTCTTTCGCGCCCGGCACAGATGCAAATAATGTGCATAAATGCTCCCTGCAAATGCTTCAATACTCACTAGAAATAGGTTTATTGCCCCCCAGCTCCTCCTGGGCCGCATGCGAAATTCTTCGGAACGGGGAAACGGGGAAATGATTAAAACATAACTTATCCGCCGTCTAGTTGTTAGGGCGATTTTTCGTGATACCGCTTTCTGCTCCCGCCCTTGTTTCCCTCACCAGAAAACTTGCTGTTGTAGCTAGAGAGTTCGATTAATTGTTGTTTTATTTCACACGCTGTGCGTTTTAGAATTTCCCTGTTGATTTCATCGCGAGGGAGTCAGGGTTGCCACAGTCAGGGAATACCGGGAAAACCGGGAAATGTCAGGGAAAACGACGAAAATGTCAAGGAAAATTTGTCACCTTCATTTGCTTCCTAAAATGGGTTTTTGATTTCGAACAACAAATTTTGCCTGAAAACTATTTTCAATTATGTCTTCTTAACCACCCGTCACATCTTCAATTGTCAGGGAATTTCACCAGAATTTATCAGGGGAATCCAGGAAATGTCCTGGAAATGTCAGAGAATTCCATTTTCCAAATTCTGTGGCAACCCTGGGGAGTAGAAGGAGTGCAGGTACTTTTTTTTATAGTAAATCGTGCTTGTGACATAGCCAGTCGTTGGCTTCATTTCACCGAATAGGCACAAACAGCTCTCACGCGTTGGTATAGTCGCATCCTCAAAAATTGAAGGGGCTCTGACGGCGAATCCTCCGTGGAGGTCAACAATAGCTCACGCAGGTGACTCGAGTTGGCTGTTTATTACAAACAACATTATTATTTCAACAAAAGGGCATGAATTCGATGATATTTAGGAACTGGCCCTGGCTTCAGTGGTCTGAGGTTCTGGTCTTGATTCCCATTTCGCAGCTAATCAGGTTCCGTTTCTGTTTCGGTTCCGAATAATTTGCACTGAAATAAAAGTTTCCTCGTCATCGAAACTCCAAACAAACTTGCAATAAACTTTCATAATGCAGATATGAAGGTAAACAACCCAGCTGTATAGAACGGAATAAAATAATTTAATGGAAAAGCATAATTATTACGAGGAATTTCAATAGTAAATATCACAAACACAAGAAATGAGATAACAACGTAGCAACGTCAGTAAGAATGAGGTAAAAAAACTGTCCATTGTAAATATCTGTATTCAAAATTTAGCATCGGCACCATAGAATCTTGAAACCTGGATTTGGGTGGCTTAATTTTAGTTCCGGGTTCTAATACATCATTTTCCAAGTTCCGATTCTTGGTTTGTGAAAACATCAGGTTCCAGGTTATATAGATAATTGCTACTTTTTTCACATATGTTGATAAGAAAAAAACACTATAATGGAATTTGCAACATACTCATCTCTACTTACTCCTTAGAGCACTACCACAATATTGCATTAAATAATTTGATCCTCAGTATCTGGATACTGGCACAGCTACGATTTAGTTGAACTTTTTTGAAGCTTCAAGTAATGAACTTACTCTTGGGGGGTAAAATCTTTCGAATCACTGATCAAAGTCTGTCTTGTCGCAAGGAGTAATTTTATTCGGAATATGACCTTAATATGCCAGGCGAATCATGCTATACATCTCTGCGAGAGGCATTTTGCATTTTCTTTTCATCTCACGATGCACAGCAGTTTCAATCTATGTTCAGTTCATATTCCATTCAATCTTCCACGCGTGGAGCTGTAAGTCTGCTGCCGTTAACACGAAACATAGTAGGCCTGCTCTGTTCTCGTAAAATCCCCTCCCCTGTGCTGTACACCGGGTGCTCAAGAGGCGTATTTCCAATTTTGAAAGGAGCCCCTTAGCGTCACCGTTGCACGAGTATTAAATTTAGCTTATGCGAGACCGAAAATCAAATGCTATCCTCTTGTATCGAAGTTAATGAATTGCCCTCTTCATATGATGCATAGTAATCGGATGTAGGCAACCAATATAGCACATTAAACTATCTCTTACACGTGTGAATTACAATCAAACATGGGTCAGATTTAATCGATATGAGATTTTATCCCCTGCTACCTAATTGATCATGTGAAGTAAAATCGATCGCGATAATAAACCAGATCATCATCTAAATTTATAGATAATTATCGGCATTCGATTTTCAAAAGAGAAGTAGCTAGAGAATGCTTTTCGAGACTTCGTATTTTTCACCTCGTTTGCTGATGACAAAAAAGAGGGACTGCACGGTTTTCGCTCGAGGAAAAAATGGACAACAATTTTTAAATTAGCTTTAAGGCTTTTTATTTCTAATGCCACCTTCGACATAGAAAACCTTCAATGAAAATCAAATCCATTGATTCACATTCTTACTGAAACAAAATGACTTGATGTTCATACGTGTGCGGTTACTCGACATATCGATGGCCAAAGTGTAAAACCATGTATCTCCATGGCAGTGTCTCAAAATTTCCGCTCCTATTATATTTTTTCGGAGAGGGACAAGCCAGCCATATAGCCTGAAATTCTTGCAGAAGAATCTGGTACCAGAGAAGAAAAATCAAAGAGGTTTTCAAGAAATTACATTGCGAAGAAAAAATAAACTACGACAGGAAGTCTGCAAGATCGCAAACGGAGATACGTGATTTTGCACTTTGGTCATCGATATGAACATCGTTCTCATATGAGTTGCTCCTCACGTTCGAACTGGAGGCTTGAAAGAGTTTCATCGAATATCCCAACTTGCATCACTGGCCGGTGAAAAGGCTTGAAAAGGCTGAAATAGGCATCAATGAGTCCCTTTGAGCCCTCTAGTTTAAGAGAGAAGAAGAGCCTGCATTGAGAGGGATATTGAAACAGCACCGTAGATTAATTACTTACAACATCCAATTTTAACCATCAAGGGACGGATGCAAGCGAATTTCATACGTCAACCTGTTTAGGTACTGATCAGTAAATAAATTACTGCAATTATGTCGAGCGAAAGCAACTTGTATTTTCAATACCTTGATTTGTATCACGAATAATGAGCTATCGTAAAGCTTATAAAGCCGTTTGCTCACAGTGAAGAGCAGTTAATGTCCGCACTTTGTCTCCTAGCATCAGAATTGAATGGATGAATGAAATTTAGTACTAAGTACCTACGTGTTTCTATACATGGTTGTGGTTGTTAATAATTATTTTCCGAAAAGCATTCTCAGGAACATTTTAAAAATGGGAAAGGGAGGGAGGGGGTATATATGCGTGTCTGTGTATGACATCAATTTTCACGTTTAATGACAATCTCATTTTGCACGACCTCTTTACTCAGGCAGGCCTCATTCTGACCACTCAACTTGTTTTCTCTTTCTTTGTCACTGTTCGTTCTACCGTTCCACTCGCCCAGTTTCTTTGATTTTTACGGACATCGACAGGTGATAGTCTCTAAATGAGCTTGCTCTAAATCTGTCCCTAAATGATTTTGAAAATATGACCCAGTTTTTTTTTTTATATGACGTGATAAAGTTGTGAACTCTCCCACTTAAACAATGTAAAAGAATGGCCATTTTTTGTCACAGTTCGTTTTGAACATCTGCATGACCGATTTTCATTATTTTTGTGGCTATCGACAGGAGATAGCTCCTGGTGAAGCCCACTTTATTTTTATTGCATTTTGCAATAAGGAACCACTATCTCGGGCTCTCCCATAAAAGAACATATCTGCATAGGGAAACCAATGGCATGTATGTTGTTTCTAAGATGGGCCAGAAATAGTGGTTCCTTATTGGTTTATATCCAATTTACGGTATGCGCCGCAGAGTACGCTAAGCGCTCTCTGGGGGTTGGGCCACGTAGCGGCCAGGGGGCGTATCCCACGTGTGCACATATGACTTCTCAGCAAATAATCCGTAAATGTAATCCTCTCTCTCCCTCCCTTAATCATATATAATATATTTTTTAAAAAAAATTTTGAGTTGCAATCATGAACAACCTTGCTCTTGTTTGATTTGTTTGCTAGATGCTGCTCGTATGTCGGCAAGAAACCAGGAACCGGTGCCCAAGCTATCTCTATAGGGAAAAACTGTGATAAATTTGGAATTGTTGTGCACGAATTAGGTCACGTGGTTGGATTTTGGCATGAGCACACTCGACCCGATCGGGACAGCAACGTACTTATAATACGTGATAATATCATACCAGGTGAGCATTTTGTACTTACTCGTTGAGTCGTTGACGCTCATAGCTCGTGCGCCTTCAATTCAAAGATGAGGCAACACCCACACATACCAATTTATGTTGACCATCAACTGTTGTTGTTGTTGTTTACCATTGATGTTGCATGCTCCAATTACTGATTATTTTCGAAATTTCTATGCATATATATTATAAAGCAAATTAAATTCTCACAAGCAAGACTGCCGTGCTAAGGAAAAACGCCGTAGGAGCCTTCAGCCGTTGCCAAATTTCCTCCGATAAAAACCGAAATTACTGAGAAAATCGTGACTTTTATTTTCCAAAAATTTCAGACAGTTTTGTACGCCATTTAATCTAACAAATCTGAGAATTTCAAGGGAAAACGTGCGTGAATGTTTTCAAAAATACAAGGTTTATCTAGGGAAATTTGGCAACTCTCGAATGTTCATACGGCGTTCTTCCTTAGCACGGCAGTAATGGTGCATACGTTGTTTATAAACTGAGCCAGAAATTGCAGATCCTCATATTAAAATGTGGTCCAATTCTGCCAACGCACGTGTCTCAACGTTTTGTGAAAACGTGGCAATATAATAAGAGCTACTCAATTTATTTTGATGAGCACCAACCTCGCTCCGAGACGTTCATGTAAAATTAAGCGAGACACGAGTTTCTCAGTTTCTCGCAAATCTCCGAACAAAAGGAGCTTGTTTCCTATTTTCCCCGGAGGGATGTCGAAGGAGCCGAGCCGCGTTGCTTGATCACTCGAAGAAATTGTCATGTTCGTGAATATTAAGATGTTATGCGAGTTTGCCCGAGAGTTAATCTAAACCTTGCGGGTCTGACTCCGAAGCGTCAAGCTAAATTTCGTGCGTGCACGAGGAAAGTTCGTCAATGATATCGTGTTGTTTTCCAGGGCAGGAGTACAACTTTTTTAAGCTGACAGGCGATGAAGTCAACTCGTTGGGGCTTCCTTATGATTACGACTCCATCATGCACTATGCAAGAAACACCTTCTCCAAGGTAGCGAAACTCTTAACTCCTCCACAGCTTTAATTTTCGTTGAAATATTCATATACTTTTAAAAGATTGAAAATGAGAAAAATTGGGACGAAAAATTTCCCTTAAGAATCACTGAAAAATGGTCCCAAAGCAGGTTTTTAAATAAAAAAGTCGATCCAATTTAAGGATTTTTATTTCATTTGAAGACAAATTTTTAGTGGAAAAAATTGTTCTCTAATTCAAATTTTGTCTTATCAATGAAAATTAAATTTTTCATTGATGACAGGGATACGTTGCTTTGATGTAAGAAAACATCGTTTGAAAAAAAAGGGGACAAATCATTTCACTCAAAAATGTCTTAAAAAAATATTCTTTGCCCCAAACCAGATTCTATAAATCAAAGAGGATCATAATTTTAATAAAAATTAACAATTTTTTCCAGTGTTCCTTTAGATTGGTTTCGTTTATGCGGGGCATTAAGAGCCCAACAAACAACCTAAAACCGATAAACCAATTAGAGATTAGCATAGACACGGTCACATTCTCTCTTAATGTTACTCTGGAGGCTACAAATAATTAAGAAGAAATAAATAATCTGGCAACGCTGATCATTGCCGTTCAACTCATCTATATCGGCGGATGTCAAAACCGCAAATGACTATAATATGGAAAGCCCTGAGATACAGGCACTCAGATGGAACTTAGATCTCAACATAGAATGAGCTTATGTGGTTTTGACATCGACCAATTCATCCATAGAACACTTTGATCCGATCGGGATAGGACGGAAGTCCAGCACGGACGAGAAATTCACAACCGCCCCTCGTGAAAGGGTACTTACCGCCTTGCCAAATTTCCCGTCCCGCTGTCGTGCGAGCAGTGACATAAAATAATCGGCTTTTCTCCGATGACTGGCTCTGTCGTGGTCGGTTGTGGTCGAAGCTAATCATCCTGGAAGGCGCTACGCGCATCGCTTCGGTTCGGAGAGATTTTCCGCGATTTGCCAGCGCACACTAAAACGATTCTACAAGAGAATTCGGACATGAAATGTTCGACAAAACAGCTTATGTTTAGGTCGTCATATTAAAAATTTTATTGGGTGTGTCGATGGCCGAAGTGTGCAAAACCACTTGCCGACGCAACGGTGAAAATGCAAAAATGCGTATCTCAGTTACGGTGTTTTAAAATCTCTGCTACTATGCTTTAAAAAAAAAAAAAAAAAAAAAAAAAAAAAAAAAAAAAAAAAAGAGCAAACCAACATCATGGCTTGAATTTTTAGTAAAATATTCTTCATAAAGAAAGGAAAAATTACTAAAAGTTTCAAAAGATGACGTTAAGTAGTTTTCAATGTAGAAAATGAAGTATGACAGGAGGTCTGCAATGCCGCAAACCAAAAAACGCATTTCTGAAGTTTCACCATCGGTATTTCTATTGGTATCTTTCAAAATGTCTGTTTCCATCTTATTATTTGGGAAACAACCCAACTTTATAACTGGAAATTTATACATGATATCGATCACCAACATTCGAAATCACGTATCTCCGTCTGAGACGTTGCAGATTTCTTGCCATAATTTTTTATTTATTTTAAAAACTGGGCAACGTGCTCTCTTAAATACTCTCTTAATTTCTCTTTCTCACCAGCAGAATCTTCTGTAAAAATTTCAGGCTGTAAAGTTGGCTCTTTTCTCTTTGAAAAATGGGAAGCAGGAGCGGAAATGTTGAAACGCCACAATGGAGATACGTAGTTTTGCACTTTGACCATCGATATTCTTCTAACATCGAGGAAGAATCACGGGAGTTTTCAAAAAAAAAAAATTTGATTAGCTTTCCGAAGAAAAATGAAGTATAAACAAGAAGTCTGCAACGTCGCAAACGGAGATACGTGGTTTCGCACGTTGCCCATCGATATATCGATACTACATATCGACGGTGTAAGTCTTTGCTTCAAATTTTGCTTGAAATCGCGCTTTTTCCAATCTGCAATAATTATCAACGCGCATTGACGCCTACGAGACTGCAGGAATACTTCACGCATTGCACCAAACACGGTGCGGTCGCCGTCCGGCGTTCAGGGCACATCAGCGCCTACGAGACTGCATGAATACTTCACGCATTGCACTAAACACAGTGCGGTCACTGGTCTGCGTGAAACGTATATCGACGGTGTAAGTCGGCAATCACATAACTCGATTTGCGACGTCGCAGATTTCCTGTCATAACTTTATTTTTAAACGGAAAAGTACTCAACAGCAATTCTTTAAACCTGCCGTGATTTTTCTTCTCCGTGCGAAGAGAATTCGGCATAAACCTCAAGGAATGATGTCCATTTGTTCTTCTTTGAAAAAATAACATAGAGGCAGAGATTTTCAGCCACCGTAAACGAGATATGCCGTCTTACACTGTCGAAATATATAGGTATATGGCGTGTATATCTTCTTTTGGTCCATTCGGAGGAAGATTTCCTTTTTTTTTCAACATTCATACTGTTTGTTGGTCATCCAGGAGTTAATGCATTAATTTTACCAGTTTTTGGCGTTAATTCTCGTTTAACTTGAAGCTAAGCTGGTGAAATTCTTAGGATGATTTAGCTCCTGAAGTTTCCAAATCGTGTCCGGCATGTGCCGAAGATTCGTCTCACTGTGCAGCGCGACGCGGGCTCAACGCGGAAATACGCGTGATTGAATCCCGAGACCTTCCCTCGATTTGGTCATTTTGACTCAAACCCCCCCCCCCCCCCGGTCCTACCCCCTGTCCGTCGCTTTGTTTCATTTCCGCGCTTAGTGATGCTTGCACCCCTATAATTTAATTAATTTTCTTCGTTTCCGTCCCTTAAATTGAGCCGCTTTCCACCGTTACCCAAATGACTTCGGACTTTGAGTTTATGCTGAAAGGATCTATTTGCAGATGAATTAGAGCAAAACGTAGGATCTGCGAGTATCATAGTTTATTTTTATTCATTTGACACGGGGGTGCGGCCCGTGGAATCGTTTAAGCCCTCAGTTTTAAAATCCGGAAATTTTTACCTCTGAGCCCGGAGCTTTCAGTCACCAGACCTAGGATGTGAGTGGAACGTCTGTACAGAATTCTTAATTTTTCGAACATTATTCAGTGAGAGAATTTCATTCAGTGGCGAGGCTACAATTATCGATTATCGATATCTCTCCATTTTAAGCTATGGTGAAGAATCGATTATGAAGGTTTTCGCAGCGAAGACCCTATCCATACCGCCGTGCTAAGGAAAAACGCCGTATGAGCCTTCAGGCGTTGCCAAATTTCTCCTGGCAAATCACTAATTTTCAGGAAAATTTTTGAATATTTGTCTACCAATTTCTCAGATAATTTTGTTTGTAATTTGATCTAAAACTTCTGGGAATTTCAAGGAAAAATATTCATAATTTTCCGCAAAAATAAAAATTTTACCGCAGGAAATTTGGCAACTCTCGAATGCTCATACGGCGTCCTCCCTTTGCACGGCAATATAGATCCTTTTCCATAGGTTTACGTAGCAGATCAATGGATACATCGCAAAGCGCGCCTCGCCATTGATTTCATGACGCAAAATGCAATGATAACTCACATAGGTTTTTCTCATTCTATACAGGGAAATTATCTCGACACTATTCAACCGATGGACAGCAGTCAAGGATTTAAAAAAAGGCCCGAAATTGGTCAAAGGATACGACTGAGCGAGGGTGACATAGCACAGACGAACTTGCTGTACAAATGTCAAAGTAAGTTATAAACTGCTATTCGTCGTTACCGATTGTGTTTTTTAACGTGATGGGTCAGTGAGTTCGTTATACAGTATCTATTTATAGCACATCTGTTATAATTACTTTATAGCGCATGTGTGAATCCAAGTATAGATAAAATGGTTCAGAGATCAGTCACCTTCTACTACGCATGAATCCACTTGGAGGAGTGCCTCAAAAAACATCATACTATCAAAATAATGTCTTAAAACTAGATCGTAAAAGGGCTGAGACAGAGTGGAAGAGAAAGAAGGGAAAGGAAAAAGGGAGCTAAGAGAGATAACAGGAGGAAGGGGAAACTCCAAAAAAAAATATTACTCGTCGAGTTCATGTCCCATTCTGTCGTGTTAAGGAGGAACGCCGTATGAGCCACCAGACGTTGCCATATTTCCTTCAATGAAAAACGAATTTACGGAGAAAATTGTGAATATTTATTTTTTTCAAATTTTTCAGATAATTTTTCTTGTAATTTTATCTAAAATATCTGAAAATTTTAAGGGAAAAGATAGACAACTTTCTTCAAAAACACTTTTTTTATCCGGTGAAATTTGGCAACTCTCGAATGTTCATACGACGTTTTTTCTTAGCACGGCAGTATTCCTATTTGTAGATCATCATAGAAACTGCAAAAAAGCGAATATACCTGATCGCAATTGAGGAGGTACATCCTCCTTTCGTTTTTTTACCCTTTCTCTCTTTTCCCCGAACTGAATGTCTCGTGATAAAAAAAAAAACTAGAATGTAACACTCAGAGAAAACGAGGCATGGGTGCAGTCACTGTAGGAAGAAATATGTGGAAGAAAATCTCTGGTAAGATATTTTTACGGTAAACTCAAAATTTGTCTTACTCTAACCCTTCGGCATGTGCAAATCCACCCCTGCTCAAGCAGCGCACTGAAAATTGCTGCGGCGAATATTTCGGAGAATGCTGCAGAAAATACTGATGCGGCGAATTGAGATTACACGGAAAAATTGTAGCTACCGCGTCGGAGAGTTGTGTATATTGCATCTCTATTGATTGAAGGGGCTCCTATTGTTGAAATGTTCATTCTTATTCATGTTTCAATTCTCATTTAAGTTATTTGTTGCAATTTGAAGTGAATAAATTAGTGCAAGAAATTACCAATATATTTCAGTATTTTAATTGCAAAATGCCACTTGAGTGGCAGAAGGAGATAAACGAGACTATCGCTCCTTGGACAGCATTATTTGGACCGAGTTAATCAGAAAAGAATTAAGTTGAAACTGAGAAAAAGAGGTTTGAAGTTTAATTCCTCCATAAGACTCAGTGCAGAAAGTAAACTTTAACGCCTCTTCTCACAAACTAATATTTTTTTCGACTTTGAGTTTTCGGCAGAAGAAAATACATAACTAGAGGAACTCAAAACATTCTTAACTCGATTTTTTCGAGAATGTGTGTTGATGTGTCCTTTCTGATGAACTCGGTCCATTTGAGGGGCCCCTACTTTTTGACTCCGAATGACTTATTTTTACGGTAATTTCTATGTAATTTTTTAGGCTGCGGGCGAACTTTACAGGAAAACACAGGGAACTTATCGTCGCCGAACTACCCGCGGCCGGCTGAAGACGTGGGCTCCGGAGCAATCCCAGAGCGCTGCGAGTGGCGAATAACTGCAACGCACGGGGAGAGGATAATTTTGAACATTACGGACCTGGACATCTTCAAGTCCGAGTCTTGTCGGAGCGACTACCTGGAGATTCGAGACGGATACTGGCACAAATCCCCGGTCCTCGGTTCGTCAACACAACATATCTTCTGAATACAACCCCATATTTCCTGTTAAAACAGACAAAACTGAGTGACTGATGTAGGTAATTCATCATTTTCTCCGCCGAGAAGTCACACTAGCACACACTAGAAAAACAAACAAAAAAATAAAGAAGAAAAACTATTTAGAGTACCTATCCAGGAAGTCATACCCTTAAACGTTAACTTTTCTTTTTAAATTGAGAGGCTAAGATTCTTGTAAAACGCCTCGTCACTACTCTTCACTGAAGGCACTTTACTTTTTCTCTTCCTTTTTTCTTTTAAAAAAAAGGAAGGGGAACCAACTCCCTGAAAAGCCTGTGCCAGGATATAGGGGACTGCGGCGGCCAGGTAGCGCAAAGCGCAAGGGAGTACGCTGTGAAAGTCTCTGACGTAATCAATAAACTTAAAGCTAAAATCACGAAAATGTGTTTACAAAAATCGGAAATTGGAAAAGGTTCCACAAAAAAGTCGCAACATCTCCGGTCAGCTCCTGTAAACGAAGAACAAGACACGCTATCTAATTCAGGCGCAATGGTCTGGTAAAGTCTCTGGATTGCATTTCAGCAAATGCACGCCAAACTCCTTCATTTTGTCAGGTATGCAATTTGATCTCCGGAGAGTTAAAATAGTTGCTCGAGGTTGAAGGGGACCGAGCGAAGGCGCGGTACTGAGCTCCCAATGAAATGAACCAGCAGAAAAGGTACGAATTTAATTATTCTGATACATCGTTTCTTGACTAGAATTTCACGTAGGTTTACAATTCGCTTAACGAATATTAACTCCTAAGATATTAACATTTTTCTTTCATATTGGTTATGGGAAAATATTGCCCCATCACAAGAAAAACAATACTTAACGTGAGTCAAATCGCGCACTACAACGGTTTTGGTAGGCTTCTCAATTAGTAATGTTCCTTATCCACCCTGTTTTGTTAAAAATGTATAATTGTATACACTGTGCATGTGCAATAGCTGGGCCAAAGTGCCGTAATTAGGATCGTCATATTTTCACCTCGCGGAGACTGTCACAGTAACGTTTAGTGTACATGCATGCAATAAAAAACGTTGGTACTCAGTCAGGCGTTAATTCCAGTAATTTCCGTATTTAATTCGTATATTAATTTTCGAATCGTAATTTACGTGAAATTTAGTTCGAGGAACACGTATAAGAATCCTTAAATTCGTACTCCGTCTACTGGTCAATTGCTACGATGCCGATCCTCCGGCTCACCCAAAATTCCTTCACTTCGTCGGATATGCAATTTGACTTGCGGAGAGTCTCAGTATGCCCTCCTGATCTTATACACGCTCGCACTTTTATCTATTTACAACTCTGCGGATTAATTATTCGCGTGTCCTCCCACGATATTCGATATTCGATTCGATTAACGATTGCCATATTCCTCCCGTTTTACACTTGAGTCAGCCGCGCTAATAGAAATTGATCTAAATCGTGTCACCTCCTCAGCACCGGTTATTTTCCCGGCAGGGTGTCACACCTGCACAGATTGGCAGACATAAGAGATATATAGTAAAATTTTCTCCGTATCTGTTGTAAAACAGATTTTTTCGTAAATTTTCTGCCTTTCTTATATTTATATTATCATCAATTCCAGGTAGATTTTGCGGGAGTGGAAGAATTCACGGGCCAATAAAATCAAACAGCAGTAGAATGCTCATTACATATGTCACATCGTCAAAGCAGGCAGATCACACAGGATTTGCGGCAACATATGAGGGTATTTTCATTACTTCAGATTTTATTCGTAGAGAATTAAATAATTTGAGTTTAAAGCACATGGCGAGCGTGAAGCTGGCGTCAACGGTGACGCCGGAATCCAAATTTTCTTACTCAATAATTGAAGTCTTTGTTGCATATCGACGGCGTAGGTCCGCAATCACTTATCTGATCGTTTAGTTGCGGTGTCTGAAAACTCCGCTTGTATGTTATTTTTTTAAAGTTGAACAAATTGACGTCATTCCTTGAGGTTCATGCAGAAATTTCTTCGCACAGAGAAGACAAATCATGGCAGTTTTAAAAAATTGCCGTTGAGTGGATTTCCATTTAAAAAATTAAGTATGATAGGAAGTCTGCAACGTCGCAAACCGATTTATGTGATTGCCGACTTACACCGTCGAAATGTACTTATTTGCCATTTTGATCAACAAATCTTTATATTTAACGTTATCCGTTCATCAATAATATTCGACAAACTATCGATCGAATTTCAAAAGTCAGCCAGATGTGTACATCCATCCCTTCATCCTGAAACGATTATATGAACTAGCTAACTTGAAAAACAACCGTAAATTTTTTAGATCAACTGTTTTCCTAATAACATCCTGCGTTGTGCATATTTACCAATGGTGTCCTTATTGCAAGCTCCTGTAATTACTTCCCTCTTCATAAAACAGATTGATTAAACTTTTCAGCTGTTTGTGGAGGTGACTTGTTCGTTGATGATACAGGGCATTTGGAGTCTCCGCGATACCCAGAAGATTACCAGCCTAGTAAGGAATGCATCTGGAGACTCACCGCACCACCTGACTTTCAGGTTGCCCTCAAATTTCAGTCTTTCGATGTAAGTCTCGAATCACTCCTCTCGATTTATAGATTAAGCTAGAAAGATTGATGACTGCCCGTATTAATTTTAGAGGCCAATAAAATGGAGAAGGGGCGTGTTTAAAATTGTCCAATTTTTTCCCCATGAAAGTATTTATCCTCAGTTTTCCAGAAAAATTAATTTTGGCCCTCCTCCCCCATCTCATAAATACTTATTGGCCTCACCTCAGAATACGTGAATGTTTTTACTGCTCTTACAAACAAATGTTTCAAATGATTTTATTTTCAGTTATTATTTTTACTTATTAATTATATAATTTTAATTAATAATTAATTTTAATTTAATATTGCTGACTTCAGTCAATGGTCATGGTCCGTCGGTGTTATTGGCCACTAGTAGTACTCCTACCTCAACTGAACAAAGAAAAAGAGAACAAAAACACAAGTTAATATAACGCATACATCGAGAACCAAGGTGCGAATCCACGTCATTCCATTTGCAACTTTGCAAACTTCTATCATACTTTAAGAATTCTTTGGAAAACTAATCAACGTAATTTCTTGAAAACTTTCTTGGTTTTTCCTCTTTGCTAGCAGAATATTCCATGTAAATTTCAAGCCACGAAAATGGTTGGTTTTCTTCGTAATAATAAAAATAGGTAGGAACGGACATTTAGAAACGCCGCAATATAGATACGTGGTTTCGCTCTCTGGCCACGGACATAGTGTAGTTGATCTCAAAATCTGCATACAAGTTGTTCTTTGATACAAGTTTTACTGGCGCAGGTGGAAAATCACGACAACTGCGTTTACGACTACGTGGAGATTCGGGACGGACACGAGAGAGATTCACCGCTGCTTGGCGTGTTTTGCGGCTACAAACTTCCTCCCGATATCATATCGACCAGCAATAAGCTCTCCGTCAAGTTCGTTTCAGATGGATCAATTCAAAAGCCAGGCTTCTCCGTTACATTTCTCAAAGGTAGCCCTTTGGAATTTCCCTTTAGCATATTAATGGAGTCTTACAAAGAACCGCAGAGCATGAATAATGCGATCCACATCGGACCGGGTATTCCACCCTTCGGAACCATGAAAGTCCAGTTCCACAGTGCAAATGCAATTTATATGTATTACAGTAATATTAGATGAAAAAGTCTTTTCACCAGATTATATTCAATTTTTTCCGAATTTCTTCTTCAGGAACTTTAACTTTCTCTGCTCTTCTCCACCCTTCTTGCTCCCCTCTTGACTCCCTTTCCTCTGTTCTGTATCGAGAAAACATGCAAAAATGAAATCTCAGTTTGCGGCGTTGCTGACTTCTGTCAATTTTCAGATTTAAGCCAAAAAACCACTCAACGTCATTCCTTGAAAACTTCGGTGATTTTTCTTCTCTGATGCTTGAGGGACACTGGGAAAAAACACATTGGATCTAAACTCCAGACTCTTAAAAACATCGATAAGAAAAAGTACTCTTGATTCAATCAGAATCTAGCTTAAATCAAGAATCAAGCCTCTTAATTTAAGCGGATTTTGTTTTGATTCAAGCAAAAATCCGATTGAATCAAGAGTATTTTTTCTTGTCAATGTTTTCAAGAGTCTGGACACTAGATCCAATGTGTTTTTTTACCAGTGAACATTCTGCGAAAATTTCAAGGCATGCTGTTAACTCGGTTTCCTTTATCGCAAAAATAAAAAATTTGCGATGCATTATTCCCCGCAGAGAATCTCAACATGTATTGACTTTTTTGGCTTGCTACAATGCATGATGGCCAGATTGGGCAAATGGTTTATAATTCTTAAAACTTTTATTTTACAAGCTTCTATGAAAGGCCGTGTACATGGTGTGGCCCAAATTCTACCAATAGAAATTCCTTTTACCAAAGACCTTCCATTTTTTTTTCAGAGTCTGATGAATGCACTCAACCGGATCACGGCTGCGAACATCATTGCGTGAATACTTTAGGGGGATACGAATGCTCCTGCATGATCGGTTATGAATTGCACTCTGACAATAAACACTGCGATGGTAAGATTTTTTTTCTCCTTTTTTTTAAAGAAAAAAAAATGAAACTTTTTACGCCGATGAAGTCAGAAGAACCGCACCAAGTGCTGTATTTTGCCGCCCATGCAACGCCTGTATTTTGCCGCCCCCTTTCTCATTCGTTTGAAACATCGATACAAACCATCAAGTGAACGTGCCGGAGGAGGAGGGATGCATAAGACGTGTTTACTTGTGTTGGGCACATTTTTTGTGAAAGCTCTGTCAACACTAGCAAAATTTCACGGAACTTTTCTCGAAAGTTAAGTTCCGTAAACCTATCTCTGCGTGGACAAGAAGAGCTAAACGAAAAAGTTATGGAAGAATAAACATGGTTTAATAAGTTCAATTTCCGCCACCGCGCCGACCGCACTATATTTAGCGCATTGCGTGAAGTATCCCCACAGTCTCGTAGGCGCTATGCGTCTCACGCCGACCACTGCTGACAGCACTGTTTTTGATGCAATGCGTGAAGTAATCATGCAGCCTTGTAGGCGCTATGCGTTTCACACCAACCGCTGCTGACCGCACTACGTTTGACGCAATGCGTAAAGTATTCATGGAGTCTAGTAGGCGCTAGTATGCCTTGCGCGCCGGCCTTACACGTACACCTGCACATAGTTCTGTTTGACAGAAATACGTCAAAATATCCAACATGTTGTTCAGCATCCACGTAGGTCAACAATGGAGATGTTGCATGTGTGAGAAATCTGCGCAGATTTGACTATTGATTCTTATGTAAAAATTCGCGAGAAACACGATGGTGCCACTGGTTTTCTCTGAAATCAACTCCCAAGCTCAAGAAAAGCTCTCAATTTAAGGCCAAAATGGAGGGGATATCCCACGCTATTCTGAGAGTTCACCTCTACATCAAGACAAACTCTCCATGCAAAGATAGGGAGCAAATACATTAGCAGGGTTGCCGTGTTTTCAGAGTTCCCAAAGAAAGGAGCAGCCCTGTCAATTTATTTGCTCCTTATCTTTGCATGGAGAGTCTGTCTTGATGTAGAGTTGGACTTTTAGGATAGCGTGGGATATCCCCTCCATTTGAGACCCTCAACTTTGAGAGCTTTTTTGAGCTAGGGAGTTGATTTTAAGGAAAACCAGTGGCACTATCTTGTTTCTCGCGAACATTTTACAAAAGAGCCAATAGTCAAATCGCAAATTCCTCACACATGCAACAACTCCATTGAATGTCGGAGCCCCGAAAGTAAAAACTCCCCGCCATTGCCAAGATACCAATGGAGGCTCTCTCGTGGTCTCTGGTTTTCTCTACTGATGTTGTTGCGGGGTCTTTGTTTCAGACGCTTGCGGGGGCGTGTTGGAGGCGCAGAACGGGACGATAACGTCTCCCTCGTTCCCGGAGCTTTACCCGGGGAGCAAGCGGTGCGTGTGGGAGATCATGGCCCGGCGACAATACCGGATCACCCTCAACTTCACCCACTTCGACCTGGAGGGCAACAACGTCCACCAACAGGAGTGCGAGTACGACAGCGTCGACGTCCGCAGCATCCTGGCCAACGGCGAGACGTTCAAGCACGGCAACTACTGCGGCTCCCGCCTCCCCCCGCCCATCACCTCCGAGACCAACCACCTCCGCATCGAGTTCACCTCCGACAACTCCGTCCAAAAAACTGGGTTCGCCGCCGTTTTCTTCACAGGTCAGACTCGCACTTTCCCCACTCTTGGCTCTCCCTCTTTTCCTTCTCTCACTTCCCTATTTTATTCCCTACCCCGCATTGAGTCCACGATTATTCTGCCATGCTAAGGAAGAACGCCGTATGAACATTCGAGAGTTGCCAAATGTCCTTCATTAAAATGCTTATTTTTAAAGAAAATTACGAATCTTTTTCCTTGAAATTTTCAGGAACTGTAGGTAAAATTGCGAACGAAATTATCTGAAAAATTGGAGGGGAAATATTCATAAGTGTACCAGGAAATTCGTGTTTTATTGAAGGAAATTTGGCAACGCCTGAAGGTTCATACGGCGTTCTTCTTTAGCACGGCAGTATTGAAGTGCTCCCATTTCCCGGAACTAGCTCCGAATTCCGGAACTTTGGAGACTCTCCTGAATTTTTCCCGGAACTTTTGAAATTCTCGTAATGTTGTGGATCTTTTGCATTTTCCGGAACTTTAGAAAAAAATCTGAAAGGGATCCCGGAATTTTTGACGGTCATGAAGTGGGAGAAATTGGAACCAAAAAGTTCCAAATCCAGGAACTTTTGACGGACATGCAATGGGAATGGGAGCACTAGATTATTGAGACCCCCGGTGTGTCCTTTACCAGATCTGAAGTGTTTTTAGACTCTTTTGACTACAGCTTGAATGAATTAAACTTCCTCGAGGCAGAGGCTACGAGTTCTACCCATCAAAATTCACAACATTGCGAAAAAGTCACCCTCGGAACCTACAAGTCTAGAGTACAAACCTCTCGTCAACCCCTCTGCACTAAATTTTTAATAATAGCTGTTAACTACATTGAGAGAAAGATAATACACGAAGATAGCCCGAATAATTTAACTAGAAAAAATACAAAACAATGGGTGAACAAGGCTAAAAACAGAGACATAAAAAACCTGGAACGTTTCGGGTTGGTCTAAACCCCCTCCTCGACCAGGAAACAAAAATATAATTAAAAAATAAATTATAAAAATCAAGAGGCCCTTAAATCCCCATTTGCGGTGATAGCAAGAAAAAGCGAGGTTATCACACAAATCCTTTCAGTGGAAACATTTCTCGGTAGATGTACTTTCGAGCTAAAATTTGAATCAGTTATTAAAAATTTAGTATCTAAAAAGATGACTCAACAGCACGGCAGTTTAAATTATTCCTAAAAACTTCATTTGGCAACGCTCGACCTTCATATCATCAATGCTATCGGGATCCCAATAAAGGACCCCTCTGTTTGCGCGTAGAGTCTGGGACCACCAAAAGTATGCTCGTATTTTTGGGAGTCCTAATGCGGGCTCAGGCGCCGAGTTTTGTCTCCTCTTTCATTATTTTCGGGAACTCAAGAGTGGTCCTATGAATATGGATAAACGACTCAAATCCACAACAAAGAAAAAACAAAAGAGATCAGACGAATAGCGGTTAAATACATGCACAGGAATATTTCATTTATTAAATGCTGCAGATCCAAGTGTAATCCGTCACCGAGGACCCATATTATTTTGTTTGAAACCTGTCAGAGTTTAAATTAAATTCCTTTCATCGCTTTTTCTTCCTTTTTCACACGAATTTAAGTCTTTTTCAATCAAGTGGTATCCGATGACAGGTATCTAAATATTCTATGCTGACTGCTCTGTCTTGAAGGTTCACCGTCTGAATTGCAACACTTAACGTGGACGATCGAGTAACTCGATAAAGAGAATATAGAGAACTTACCAATTGCAAAAAAGTTGTCCTTTTCTGTAATGATAAAATGCTAGTAGACTTTCAGTACCTTGAAATTGATTCCTTGGATTCTTTCCGTTTTATTTTTGCTTAAACATGCAGAAAACAAATTTAATCAAGCTATGACGACATTAACTTAACTTGGTTGTATATTTGATTGGATAACGCAGCTCATAATTATTGACTGTTCGAGGAATCTACGGAGAAAAGAGGTGCGTTACTGTTCAAAATTTTTAACTAAATTAGAAACTTGCATTGAAATTTTCGGCTGCAAGTTGATCTTAGTGTGATAATTTTTTTTACCAATTTGACGGAGTCAAATTAATATATTTTGTGCTACAAAAAACTTTAAGTATTAAGTTTTCGATTTCCGACCAAAATCCAATTTAAATTTTTATTTTCAAAGAAATTAAAGTCTAAAGGTGCAAAAATATTTATTCATGAATGAATTTTTATACTCAACCAAATACTCTAGTCGGGTTTTCCAAGGTTATCCTGACTTGGTACGGAATATTCCTTCCAAAAAAAAAAAAAAAAAAAAAAAAAAAACCCGAAGAAACAGAGAATAAACTCCTCTCTTCTCTCTCTAAGTTTTTCCTCACGAGCCACAACAGTTTTTCAACAATATTGTCCTCCTCCCTTTTCGAGAGGTATAGAAGACTGTTTGAATCTCCGAAGACACGAGGTCGACACACGTCATTAGTGAGCACAGTAGTCTTGAAGCCAAAAAAAATGCGACAAAACTGTACCCAAAAACGGTTTGCAGGGGGTGAGTCTATGGTACGTTGGTACATGTGGACTTAAAATCGCGAAAAATCAAAATCTTGGCTGACCCTAATTTTGAGATACCGCAATTTGAAAGAGGGTTATACAAAATCGGCGATTTTGCCCCCCCCACTTGGATTTTGCCCGGAGTTGGATATGCTGTTCCCTATCACAAGACACGCCTTTTTCCGGCGTTGGCAAGTTCACCCGAATTTTTTCCCGCGCGCTACAGCGTTGCCAAGTTGAAAACAGGCAAATTCCGTAAGTGGCATTAAAATTGAGCTATGAAGTTGCGGTTTTAACGAAAATTCTCTAAAAATGACGCACTTTTAGGAAATGACCATGTTTTTAATGTTGCATTAATTTTAACATGCATTGTTGCCAATTTTTCGATTTTTAAATTCGACAAATTTTACAAATCCGCAAATACTCAAAAAATCTATCTTCAAATTTGAATGAAAGGTTGTTTAATCGATAGTTCGTTTGATTTCGCATCCATCGATATATTATGGTTTGCAGGGAAACCTTTGGTTCGCGAGATATAGTATCATATCATATAGAAAATAGTATCATAAGTCCCCCCCCCAAAAAAAAATGAAAATTTTCCAGATGTTTTGAAAGCAACAATTCGCAAGTATTTTGTGCTGAAAGTAGAAAAAAAGCGTAATTATTCCGTAGAAATTGATGGAAAAATTCGTCATGGAAGCTTCAAAATGCGGCCAAATAGATTTATAAATTCAAAAATTTCTCGGGGGATGCCCCTCGGAACCCCCCCCCCCCCCCGTGCTTGGGGCCCGGGCCGTAAAACCGGTACCAGGGCCCGAGGTGGGATGTGGCGGGCCTGGCCGTATTGCCACGGAAGAATGGGTATTTACCATAAACATTGTAAAATAGCTTTTACTCGTTTTGTGATACAGAATGGTGCAAAAATAACGGCAGAAAGTGAAATAATATCATGTTAAAGATAGATGATAAACGTGAGTCTGGTCCACAAGATACCATGTAATCGAGCCGACGTTGAAGTAGGTATCTTTGAAATGAAAGTCTCTTCTTCATTTTGTAATGTGAGTTATCTCGTTGCAATACTCAGTATACCACAATAGAACCAACTTCAGATACCGAAGTTTTCTTCATTTTAATTTTTCAATTTGAGCAGAGAACGGAACCGTTACGCCCAGAAGTACATTTTCCCTGTCTATCACCGAAAATTTCCCATTGACGTGCTAAAGTAACGCTCAAACTACCCAAATTTGAAACAAAGAATTTATTCGGATCAATATTACCGAGTTTCACGAAACTCGAACGAACAGAAACCGAGAAAGCATTTTAGGCCACGCTCGTCATCTTAAATTTGAGAATTTTCAAAAATGGACTGATAATGCGAGTTTCCCATCGAAAAATACCCCGCGACACCGAATTTCAGAAAAATCCATCGAACAGGAGCCGAGATAGCATTTTAAGTCACGTCCGTCATCTTGGATTTGAGAATTTTCAAAAATTGACTAAAAATTCGAGCTTCCCGTCGGAAAATACCCTGTGATACAAAGTTTCACGAAACTCGAACGAACAGAAACCGAGATATCATTTTGGGCCACGTCCGCCTTATTGGATTTGAGAATTTTCAAACATTGACTAATAATTCGAGTTTCTCGTCGAAAAATACCCCGCGACACCGAATTTCAGAAAAATCCATCGAACAGGACCCGAGATAGCATTTTAAGTCACTTCAGTCATTTCGGATTTTCGAATTTTGAAGTTTTTGAATTTTGACAGATTTTGATTTAAAACGCATAATACCCAAAATCGAAGCTCAGATTCGGATTCCTCATAAAAAATCGATGCGATTTCATGTATCATACACTGACACCGAAATTCAGAGAAATCCATCGAACAAGAGCCAATATTGCATTTTAAGCCACGTCCTTCATTTCGGATTTTCGAATTTGGAAAATCTGACTTAAAACGCGTGATATCCAAAATCGCGGTTCAGATTCGGAGTCCTCGTTAAAAATCGATGTAATTTCATGTATCATACCCGATCATAGCGTCAAGGAAAGAGACGTAACGTAGGCATAATGATTCGAGCATATGAATGCAACGTGGCAACATGGGTAGTGCTCAGTGGGTCAGCGGAGGAGGAAGAAGAAGAATTTATCGTGAGGAATTCCTCGCGACGAAACTGAAGCGCCGCCCCGTTCGGTTTCACTCGGGCGACCCGCGCGGCGGCGTAGTTCAAAGGGGCTGTACGACAGAATCTATACGCGTCGTTAAACCTTTTTCCTCAACGCTATGATAACATATGATGTATGAAATCTCATCAATTTTTCACGAGGAATCCGAATCTGAGCTTAGATTTTGGATATTACGCGTTTTAATCTATTTAAAATTGTAGGAGAAATTGCAGAATTGTCCTTGAAAATTGATTACACATTAGTGTTTTTTTTACGTCAGTAAACCTCTTTCCTTCACGCTATTCTAACATATGATGTATGAAATAGCATCAGTTTTTCGCGGGGAATCCGAATCTGAGCATGGATTTGGGATATCACGCGTTTTAATCTATTTAAAATCGTAGGAGAAATTACAGAATTGTCCTTGAAAATTGATCACGCATTAGTGTTTTCTTTTACCCCGTTTTTCTTCTGCGTTCACGTAATGACTAATGAAATTAGACCAACAGTTACTCATCGACTAGTCTAGCCTAATCCCCCAAAATCGGTCTAAAGGGCGAACGATTTTATCAGATAAGATGTGCGGTCCTAGTTTCCGGGCAAATGCGATTAGATTGAAGCTGCGATGAGGGGAAACGGAAGATATGCGAAACTCCGACGGATATTAAGTGAAAAACCAGGAAAGGGAAGCCTTTCTTCCCGAAAAGTTTGTGCTCGGGCCAACTTATGCGGTCACTGGAGCATTGTATAGGAGGTTGCGGGAAACTATTTTTTTTCAGCAACCAGGCCCGCCACGAGGGGGGGGGGGATACTGGGTCCCTGCTACCGGGGCCCGTGCTGCCCGTAAAAAACCACTGCGAATTCATAAAACCGCAACTTCATGGCTTAATTTTAATGCCACTTACGGAATTTGCCTGTTTTCAACTTGGCAACGCTGTAGCGCGCGGGAAAAATTTCGGGTGAACTTGCCAACGCCGGAAAAGGCGAGTCTTGTGATAGGGAGCAACATATCCAACTCCGGGCAAAATTCAAGAGGGGGGCAAAATCGCCGATTTTGTATAACCCTCTTTTCATGGTGCATGAGTGCAAGTTTTCCACTGATTTTGATCCGCTGTTTAATTTTCTGTCCATTGAATCGGCAGTGATCGGTTCACGTTTTTATTTTTCGTTCGATTCATGTCGATCAAATACATATCGACGGTGAAACTACCAAACCACGTATCTCGTTTGCGGTGTTTAAAAATCTACGCTCGCATTTTATTTTTTTGAAGTATACCAAATCAATATCATTCCTTGAAATTTTCACAGAATTTTTTCCGCACGAAGAGGAAAAATCACAGAAATTTTCAAGACTGGACGTTAAGTAGTTTTTCATTTAAAAAATAAAGTATGACAGGAAGTCTGCGACGTCGCAAACCGAGATACGTGGTTTGGTAGTTTCACCGTCGATATCCTCTCTTTACATGCACACTTCCTATCATACTCTTTTTTTTAACGAAACAATTCGCTTTCTGTCGCGTCTGCAGCAATTGTTGTTACGAATATGTTGTGCGTGCTGATTATAGCTAATAGCTCATTACATACTCGATTCTCCGAAGGCGTTTTTTGTGCGCGAGTAGCGCAATCATTCGGAGAACCAACGAAGTAGGAATTGAGCGATTCATTCAAATCTCACTTCTGTTGTTCTCCAATAGGGTGCTCTACTTTTGCACATTAAACGACGCCTCCAGAGAGTCAAGTATGTAATGAGTTGAGATCAGCATCAACGGTGAAAGTCAGCAATCACATAACTCATTTTGCGACGTCGCAGACTTCCTGTCATACTTCATTTTTTAAACGGAAAACTACTCAACGGCAATTATTCAAAACTGCCGTGATTTTTCACCTCTGTACGAAGAAAATTCTTCAAAAACTCCAAGGAATGATGTCAATTTGCTCTCCTTTAAAATAACAACATTGAGGCGGAGATTTTCAGACACAGCAAACGAGATATTGACGGTGAAATTACCAAACCACGTATCTCGTTTGCGGTGTTTAAAAATCTACGCTCGAATTTTATTTTTTTGAAATAGACCAAATCAATATCATTCCTTGAAATTTTCACAGAATTTTCTCCGCACGAAGAGGAAAAATCACAGAAATTTTGAAGACTGGACGTTAAGTAGTTTTTCATTTAAAAAATAAAGTATGACAGGAAGTTTGCGACGTCGCAAACCGAGATACGTGGTTTGGTAGTTTCACCGTCGATATGTGATTGCTGACTTACGCCGTCGATATTCGTAACAACAACTGTTGCGGACACAGCTGAAGGCGAATTGAAAACAACAGTATTGCACACGTTGAAAAACATTTTAGCCACTGTGCCACTTGGGTATGAATACGGCCCTTAGTCTGGAGAATTTGGCTCCGAAGCGTATAATTATGTTTGGCGTTGGTGGCTAGTGTATACTAGAGTCCCTTTATACCCAGAGTTAAGACAACTCGATTATCAGCTGACTGACAGCCGGCCTTGGCTGGCCATGGAGGCCGAAACGAGTGCACCCAAACGAACGATATTGAGGGATAAGGATCAGGAATCCTGCGATGTCTGTCACACAAAAACAACAACATCAACAAATTGATGAATTAAAAAGAAAATGAGATTGGTTTGTGAATAATTTCTTATTCTCTTTTCATTTTGGACCGATGGAAATGACAATTTACTCTTGATAAACCACAATTAGGTGATATTTTCATTTCTTGTTCACATTCGAGGTACCGCCATCTTGGTGCACTCGTTTCGGCCTCCATGAGCGAGAACCAATCAGAATTGGATTTTTTTTTAGGCCACTTTCAGCCGAACCAAAAGTGAGTTGTCTTAACTCTGGGTATAAAGGGACTCTAGTGTATACTCGAGCTTGATCCACGAGCGTGATCGGGGGTGTTTCAGACAAGGACGAGTGCGCGGTGAACAACGGGGGCTGTCAGCACGAGTGTCGGAACACGGTGGGCTCCTACTCGTGCTCCTGTCACAACGGGTTCACACTCCACGAGAACGGGCACGATTGCAAGGAGGGCGAGTGCAAGTACGAGATCACCGCCCCGACCGGGAAAATCACGAGCCCCAACTACCCGGACAACTACCCCAACAAGAAGGACTGCGTCTGGCACTTCACCACCACGCCCGGACACCGCATCAAACTGGTCAGTTGAATCAACTTTCGTCCGTTTTCCATCAAGAGATGGCGGGGGATCAGCGGGCCGATTATTGAAATTTATAGACAAAGCTACACTGAAAAAAAATTCTCCGCGTTTTTACCAAGGTCCGTTGGTACCTTTACCATCTCACTTTTTTTACCCATTATTGGTAATTTTACCAAGACAGACTGGTAAGCTTACCTAAATACCGGTATTTTTACTGTTTTTTTCAGGGAAGAATACCACTTTTGTTGGTAATCAATTCCCGGTAACTTTGCCATTTTATCTCGGTAATTCTACCACAGTCGATAAAAAATCTTGGTGTTTTTACCAAGGTCCAGTAAAATTCCCGAGAATATTCAATAATTTTACCGAGATTCTCGGTAAAATTACCTATTCCATAAATGGTAATTTTGCCAAGAAAAAACTGGGATCAAATATAACCCTGAATTCTTGGTAATTTTACCCTTTTCTCAGTAAATACACCAATATTTTTTTTTCAGGGTATAGACAAAGAAGACATAAGGAGAATACGGCGATCCTATTGGTTGAAATGGGTGGTTTTATAGACTAAGGGGGTAAATAATGGACTAACTATCGGGTCTCTCGTGGGTTACCGTTAGTTAGTCTATTACCTAGTCCTTTGTCCATTGCATCCACCCGCTTCCACCGATAGAATCGCTCCATATCCTTTTTGTCTTCTTTGTCTATTGCTTTGTCTATCAATTACAATAATCAGCCCGCAGGAGAGTGAACCGCCAAATCGTCATCTTCCGGCTGAAGTATCACAAGCGGCATGCGACGTTTAAAAATTTCCGCCGCCATTTAATTTTTTTACAGAGAAATTGTTGTTGGATCTGTTTGAAAATGTCACTGAATTTTGTCGGTAGCACAAAGAAAATTCAGTGAAATTTTCGGACAGCTTCGTTGAAAAATTTCTCTGTAAAAAAATAAAATGGCGGCGGGAATTTTTAAACGTTGCATGCCACTTGTGATACTTTGGCCCGAAGGTGACGAAATCGTCGGAAATTGAGGATTTGCAGGTGTTTGAAATTTTGTAAATTTCATGTTGAGAATGAAACTATTAGGCGAACTGAGCACGAGGATGTCCTGCTTGATTTCTGGATTAAACATTTTTTGGAGGAAATATGACAGAATAACCTAATCTGCTGAAATACAAGTGTTTAAAAGGACAATGATGCCAGATGATTTCACAAAGCAGCACATTTTTTCACTTTAAAATCTATTTTTCAACCATGTCGTATTCAGAAAAAATTATGAAAAATGATGCGAATTCAACTCATCATGCACTGAAATTGTATACTTCATCTGTATATTCATTTCTGTATATTTTGCCGCCCCCTTCTTATTCGTCTTGAGACATCAATAAAAACCATCAAGTGGACGTACCGGAGGAGAAGGGGTGCATAAGACGCGTTTACTCGTGTTAGACACATTTTTTGCGAAAGCCCTGTCAACACTAACAGCAAAAGTTCACGGAAATTTGCGCAAAAATTAAGTTCCGTAAAAATATCTCTGTGTGGACAATGCCTTCAATTTATAAAAAATGAACGAAAAATTGAGAAAGAACAAACATTAATGTTGGTTAATAATTTTAACTTCCGCTGCTGCGCCGCGCTGATTGCACTGTGTTTGGCGCAATGCGTGAAGTATTCCTACAGTCTTGTAGGCGCTATGCGTTTCATGCCGACCGCTGCTGAACGTACTGCGTCTAACGCAATGCGTGAAGTATTCATGCTGTCTTGTAGGCGCTATGCGTTTTACGCCGACCGCCCAAGAAGTAGTGATCGCGATTAATAACGATTTTATCGGTTGATTATCGCGATTATATCGGTGGCAATTTATAGTAATATTATCGAATAAAAAATTGCGATTCATGGCGATTAAATCGCTATGCATCGCAATTTTTTGTTCAATAAAATCGCGATCAATTTTCGTCGATAAAATCGAGATTAAATCGCCATATATCGCGATTTTTGTTGCGATAATATCGCTATAAATTGCCGGGCGATAAAATCGCGATTTTATTGCAACAAGATTGAGGATAACCGCTCAGGTGTTGATGATCTTAGCGATTTTATCGCCGACAAAATCGCAACAAATCGCGATTTTTCCGTTGAAAAATGCTACTTGGGTGACAGAGAAGAAAATTCAAGGAAGTTTTCAAGAAATTACGTAGGCTACATAGTTCTCCACAGAAAAATAAAGTATAGCTAGAGGTCTACCATTGTTGCCAGATTGTGCTGACAATTCAGCAAATTTCCCCATTGATATAGATGCAAAATATCGAGGAATTTTTACACAATCTAGCAACTTTGAAGCAATCGGTTTCGAATTTTGGTCATCGATATTTAGACATTTATGTATTAAAAATCACGTGAAAATTCACGAATCAAAAACGGTTGATTATCTTTCCTGCGTTCCAATAAAATATTGAATGATGTCTTCTCTAACTTTACATATTATACCACCGTCAGTATGTTCGGACTAACTTGCCTCCTGACCCAACTAACTGTGAGTTGGACGAAAACAATTTGCAGGTTTTTGAGGAGTTCGAAGTAGAATCTCAGCCAGATTGTTACTACGACCACATCCAACTATACGACGGGGATTCGACAGATTCGACAACCTTGGGCCGGTTTTGCGGCAACAAAGTTCCGCACCCAATCGATGCCTCTACCAATCAGCTTTACATGGTTTTCAAGTCCGACTCAACTGCACATCGCAAGGGTTTTCTCGCCCATCATTCCACTGGTTTGTAGTTCCTATTTTATATACGATTCTATTAGAGCGTATGGAACCTTTGAGGAAACGTTTAGAATTCAATTATCTTCCGTTCAAATAGGTAAAAAAAATTCTTTAAACTGTGTCAGAACGAAGACGTTTTGTCAACGACAAAAAAAAAAAAAAAAAAAAAAAAAAAAAAAAAAAAAAAAAAAAAACGGGAAAACGGTAGATTTGCGCTGTTTTGCACTATCTTGACGGGCAAAGAAGGAGACAAGTACAAAATTTGACGACTATTTTCAAGTTCAAATGATTTTTTCTCGACTTTGAATTTTTGGCGGGAACAAATTCACGTCCAGTTGAATTCAAAATTCATTTTTTTTTAAAAAATTCGACCTGGTGCGTTTTTTTTGGAACTCGATCTATTAAAAGGCACCTTCCTGAATATTTCGCGGAATTTTGGTTGACAATTTGAAAACCTCAATTACACCGGTCAACAATTTCTTTTTTGGTAGTTTTGCAAGACGTTTAGTAAACGGAGCAGGGCAGATATTTGGCGCTGATTCCATAAATGACCTCCGTTTTCCCTAGAAGAACCCCCGGCATTTTCTCTGAAAGAGCTCAATTTTTCCGGGAAAACCCCAACTCATTCAGAAAAAAGGAGGTGAATTTCGGATTCAACGCTAAAAATTAGGCGAAAAACTGTAACTAACTCTGGGCAAACTGCCCCGTGTTGACCTACAATAACCTTTCCATCTTCAAGTTTTAATACGACCATCCTGGCTTGTCATTTCCCTAGTGTGTGGAGGACATCTACCAGCAACGAAGGCTGTGAGACATCTCTACTCCCACGCCAAATTTGGCGATCACAACTACGAGAACTGGGCCGAGTGCGATTGGGTCATCGAGGCACCGGCAGGAATGAAAATCCAGTTCACGTTTCTCACTTTTGCCCTCGAGGACGAAAAAAGCTGCGCGTACGATTACGTGGAAATCATAAGCGGAATGGAAGCATCAGGCTCCTCTTACGGCAGGTTCTGCGGTGATTCGGCGAGTATTATGTTGTCTTCTTCAAGTTCACGAGGGGTTCCCCTATTCGGCCGTGCTAAGGAAAAACGCCGTATGAACCTTCAGGCGTTGCCAAATTTCCTTTGATAAAACGCGAATTTCCCGGTAAATTTCTGAAATTTTCCTTCCAGTTTTTCAGATAATTTTTCTCGCAATTTTACCTGAAGATTCTGAAAATATAAAGGAATGATATTCACAACTCTCATAAAAAATAAACATTTTATCGAGGAAAATCTGGCAACTCTTGAATGCTCACACGGCGTTTTTCCTTTGCACGTACGTATTAGAGGGGAACGTATATATTGATGGCAAAAGTGCAAAACCACGTATCTCCATTGTGATGTTTCAAAATGTCTCCTCATACCTATTTTATTTTATTTTTTCGAGGAGAAACAATTAAACTTTACGGCTTAAAATTCATACTGAATATTCTGCTAACATAGAGGAAAAATCAAGGAAGTTTTCTAGAAATTAGGTTATCCAGTTTTGCTCAGGAAAAGTAAAGTACGACAGGAAGTCTGCAGCGTCGCAAGCAGAGGTACGTGATTTAACACATTTGCTATCGATATACTGCTGTGCTAAAGGGAAAACGCCGTATGAATAATCGAATGTTGCCACATTTCCGATCATGGAATATGCACGGGAAAATTAGGATTCTTATGCTTTGGAACTTTCGTATTTTTTAGATCAAATTGTAGGTAATTTTCTGTGAGAAATTGGAAGCAAAATATTCAAAGGTTCCCGTGAAAATTCGTGTTTTAACGAAGAAAATTTGGCAACATCTAATTAAGGCTCATGCCGCGTTCTTCCTCAGCACACGGCAGCACAGACACACCCTTGTACTAAAAATGATGCTTACCCAACGACTTCAAATCGTCACAATACAGTTCTATTCTATGTAGATAATTGATCTCTGTGTTTACATTTAAGCAGCGAAATCTATTATCTACTTAAAATTCCACCAGAAAGTAAAATTACTTAAACTTACAGCTGTAATTTGAAAATGCGTATTCCGGCCAAGTCAGGTGGTATCTCCTCACAATGAAGGCGTTTTTCATGTGTCGACACTCTTCATCAACAAATTATCTGACGCAACCACCTTTTACTAGCTAATCTGATTGTAAGCTGCTATACCGTTGATTGGGTTTTTAAAAGATGCGACTATTCGGCCTCTGAGGCCTTGCTAGGAAGTATCATTTCTCAGTGAAGGCGTTTTTTATGCGTCAGCACTCTTCATCATCAACAAAGTTTCTGAAGCAGCTGCATTACTCCCTTATTCTACGGTCTACGCTGCTACTCTGTTGATGGGAGTTTTAAAGCTGCAATTATTTGGCTTCAGCCACGTTAGAAAATAGGTATCTTTCCTCATTGAAGGCATTTTTCATGCGTCAACTCGTTAACAAATTGTTTGCATTGTAATTATTCGGTTGGATTCTGATATTTCACCAAGGGTCTCATCATGTATTTTCTCGCTCATTTTGATTACAGAACCCAACCGACATTCGGTCAGTCAACGAGGCCTTACTGGTGAGATTTAAAACAGACGATACAGGGGTGGACAAAGGTTTCTCTGCATCATACGTTGCTGTGGATCCAATTACGAGTGAAGAATACGGATCATCTGAAAACGAAAGCATCTAAGCAGTACTGCCCATTTTTGATTTTTATTACCCTTTCAAGTGTTATTTCGAAAACGAAATAATAATTCCATGTATTAAAATGTAAATAACTGTATTATGCTGTGTTCACTAAAATTTTCCAATGGTCCGGGAAACGTTGTTGAACTGAAGGAAAAACACAACCGCTTTAAATACGAATTTATAAACAGAAAGTTCTTGAGAGAAGGTATGATTAAAATTATGTTTTAGGTAAAATGTACCTAAGTACTTGCTGTTCGGTAAGCAACTTTTCTGATGACTAGAAGTCCGTATTTGGAAGATTAGACAGGAATTTTCACCGGCAGAGTTTTGACTGGGTATTGCTCATCCTTTTTCATATAGATGCCTATATTACCTGAATACTTAGAAAGTAGGTCCCACCTATTAACCTGCTCTGCCGTGTTTTGGAAAGACGTCGTATAAGCCACCAGATGTTGCCATATTCCATCCAATAAAAACCGAATTTCCAGGGGAAACGATGAAAATTGTTCTTCGATAAATTATGCGGGTGATTTTGTTCCCAATTTGATCTAAAATATTTGAAAATTTTAAGGATTAATATGCCTTTAACTTAACTCAAAAATAAATGGTTTATTGGGGGAATATTTGGCAACGTCTGAAGGCTCTCACGACGTTCAACCTTACCCTGGTAAAAATTGGCAGTAGAGTCTGTGTTCCGAAATACCGTAGACCTACAGCCGGCTGTAATATAAGATTTCCAATAGCTTCTATAGCCGGCAACACAATTTCTTATAGCCTTTTATAGCCTATGACGACGAAGCAACAGCCTGGCTATAAAGTGTTAGCTAAACGTTACTATTTACGAATGCTAGGACTTGGTGAGTTTTTGGACTACCGCTCTCTTTTTGGGCCGTAGTATCTTGATTTATTTTGCGAGGAAAGCTCCGTACTTTTGGAGGATGCCTGCCATTCCTAATATATGTTGGAGCGCCTTCAATTTCGTATGATAATGTGCAATACCTCTGGTGTGAAATGGTTGCTTCAAGCGCCGTGGTACGCTGCGGCGCGGCGCGGCGGGCGGGCAGCCAGTGCGGAACGCGCATTGGCGCCTACAAACCTAACAGGGATACTTCACGCATTGCGCAATGCGTGAAGTATCCCTGTTAGGTTAGGCGCCAGTGCGCCGCCGCTCCGCTTTGTGTTAGGCTCTAATATTTAATCTCGTGGAGTCAGCGTTTTTCAACTCATAACTTTGAAATGTTTGCACACTCTGTATGGCTTATTCTCATTTTAATTGATGAAAAAAAAAAAATATGTAGTAAAGGAAAATATAATGTGCGTTTTGTAAATATTAAGGTGATTCCGTACAAACTTAAGGATTTACAAAGCACATACGAATTTCTACACAATTTCTTATAGCCTTTTATAGCCGATGGCGAAAAAGCAACAGCCTGGCCATAAAGTGTAAAGCCCGGCGATAGGAACTATAGCCCGGCTGTATAATTTTTTATCGCTTCGTGTAGCCCGGCCGTATGATTTTTTCCACTTTCTACAGCCAGCTGTATGATTTTCTATCGCCTTCTTCAGTCGGCTATAAGAACTCCTATGGTATTTTGAAACGCAGCTCGTATCGCCAATTTTTACCAGGGTATAGCGCGGCAGCACTAGACTCCAATTATTTATTTTCTCGTTGAATTGACTTTTTGTGTCTATACCTACTGACTTTTCTAGAAAAATCAATTACAGCGGGAAATTAAGTGGACGAATTCAATTAGAATCAACTCAACTACATTACCGTTGCCAAAGGGGTGTATGCAAAATCGACAAAATTTCCCCCCTCATGGATGTTGACCAAATTTCAGTATGTTATTCCTCACTATGGGATACGCCTTTTCCCAAAATTTCAAGGCCTGAAACGAATTTCTCTCCGCGTAGCAGCGTTGCCAAGTTGAAAACCGTCGAGTTGCATATCTTTTGAACGAAAAGAGATATTGAGGTGCGGTTTGCGTTAAAATTCTCAAAAAATTGCGTTCTTTTGAAATATGTACTCAATTTGATCGTTTAGGTAATTTAAGATTGCAATGTTGCCATTTTTCACACTTTCTTAAGGGTCAATTTTTTTTCAACCCTAGTACATCGTCAAATGCCGGATTCTCGATTCGAAAAAAAAACTGTTCATTGTATTATTCGTACTTTTCCATTTCTTTTGATATATTATAGCTCCCAGGGAAACGATTAGTAACGGAGATATGAGCAATCTGAGTTTACGCTCCGCGCGCGCCGACTGGAATCCGGGCGCCGCTCGCCGCTCGGAGTCGTTTGCACACTCCCTCCCTTAAGCTTTACGAGGTTATTCCTACGTATTTTTTTGCGAACTTTTCATTTCTGGCCTTTAAAAAGGCCTCCGATGAATTTTTCGGGGCCTCGCGGTCCATTGTTGCCATTTTTGGCTTGTATTTAGGGTTTTTTTCCAATTTTACTCTCAATTCTACTGTAAAACCTAATGTGAACTGAAAAGTGTGCGAGTTGAGGGAAAGAACGTAAAAAAGAATAAACGTTCATTTATAACTTTTTCCTCCGTTGCCAAATTTTCGAGAAAAATCGTACCAAAGAGCCAAATATTGGAAAAATTGGATAAATCGCCACGCCATTGTTTAAGAAAGTGGGGCTTGAAGAAGAAACTGTAATATTGCCGTACGTAACAGATCTTACCCATCTATACCACATATAAAAAAGCATAGTTGTATCTGGATTCCGAAGATGTGAAAATTGTCCATGATGTCACCTTTTGCAGCCTTTGCTTATGTGTAAGACGGATCTTTTGAATGTTTTTCGACCTTTAGTCATCCTCCGTAGGAATGTATCGTTTGTATTTTTGCTTTGCTTTTCTTTTGTATAAATTGCTTGTAATGAATTTTAAGGGGCCTTACGATCCATTGTTGCCATTTCTGCCAATTTTAAGAGTTTTTTTTCAATTTTAGACGTGTCAGACTTAATCCAAAACCGTGTACAACGTGCACTCACATTTTATGAAAGAACGTAAGAAAGTACATCATTCCAACGTTCTTTGTAACTTTTCCTTACGTTGCCAAATTTCGTTCAAGGTTTTAGCAAATGAATAGGTAATGACTTTCATGCAGAATTTTGGGAGACTCTGATCTTGGGTAAGCGGCCTGTAGCATTAAGTCATGATTATAATTATAATATAAAGTCAAGGTCATAATTCACTTCCAAGAGACTTCTACGTCATAATAAATCCAATTTGTGTCACTTCAGGACGATTTTTCTTGAAAATTTGGCAACGTAAGAACAAGTCACCGAGAACGTTAATCGTGTACTTTTTTACGTTATTTTCAAAAATGAAAAGTGCAGCAAAAATACAAACGATACATTCCTACAGAGGATGACTAAAGGTTGAAAAACATTCAAAAGATTCATCTTACATATAAGAAAAGGCCGCAAAAGACGTCATCCCGGACAATTTTCACATCTTCGGAATCCAGATGCAACTGTTCTTTTTTAATATGTTGGAACCAAAGAGACTTGTAAAAGCAGCCCGAAACGGAAACGACGATCGAAAACATAGGTAAATGCGGAAACAAGGCTAAAATACAAAATACAGAGGCAGCTGGACGTTTCTGTCATCCCTGCAGTCTCATTTCAATACCAATCTCACCATGTAACGCCGTTTGTTGGTTTTTATTTTAATTTCTTTTTTATTTTTAATTCTATTTTAGCAGTTGATAATGGTGCCGTAAGGTACCAAAACGTCCTACCTTTGTATTTTAATATGTTGCATAGATGGGTAAGATCTGTTACGTACGGCAATATTACAGTTTCTTCTTCAAGCCCCACTTTCTTAAACAATGGCGTGGCGATTTATCCAATTTTTCCAATATTTGGCTCTTTGGTACGATTTTTCTCGAAAATTTGGCAACGGAGGAAAAAGTTATAAATGAACGTTTATTCTTTTTTACGTTCTTTCCCTCAACTCGCACACTTTTCAGTTCACATTAGGTTTTACAGTAGAATTGAGAGTAAAATTGGAAAAAAACCCTAAATACAAGCCAAAAATGGCAACAATGGACCGCGAGGCCCCGAAAAATTCATCGGAGGCCTTTTTAAAGGCCAGAAATGAAAAGTTCGCAAAAAAATACGTAGGAATAACCTCGTAAAGCTTAAGGGAGGGAGTGTGCAAACGACTCCGAGCGGCGAGCGGCGCCCGGATTCCAGTCGGCGCGCGCGGAGCGTAAACTCAGATTGCTCATATCTCCGTTACTAATCGTTTCCCTGGGAGCCATAATATATCAAAAGAAATGGAAAAGTACGAATAATACAATGAACAGTTTTTTTTTCGAATCGAGAATCCGGCATTTTACGATGTACTAGGGTTGAAAAAAAATTGACCCTTAAGAAAGTGTGAAAAATGGCAACATTGCAATCTTAAATTACCTAAACGATCAAATTGAGTACTTATTTCAAAAGAACGCAATTTTTTGAGAATTTTAACGCAAACCGCACCTCAATATCTCTTTTCGTTCAAAAGATATGCAACTCGACGGTTTTCAACTTGGCAACGCTGCTACGCGGAGAGAAATTCGTTTCAGGCCTTGAAATTTTGGGAAAAGGCGTATCCCATAGTGAGGAATAACATACTGAAATTTGGTCAACATCCATGAGGGGGGAAATTTTGTCGATTTTGCATACACCCCTTTCCTATGAAGTCTTATTTTTCTTAACAGAGAACCGAACACCTTAACGCTTTAAACTTTCTGTGCAGCTTAATTCCTGGATTATTAAGAATATCACTTCTCTCAAAATTTCAAGTTACGATGTTGTTTAACTTTTCTGTTGAAAAAATAAACTACAAGAGGAAATTACGCAACGTCTCATGTAGTTAGGTTGATTTATGATTATAATCGTCTAACTGTGAGCACAGTGATAGTGATAAGTACTTATATAAGTTCCATCTTCTGAACCTGGACTTCCCCTTACCTATTAAGATTATTTCACTTTGATTCTTCTCTTACTTACCCTGTTAAAAAGAAGAGACGGTGTTCGGCATTGCAAAAATCACTGATAGGGCTCTGATTCCATTTTGGAAAAAAGTTGAGATACAGGCTTTTTCACACTTGCGCGAGGACACAAAAAGATTTTATCATCTGACACTCCAGCTATTTACTTTTTTCTTTCACTGTCTTTGAGTACCTATGAATTCATGCTGAAGTTTTGACAATTCTAAGTTTTAGTTAACTTTCCTGGTTGGTAAAAAAAAGAAAGAAAAAAGATCTCAGAAGGTTATGAAATTAAAACTAAATTTCAAAAATAAACCTCAACAGAAGTGTTCGACAGGATATAATATTACTTGAGAACTTACAAAAAAATGCCAGGCAACCACAATTCATGGCGAACAATTTTTTGATAGAGCTTTTCAGAATCGTCTTTGTAAGCTCTAAGTTCACTGCCAAATTTTCCTCTAAAAATTGCATCTCCTTGCAGTAATTCTAGGGGAAAGTTTAATTGGAGTAACGTTATGACAGGTTGCCGAACAAAAATAGTTTTGAAATACGATTGAAAAGCTGAATATTTTCATAATGCCTTGTCTAAAACCATTTAGATTGTAGGTGACACTCCAAGTGGCGCAGTTCAATGAAAATATTGAAATAATTCTGCAATTTAATGCAATGAAATTGCAATACTTTTTACATTGGTCGATCAATGGAGATTTTAGATGATCAACAAAGGGAGTTGTGTGAGAGAGGTAGACAATTTGCAGAGCAAAAAAAATTGCAACTTATTTCAATTTTATTGTAATCAACTTCAGTGAGAGGAGCCCTTTCAATTAGTAAGTATACGGCATATACAACACCTCAATGAATGGCAACAATTTTACCTGTTAAATGGCAAATTATTACAGTCTGTGCTAAGTATTCAGGCAGTTCTCCATTATGAGCCTACCCTTTGCCATTTCACAATGGTCATCACGAATCAAAATAGAAAAAATTAAGTTAGCGTCACATCAGCTTTTTGTCCTGCAACAATTCTTTTTCTACTAGTATGGTAAATTAATAAACACCAAAAATTATTGACAGTTAGCTGACTTGACTTTTAAAGTGATCAAATAATGGGAGGGGAAGAGGAAATGTTTTCAAAATTTCCATTCACTTAAGACTTCCCCCTCAAAACTTTTCACAGGGGTACAGTATACTTCCTTCAATGTAAAAAATCGATACACTGTAACTGACTTGTGTGCACTGGCGCATATAGAGTGTAAATTATTTATTGATTGTACTTTTACGTTATATTTGAAAAGGGTAGCAACTGAAAAATTCCAGGACTCTATTCCATTGATAAAAAGTACCCTACTCTTTCTCTTTTAGTTGGCTGTGCGTTTTTAAAAAAATTAATAAGAATGAGATCATCATATTATTTTCAATTCAATTGCCAACCTAGAAACATGTCCTGAAAAGGAAACATATTCTCCACTCCTTACAGCCACTTAAACTGAAAAACGCATATCTAGGGTTTGCATCATTGGAGACTAATTCCTGCCGTAAATTACTTTCCAATGCCCAATGAAAAATGCCCAACATAATTTCTCGAAAGCTTCCTTGAATTTTTTCCTCTATGTCAAGAAGATTCTGCGTAAATTTCAAGCAATAGTAATGGTAGTAATAGTATTGTGATATAATAAAATGAGAACGAAGGTTTTTAAACATGGCAAACGAGATTCCTGTTTTTGCAGTTTCATGCATTTTATGCATAATTTGATTACCACATTTCGATTAAGCATTATAGAGGTCCTCAACCAAACAGTAAATAAGGCTGTCATATCTGCGCAGGGATGACATCATTACTATTAATTGGTTCCCTAACTTGCAGTTTCATCGTTAACAAAATGAGAATCTATAAAACGCTATTCTATCTAGTTACTTTTTAGTTGCTATCCTCTTTAATAAACTACTTTAATTTTGGTGTAAAAACTAATAAAAATTTTCAAACCATACAGAAGCGCTGATTTTTCATTATACCTAATAATTACTATAAGTAATGTAAAAATTGATTTTATTGAGAACTGCCCGTTCAAATTCCAAAAACTTGATTACTACAAGGACTTGTAGATGTATAGAATAAGGCACTTTTCATATCATTAATTTCAGCCTTTTAATTTCTGAGGTAAAAGCAGGCTAAACTTACTTTTTGGATGACACTTTAATGAAACCGGTTAAAATGTCTAAGGTTTAAGGGGTCTTACATTATAAAACTATTAGATTGATTAGCAGTTTTTGAGAGAGAGAGGGCCTATTCAAAAAAACTTTTAAAGTATAAAATCACAAATTAAAGCATTCTAAAGTTATGTACAAATATATAAAAATTTTAATGTTGTGACAGAGTAAAAAATAATGATAACATTTATACAAAGTAATAAAAGTTTTAAACACTAAGCATTAATTTATGTGAGAGAGACAACGACTCAACACATTACCTAACAATTTACAATTAGAAGACGAATAAATATGTAATCACAAATCAATTAAAACTAATTATTACATCTAAACAGTTTTTCAAAAGTTTTAGGGGTATACGTTTTGAGCTCAGTCTTTGTATTATGTAAGGCTTTTACTTTAATGTTTTAAATTACTGGGCATCACATTCTGATGATATTCTTCTTGAAATTCATTTTCTCTGACTTTAAATTCAACATATTCTACTGAAAAGCAGCTGATAAGATACGCATGCTGGAGGTACTCGGAATAACACATATTTTAAACTCAATAAATCTGTCAAAAGTGGGAAGAGCTGTCATAGTAGAGGTATAAGTTTGCCTATGTTTAACGAACAGATTATTTAACTGTACAGTTATACTACTGTTATCTTTCCTACAAGTTTAAAATTTTAACCTAACTAAACATTCTTTAACGGACAAGAAAACAAATTTACACAATTTTCGATAAGGTTTATGTAAGCAGGTATATATGAAAGAAAAACAATATGAAAATTATTGATTACAGTCCTCAGGACTTGGGCGAGACATATGTAAAAAGTATGTTTGATTTTTCCGATATTTTTTTTTTCGTTTCGTTGGAATGAAAATAGAAACGTGTCCGTTTTGAACTTTCACTACTTGCAATGGTTAACCTACTTACTTATACGTAGATGCAATGAAAGGAAGAAATCTTTTCTGCTCTAATCATTTTCAGATCTATTTATAAAACAAAAGAGACCAGTGCAGTTATTTGCCATCAATTGAATTTTTTCGATAGGTTTCAACAGAAAAGCTAGTTTCATTATAATTTTGCTTGGACATTTAGACCCCTCTTTTTGGAACAAAGAACTGACGAAAAATGTATGATCTATTGAAAAGTGAATTAGGAGCCACCCTCTTCAGGGAAACATTGATCATAAATACTGTTCCACATTGAAATGAACATTGAAGTGAGAGCTTCTACTGAAAGAAACAGTTTCATTATAAGAGATAAAATTGTTGGTAGATAAAATGAAAACCTCTTGCAAGTCCATTTAAATCAACTTAAATTTTTTTACAAAGAAGGTCACTAAAATTAGGGAATAAACCTACACTTCTTACTACTTTTTGAATCTATTGTTCGTTAAAAAAATTAGTTAGGAGTCAAGGTGATGTAAATTCTGAGATGAGCAGTAACACCCAGCCATGGCAAAATTGTTGGTAATAGCATTCAATGCAGCGCTCAAGGCCAAAAGAGATTGGCTATTCTTGGTGTTAAAAGGCCCATGATAATGCTTGACAATAAATTTACACTATGATTATCTAATAATCGACTTCCACTTATGTGCACGACATCTTTTCCAGGCCGTTCAACAATAACATGTGTCTTTTTGTTTAGCCCTGAAACATAATGTAAGAACAGTAGATGTGAAAAAGACAATAAATAAGAAAATATGTGTAAGCAAATGAATAATTAAACATCATACACCTGATTAAAATCAGGACAAAAAAAATGAAGTTCTAACGCAAGGAGACAAAAATTCTAACTCATCAAATTAAAGAGCGAAGAAAGACAGAATAATGCACTCTCTGAGTTTTTCCTCTTCTAATGTATAAAAGATCCAGGAAATGAAATATTCTACCTCTTAATTAATTTGTCGAGTAACAAAGGATGTGATAAAAATAGACTAACCTGAATACTGGAGTGTTGCACCAAGCAATGAATCTACTAAACTACCGACAAAACCACCGAACACTCCAGCTAATATTAAAGGCCACTGCGGAGGGCTGCGCTCAATTGTTACAGAGTCCAAGATGTAAATCAGGCATAGATAATGCACTAATCCGACAATGGCACCACCTGCAGCACTTGCTAGTAGCCCTGGCCAAGAGACTCCTCCATTAGTACCTGAAAAATGTGCCATATATAAATCATTAGCGTGATTCGTGGTAATACACAAAACTTAGCAATGGAGAATTTGCACACAAAAATTGTATTGCTAATGAGCTGAGTTTGCAGTATTTTTCATAATTTTTTTCTGAGGTGGAAATCTGGAGAAAACTTGATTTAAAAGTGAGAAAATATGCTGCCTTATGATGTCATCTGGCGGCATTTCCCATTTAAACGCATGTATTTTAGCAGAGTCCGTTATTTTGTCATGTCTCCTCTAATAGTTGTTCAATTTATGAATCAAGGGTAGGGCTGTTCAATCGGTTGTCGGTAAGCCACCGAAACAGTTCCGTTAAGAGAAAGTTACGATAAGAGCGCTCTTACCGATAGCGATCAGAGTTTTCGGAGCTGGCGAAAATAAGCTGTTGCCAATTATACATCTATTTTACGCGCCGCCGCGCCAGGCAATCTGATAAACCGTCACACGGGGCAACAATGTATTGAGTGCGAGCTCTCAAAACTCCGATAAGGCCGGCTGTTGTCGATATCATGGCCACTGTCGGTACTGCCGCCAGTTTCAATAAGAGACAATGTCGATAGTGTTCCGGCAAGAATTCGTTTGAACACCCCTAATCAAGGGTATCTTTGTGTTCAGTTCACTCAGTAGATTCCACTTAAACACGAAATTCATCGAAATTCAGACCCTTGAAAATTCTCCATTATGATTTTTTGTACAGTAAAGGGGCAGTGGCACAGAATTTTTGCAGGGTTATACATAGTACAGTTTTTCATAAGTAAAATATTGTGAAAAAATAAAACAAATTTCTAGGCCCCTGGTAAAAACTGCGATTTTAAAACCTTTTAAAATATATGTAGCAAAAATGATAACGCAATACATCACAAACAAGTAAAAGCATAAAAAAACAACAAAAAAATGAATTACCTTTTGGGACGCTTTTTCCTGAGGTGATGAGAAATGGTTGACTAGATCCTAGTACTGGACCAAGCTCAGAAGCCCAGGTGTCTCCATTACTGCAAGCTATGGCTCCTGAACACAAGGAATGGTTCAATTGAAACAGCAGTGGGTAAAAAAGTTTATCGGACTTTAAATCTAAGTACTTTTTGAGAAAGGATATCTTCATCATTTTACACTTTAATATCACGCTTTTTCATGTAGAAAAGAAATGAAAAAATGAGTTTTAAAAACATGGTCGTCAAATGTCCAATTTTTTTAGAATATTATAAATGGTTAATTTTAGGATAATTCTAAATGAGATAAAGAAAAATAAAGATATAACCAAGTATGTTCTACTCTTTAATATAGAATCATTCATAAAAATTTAGTGAGATTACTCTGCGTAATCCAGATTTATGACATAACCTAGGGTGATCATATGATTAACCAATTTGTGTTTAAAAGAGGTTCCCTGCAGCAATCTTAGAGCCCATTTATGTAAACAAATTTTGCGACATGTTGCTCAGCAGCCAAGAATGGGCCTGTTGCAAATTTTTGCTAGAGCTAAAATAAGAGTTGTTTCTATCGGTAAATGTCTCAAAAATCAAATCGCAATCGATAGCACAAAGGTCAACCAAAGCGAATCTATATCAACGCGAAGAAATCTTGAATAAGGACGGGCTGGGGTGTCAACAAATCGTTAGAATCTCGTCCAGGCAAATTTGTTTTGGTGTCGGCCACGTTGAATATTGTGTAGTGTCCTGGTGCACAGGGGTTGAATGAAACGACTCCTCTAACGAAACGTTTACCTGTGCCTTAGTATCGTTTCTTAAAGTGCAAATTTCTTGCGCAGATTGTGAAGTTATGAGTGCATTTCAAACTTTGCCGATGCGCTTATCGTTATTTTGGAGTTATTTACTGAAAAAAACAACTTTAGTTTTTGCTACAGCAAAAGTTTGCAACAGGCCCATTGTGCAACTTCTAACTACACAGATGATAATGGAGGTGTTAGTACGAGTTGCTAAGAATACCTGCGGTAAAACTCAGCAGGCAACAGCGGTTTTTAGACTGTTGCTGACAATTAGAAACCACCAGTGATTCTGAATCTAAACATTTCACCACTTTTTTGTAGATATAGTTTACCACCTAGTCTGCAGAATCAAAGATACGCATTGGTTTCTTGAATCTAATTGGCTGTCAACTACACTCCGATGATAAAGTTTTGAATCTAAGTAATATTTTGTTACGAAAAAAAATCTTTTGGTTCCTGAACTGAAGAGATGAACAAATAAGTTGGGTAGGTTTGAAATGTTTGCATTATAAGTGCTTTCAATTCTGATCTGTATGTTTTGTAATGAGAGCAGACCAAAGTCAATGTCACATCTTACATGAAGATTATTTCTAAACAAAGCTCACCTTACCAAGAATACCTAGCGACAGCCAAGAAGCTCGATAGTCCTGAGCAAAATTTATCGGGCGTTCACCGCAACCAGAATCCAAAATGTAAAACAAAGCAAGCTGCACTGCCATTCCACTGTTGCACAGTACTTGCACCCAATTCCGTTGCCCACCTGAAAAATGGATTTTTTAGAGATTTTGTGCAGAAAAAAAAGAGACTTGACTTGAATACATACTTGGATCAAGAATCAATGGCTGAGTTCTGACAACTTCAATAAAAATCCAAGTCTTGAAAAATCGCATAAGAATCTTAATCCATGGGAAATCATTAGCCTGCTGCAGTAGGGAAAAACAATGTATAAACACTCCCATTTTCTTAGAGAATATTTCATCAGAAATTATTTCAATATTGATTCCACTCAGATTTTGCTTTTGACAACCAAAAGACAAGTAAAAAGCCGTACTTGTGATAATTGAGACTTACTGGAGATGGTAGTTTAAGAAATAAAAAAAATTAACTGGTAAATCTGCAAATACCGTTTTTATGAGATATGTGTTGATCAAAATATTAAGAACATTTGCGAGAGCAAATAACGTTGATGTAAAAATTTTCCCCTGACACTTTCACCATTGAGTATGGCAATCCTATTAAAAACCTGTTAAAATACACTCCAACAGGGCTTATGTCTTGACTTTGAGATTTTCTACGGACAAAATGACCTGTCATCAAAACGGTGAATCCGCAGAATAATAGGCAAAGAACTTACCCTCCTTGAAATCTTCTTCCATCTTTTCTTTTTGTTTACTTCGGAATTTGGTCGCTCTGGATGATGTGACAAAAAATGTTAACAAGCAACCGAGAAAAGCCCAGCTACTCAAAGTCAATATAAAACCAACGAACAAACCTGAAAACAGTTGTTCAAAATCCAAAATTAGTTATACACAGCGGAAGAAATTGTGCTAATGAGAGCTGAGTCACTAAATTTTGAGAGGAAACACAGCTTTTCAGAGGTTATTTTTTACACAGGAAATTGACACTGCCGATGAAAGACAAGCCACAAAAATGCAAATGGAGATAACTGCTATGCTAAAGAAAAGTGCCATATGATCCCTCAGGCGTTGCCAAAATGATGAGAGACGGAATATAATATTGTTCTTCCAATTTTTCATAGGATTTTATTCGCAATTTAATCTATCATCTTTATTTTATCATAATAAATACTCATAAATTTCCTCTAGAATAAATATTACTCCATCAACTGATGCCATCAATCATGGGAAGATGGAAAAAAAAAAAACTTAAATAACCAATGGATACGGATAAAAAAATCAAAGGAGTACTGAGTTTCCTTACCAAGAAAGGCTCCGCTTTTGTTGAGACTTTTTCTTTTTAAGCCCCATGCTGCAATAATCAATGGCACCAAAGTAGCTACAAGCCATCGTACTGGTGGTATTACTTCTGAAACATATGATAGTAAAAAAATTAAAAAATTTTGCAGCAACAAAAAATTATTCATTTGTAATTGAACAATTGTGAAAAAACAGTTAAAGTAACCACTTGTATGGTGGTTGAAATTACAATCATCAATACTGAATTTAATGCTTTTTTATTTCATTACCACAATACTTTTGTGATCATTTACTCAAAAAACAATCAGTACTTTTATCAGCAAAATTTAAATTTACCTAACAAACAAACATGATTGATAAGAAGAAAAAAATTTGCTTTGTCGAAGATAACTGCTGGCGACTAGATATTCCCAGGTGCCTAAGTGCTTAAGTCTGACAAATTTTGGTATGAATCCAAACACACCCTGCTGCTGAATTTTTCAGTGTTCAAGCTATGAAAATTAGAAAATCAACGTCAATAAGGTATGTAAACACCTATGAGCCCTTTAATAAGAAAACTTTCATCAGTGAGTAGATAAAAAGCAGGTATATTTAAGACTTATCAAGAGTTCAAAAAAGGTTAACTGCACCAACCACGACCTGCGATAATATTTCGATGAACTTCTGAAACAAAAGTACCGATGCACATTGATAAGCTCCTGGACAGCGCACAGATTATAAATACCGTATACCTCCTTCACAAAATTTTGAAAACAGCAGCTCTAAGTCATTCACTCTTTCGGTTGTTGAGACAAAAATTCAAGGCAATTACTTACTATTACAGTCAAAAAATTTTGGGAATTTTGAGGGAAAGCTTTAAAAATTAAAATTCATGGGGATCTTGGTGTTTGTTCATTTTTTTTCTTCTTCTTTTATTAATGTTTGGGCACTTAACTATTGTAATAACACTACAAAATGTTGGATGATGAAAAATTTGGCATCTGTTTTCATTAGCTGAGGAATACTTTGCAGAAAAATTTTACTGCTCTTCCTTGCATGTGCAGGAAGCAAAGAGAAGATAGGTAAGAGAAATAATGACTACTTAGTCCTCCTAAACAGACCTAGTGATGGTGAGGATGTGACTTGGAGTTGTTGATGTAGGATGTGTAGTCACTAATGTAAGGAAGGCTAAAGTCGCAAGGTAAGATAATCTCGAGGTCACTGTCATGATCTATAAGTTGCTAATTTGACACAAAAGTGGTAAAAGCAAACAGTTCATACTTTCCTTTTTTGCATTTAACTAGCAACTTGTAGATTACAACATCAACTCTGAGTTTCGACTTACTATCGGTGGGTTAGGTCACTTGTTACTCTCAGTCTTTAGTGCTATTCTCTCTTCCTGCACATGGTCACACTTTATTTTTTTAGTTTGGCAGCACACTCCAATTAATTGACGTCCACAAAATAATAGCTAATATCACCTTTGGTGTCTTGTAGTTTTGGAATTTTTACACTACTTAAGATTAGGTCTCTAGGCGATGTTTAATGAGGCTTCCGCCTCTTAATTTTACCTTCGGCCAGCATGATTTAAGTATCTTCATGAGACGTTAGAAACTAATTTCTAAGAGTGGTGCAGTAGCAAACTCAATATCCCTGCAAGTATGTTCAAAGCATTTATACCAAATGGGTATTACAACCAAAAGGCGTACTTAAGTCCTACTTTTTTTCATTGGTGGGTTAGTAAACTGATTTGGTGGGATGTTCTGCGGTGGTGCGTAAGAAAAGTCAAAATAATTTTGAAGTTAAAGTGTGTTCACTTACCATTATTATCTCCCCTATAGGATATAAAAGAAAATGCCAGATTGCCAGCCCACATCAACATCGACAGGGGTACGGCAATTAAAGTCAATACAATTGGAAGGATTTGGGCCATCTCTGAAACGGAAGAGGATTTTGAAAATTAAACGAGGCACAGTGCAAGGAACAAAGCCGTCTAGAAATAGGGGGAGAAAATAAATGAAAATTTTAGAGAATTTGGAATGGTTTATCTATGTTCCATCAAAGGGATGTTCTAAGTTGTTAGGGGCACAATGTAAACATCTTAAAATTAAAGTTATGCTCTCACCTGAAGTGGAAAACACGAAGACGTTAAACTGCAAAGCCTCGAATGTGTGCAGAGGGTTTTAAAGATGATGGAGAGGAAACTTAAATTAAATAAATGTTAAAGAAGCAATGTTGGAACGTAACTTTGCGGAATTTTCTTATCACTTTTTGATAAAACCACCCGGCATTTGGTGACTGGTGAATCTGGTGGGCTGCGCCTGTAGATGAGTGGTGTTGTCAAAAAATTTGTTGACGAAAATTTTGTAAACATGGCGCCTGAGGAACATTTGTGTGTGTTTTTCGAGGACCTAGATTTGTTCGAACAATTATTTACCATGTGATATTTCTAGGAAATTGTGATTGTTCGTGTTTGATCGCAAGTCAACATGACACTGTTCATCAGTATAGTTCCGTGAATTTTCTCCGAGATCACCTAACTCGTAGTGAACGGGAGAGGGTGTGATTATGTATCATGTTATCAGTCCCCGTGCTCTACAATCAATAAGTACTAACAAAGTCAGTGTGTCGTTAGAATAGCATCTAATTACTTTGAATGCCTGTAAGAATTAGTCCTGACACCGACTTTGCTTATCTCACCAATTTCAGCTCTTTTATTCTCAGTGTCAGTTTTTCCTCACATAACACTGATAGTAAGGAAAGTGATAGGACTTTACAAGTGCTTACATGCCTGTGGAATTTTTTTCACCCTGGCATGAAAGAATTCCTCAAGAAAAATGTTATTCTCCCATGAGAAACTCTTTTATATCTGTTGAATTTAATTTCAAATGATTCCCAGAACATCATGCTGAAATCATGTAGTATTAATCAGATATGACCCTGTAATATAGAGGAAGAGGAGCAACTTGAGCTTCACGATGAATATCATGCGGAAATTGCGAAGTGGTGGAGGCCTGACCAGCATGCCATCAACTGGTCAGCAAGATGATGGAAATTCAAATTCTGCCCAGCACACAGCCCTAGGGCTAATGCATCTGAAGAAATTGTTCTCCGAGTACACTCATCCTGCACATCAACTTAGTGATAAAGAAAAGGAAGAAAAGCTTTATAATATGCTTCCATTATTCTGCAAAGTAAGTTTTCCCCTTACTTTTGGTCTGTTTTAAAAGTCTGTAGGCATGCCATTGATTTTACCTAATCCCTAAAGTACATTATACCTCTTTTCAGGAATATACTTACATCACGCCCACCTGATGCTTTGTTACCAGCATTATACCTACCTTGAATTTCTAGCAACATATTCCTTGTGTCAACATGTTGATGATAATTTTTGGCAATTAATATGAAAAAATTTAAATATTTATTCCTTCATCCTAGAGAATCTGCTCCATTCATTATTCCTTCTTACCTATATCAGAGTTGAGTGCCGAAGGTGTTTTACGCCTTCTCTACACCTGTTACCAAAGTCTCTTTTGACTTACATCCTGGCTTTAGTCTAGCGTTTCTCTTGTGTCTAAACTTTGATCAGTGATCATTTGTAAAATCAATAAATGCCTATGTAGATGATGGAACACCAGTGTAAAAGAGGATAGCTTTCTCAGCAGCCTATCAAACTTTATATTGATCATCAATATACTCAACTCTGCTTTTGAAATCACTTTGCAAACCATTCATTGTTCTAATAATCAAAATACCTGATACATTTTGAGGGCAAGTATTAGCCATATGAACATCTTGGATGCTATGTCTAACTTTTTTAGTCAGGGAAGGATCTATCATCCTTATTCTTTGAATTGATTTCTATGCTATAGTGATGACAGTATGTCCTTTATTGCATTTTACAAGTGGGTTGACTTTTGCAGCACTTAGAGTCAGTTTCTCAATTGTGCCACATGGAGTCTCTCAACAGTTTACAGCCCTTTGTTTTAGACAAAGATTATTTCTTCTTCCTTTCTATTTTTTGTCTCTTGCTTTCTGCTTTTCAATTTTCTAATGTGATTTTACTTTGCAGCAAAAAAAGGTTGGAATGCCAAAAAAAAATTATCACGTTTATAATTTGATGCCCCGGGCTCCAACCTCCCCCATTAATCCAGCACTGGTAGTGTGAACTCTACCAGCGGGGCGATTATTGAAATGATATCGACTGTATGTCAACGCTTTGTCGTGTCGCGCCATCGACTAAGCAATGGCTTAGTCGATGGCGCGACTCGACAAAGCGCTGACATACAGTCGATATCATTTCAATAATCGCCCCGCTGTGAAAGTTTTTAAAACAGCAAAGTGAGGAACTTACTGTCATAAGTTTCAAATCCAGCCAGATTTTAACTATGCTTCGCAAGGAGGAATTAAAAAAGAAATAAATTCCTTCGACTTTTTTCAAATAAATAGCTATACTGAAGTGGCACTTAGCATCATAAGTAATCTCTTTTTACCTTTAAAATCAAAATTTTTTTGTTTCAGGTGTTCGGAAATGCCTCTTGTGCTGACATGACAGACAAGTTTAGAGACATCGTTTCTTTCTGTGGTCATGTCTCTCGATTAATGGTGTCAGAAATACGTCGTCGGGCATCAAACCAGTCTACTGAAACAGCCAGTCGAGCAATCGCCAAATTTCTAGAGATAGAAAATTCTGAAGAATCTAGCAACGGCTGGATGCTTCTCTCAACCTTAAATCTTCTTGCGTCGGGCAATGCGCAATTGATACAGGTTATTTCTTCATCATCTCAGTTAATTTTCAAAGCTCAATTCTCAACAGTGATCTCATTAAGGAATATATTGTCAAAGAAACTTTGAATCACGTATCTTGGTCTGTGGTGATGCAGACTTCCTGATGTACTCTATTTTTCAAATGGAAAACTACCAGACAGCAATTCTCAAAAACTGCCATTATTTTTTTTTGTCTGAGAGCAGCAAATTCTGAAAAAACTTTAAAGAATGATGCTGATATGTTGCCGAACAAGTCTGATTCTAATTTAGCTCAAATTTATCAGTTTCCCATTTCATTTCAATGTCTATATCTTATACGGTCCAAGACAGTAGTCATTTACTTAGCTGATTGACTGAATTAGGTACAATTAAAATCATAGTCTCATAATTTTTCAGGTTCTGTATTTTTGAAACTGTTTTTTTCATTCTATTAATATTTATTATTATTCATCCAGGTTATGACATCAGTAGCATTACCATCCACTCTTGTAAAATGTTTGTACCTATTCTTCGATCTCCCAGAAATGGAATCTGACTGTGATGTTCGAGAGAAGGATTCTGAATTTACACCAAAAGAAAGGCGCATTTTACTACAGAAAATCTTCGTTCAAGTATGTAATTTTCCTCTCTGTGCTTTGAAAAAAAAGTAGAGTCTGCTCTTCATCAAAGATTGATTGACTCAGATTAGTCTAAGAGGGTAATCAAGACCAAGAATCTTTGCAAAATTGGAATGTATTCAACTTAAGGCTTGCTCCACTCTACAGTCTTTATATTTTATTTATTGATGACTAAAGTACGAGACGACAATGTATCTGTTTGCAATGTTGCAGTCTTTGTGTGATACTTCACTTTTTTTTTGGAAAACTAGTTTAAGTATATTCCTGAAAACTTGCTTGATTTTTCTTTGCTGTCAGCAAAATATCCTGTGTTTTCAAGCTAAAAAGTTAGCCTGTTTTTCTTGCCAAAAATAAAAACAGAGCTACATGATACGGTCCCTAGTGACCTTTCAGAAATTTTTTTCTCATTGGCGCACTGATTAAAAGTTTTAACGGGTATCAGATGAAGAAAATTTTCATTCTCAATGCTCAGAGGAGTTACGAAGCCCATTATTACTCTTCTTGCTTTTACCTATCTAATTTTTATTTGCTTTATTTTTTCACTCTTTCTGTTGATTTTCAGGTTTTGGTGAAACTTTGCAGTCATGCTGCACCGGCTGAAGAGCTGTCTCGGAAGGATGATCTGATGTTGCTTTTTTCCGCTATCACTAGTAGCTGTCCATCATATAATGTTCTTTGGAGGAAATCTGCCGCAGAAGTATTAATGACAATATCAAGACATGGTCTTACTCAACCAGTTGTTGCGTATATTCATAGTAAGTTCAGTTCCTTTAATTTTCTTTTTATTTTGTTTTTAGGTACCTAATGTCCAAATAGAAAGAAGGCAATTTTTTTTTAAAAAAAAAGAAAAAAAAAAAAATATAAAGAAAATTTTTTTGTCCAAATTATTTCACAGTAAATTATTGATTATCCGGTGTAAAGTGGGGGATGAGGAAAATGCCAGGTAATCAAAACCACCGATAAAAGATTGAAAAAACGCCATTTCAGGCTCTGTATGTAACCAGAAAGCACAAGCTTGACCTATTTTTTATTTAATTTGTATAACATAGTAGATACTGCAGATAAATTAATAAATAGTCATTTAATTGAAAAAAGTTACAAAAATCTGCAAATATTTTCAATTTTGGTCCTAAAAATTGGCTGCCACCCTGTTGTGTCTGGTAATGCCCTGTTTCAGTGATGAAAGACTCACGTCAGACAAACAAGTAAACAGATAACGGAGGATCTACTTTTTTTTATTCTTCTTATTTATTTTTGGTGCGATATTTAAGTTTCACAGTAGGTGATAATATCCAACTTTTACCAATGTTAATGTTTATTTATTGGATCATACAAATAAAACCATAAATTATTCTAATTTCAGGTAAAGGATGCATGGCTCTTTGTATTGAAAATATGCAACGCGGTCAAGATTTGACTCCTCTCGACATAGTAGAAATGTTTGTGACAGTTTTCTGCTTTTTGAAAGATTCTTCAGAGGTATCTCAAACTCTTTTGGATGACTTCAAAGTTGCTCATGGTTATTCTTTTTTATCGGACTTCCTTTTCAAGTAAGTACACCGTTATGAAACTCACCATTGTTATTCTTAACTCTCTGCAGTTTGCATTCATTCTGGGTCTTGAAACCTGGTGGAGGGGAAGTAAATAGATGGTTTGGATTTCAAGACTGAAGCTGAAGTCTTTATTTCCCTCAAAGACTGTTGAAGGAAATAATAATTAAAAAGAAATGTTGTGAAAAATGCCAATGAAATTATGAATACTGAGGACAACAAATGGTAATGTAAAACTTAAAAAGAATAAAAAAGTTGAAAGCCAGTATAGATACGATTCCAAAACGCTGAGCTTGATACCCCCCTCTTGTTTGTCACCCTTGGTCACAAAATTATGAAGGTCCACCCACCCCCGTAGAGCATTACGTAATTTATGGGCAGCCCCAGTGACTGTTATGAGGAAATAAGTGAACTTCTGAATTGAATTTTTGGTTGTGACAAACTAGATTTTTATCGAGCTGCGAGCCATTGGACTATGAAAATTAAGACTCCTTCATTCGATTTATATTTTTGTAAATTTTAGCAATTCTACATCAATGCTTATCTATTTTTATTTAAATGTTCGCAGTTTGGAGGGAGGCTCTGAAGCTCAAGAGGTTATTCGAAATGTGGTTTTAATGATAGCATCCTTAGCAATGTGCGGCTACAATGAGCTGAGGCCAAGTCAAGCCAGTGCGGGTTCACTTTTCCAAATACTTGGCTTCACTGTTCCTCAACCTGCAGGAAGAGGTTTGTCTTTTTGAATCCTTCATCTCTCCTAATATCAAAATCATCTATGATTGTTTAATTACTTCAGAGTAATCTTTTCACAAATGCATTATTGAAGAATTTCAATATAGCAAACTATCATCCCTGTGCCTGCACAACAGCCTAACCTCTCTTGGTCCTTCACAGAGACTGTTCTACACTTGTGTCAGTGTATTTTGATGGTCAAAGTTTGACACCACATATCTCCATTGCGATGTTTCATATTGTCTGCACCTTTTTTCACAGAGAAACAAAGCAACTTTATAGTATACAGAATATTCTGTTAACAGGAAGGCTGTATATCAAGAAAGTTTTCTAGAAATTACGTTGACTAGTTTTTCAAAGAAAAAGTGAAGTAGGTAGGACAAAAAGTTTGCAACATCGCAAGTGGAGATATGTGGTTTTGCACTTTGGCCATCGATTTGTACCGAGTAGCTCTCTAGAGATTTTAGCATCAATAATTTTTCAAACTGCTTGTCAAAAGTTGACTGCTTCTCAGCTTACATTCTACCATGATGTATAAGATAGGTAATTTATGTTTAGAGTTATACCCTTTCTTGTCAATTTTTATCTCTATATTTCTCTCCAAATGTTCTAGGAACAAGTGTCCGCAATATTCAGGCTTTTCAAGTATTACAATCAGTATTTTTGAAGTCCAACTCTCCAACTCTCTGTTGCACCATTTTGGATGCTATATCAAGTGTTTATCATGCTGACAATGCCAATTATTTCATCCTTGAAAATCAGAACACCTTATCCCAGTTTGCTGAAAGAATTCACCTCAAAACACTAGAAATACAGGTAAGAAAAAAATACATTTTCGTGCAAATTCTTCGATTTTGCTCTGTCAGATTTCAAAAACCTGAACATCATTTATATTCTTAGCTTCGATGCATAGTGTAATTTAATCACAAAAATTTTGAATTAGAAATTGTAGAAATTAAAAAATTACACAATGGGTAGTGTTAAGACATCCAGGGGGCCCATCAACACGAGGTCACCAGGCACAACTTTCCTTTTCTTTTTTTTTTCTTTTTCAAAGCAGTAGTCAATCGCATAATGCTTTTTTAATTAAGTACCTCTAATTTCAGATTCCAGATGCTCCAGATTCCTCTAATTTTTGTACCCATTATAATATGAAAAAAGAACATTCCTTACTAAGAAAGAAAAATAAAGCTCAGAGTATCACATACATATGCTGTCTTAAATATCTTTTACAAAAACTTTTTTGAAGAGGCTCTTTAAAATGCAGTCTTTGCACATACTTTGTCACTCCTCTGTCTTAAAGGTGTTTATTTATTTCTACATGAGCCCCGGAAAGTATGAATTCTTATGGAGCACAGGGCTCATGTGAACAGTAAGATATGTCCTAACATCAGGAAAGCCATGGTTCCTCCCTTTTCAAAACATTAAATGAGTCTCGGAGAGGCTGTAAGAAAAATCTAAGTACCCATGTGGTTAACGCTTTTCAGACATTGAGTCATTCAAAATTGATTTTCTATCTTCACATTCTTCCTTCAAATTTCTTTCCTCTTAATCCTTTCAATTATCAACTGCTACATATCAATGGTTTTATGTTTCAGGAAAAGTTTTTTCAACTCCTAGAATTCATTGTGTTCCAATTAAATTTTGTACCTTGCAAGGAATTAATCTCTCTCTCAATATTATTGAAGAGTCAAAATTCCATCAGCTGCAGCATTATTTGCATGAAAACTCTACAGAACATCCTGAAGCACAATACTATCTTCAAAGATGTTTATAGAGAAGTCGGTATCCTAGAAGTTTTTGTAACTTGTTTGCAACGTTACGGCGAGTCACTGAAGGAGAAGCAATCGGCTATCGATGAGGGCAAAGGTATTTTCTTTTTTTCTTTTTCATTTTTCTTTATGTTTGATATGAAGTTAAATGCCAAGTCCTCAAGGATTAAATCCTGGGAGCAGGCCTCTTTAATTTTAGAGCTACAATCAAGGTGTTTCCTCCCGTCTTTGTCAAGATCACTGTCTTGCTAGGAAAAACACTGTATGAAAATTAGAGAGTTTCCAAATGTCCTTGGATAAAACTTGTATTTTTAAGGAATGTTATGCTTATTTTGCCTCAAAATTTTCCGTTATTTTTTATTAAACTACAAAAAAAATTTGACAAAAAATATTCGCAATTTTCCCAGTTAATTCGTTTTTTATTGAAGAAATTATGGCAACATCTGAAGGCTCATACAGCGTTCTTCTTTGGAATGGCCATTATCTAATATTTAAAAATTCGAAAACCCTCTAGAACGTCAGTTGTTTTCATTGTGAATGGTATAATGTGCTCTGTAATTAATTGCTCAATGAAGACTCTATGTATAAAATAAGCCTGAATCTTACTCAGGTCTCCTGTGGTGTAGTGATTGTAGCGCTGACTTTTTGATCAGAAGGCTCATTCTGGGCCAAGCAACCTGAGTTTAATGGTGTCAAACAATAGTTGTTTGAGGATGATTCTTCAGTACGCACTAGACTAAGAGGAACAGGGTGTAAACTGTAGGTGTAAAGTATCCCTTTGGGGGCACTTAAAGCAATTAAATAGAAGAAAACTTAAATTGACTTGCTGTGAAAATGTGTTATTACATACTTTTGTTTCATATTTTTATGAATATCAAAATCTGTCCACAGAGTTTGTTATACCTGCTGATAGTGTCACTTTGGGTCAACTAGTTTTGGAATCTTTAACGCTCCTATTGAACAGTAATGTTCAAAATGCCAATGTTTTTCGGGAATGTGGTGGAGCGAGAACAGTTCATGGCTTGATTCAGTACACTGATTGCCGTCAACAAGCTCTAGGTGATTATCTAATTCTTTATTTAATTTTGATCTATCGTTTTAATTATGAATTTTTTTTTTTTGCTTTTTCTCTCAATGTTTTAGAGCAAGTTCAAGCACTTGTCTCTCCACTGTATTTTTTAAATACTTACTAGTGTAGTCATCAGTCTATGTTCAAATTGTAGGTTTGGGCTAAGTGCCAACATTACTTAAAATCCAAATTAAGAGTTTTTGAATTTGTAGACGCTTTATGAAATATATTTATCATTTAAAAAATGGAAGAGCTTATTATTTCCAAACTGTCTCAAAGGTTTTTTTCAATTTTTTTTTTCATGATCATAAGTGCAAGCATATATATATATATTTGAACAACAGATTCATAGAAATAGTTAGTTAGTTACGATTCAAACAAATTATGCCAAGTATGCATTATATATTCGGGAGACCAATGTGCATCAATACATTTTGGAGGCCAGTTCTACCATCAGAAAAAAATGATAAAGTAATAATGATTTGTCCTGATAATGTAGCTGGCTTCGGAAATGCATTGACGCAGTTTGGTCTCCCAAATATACAATGCATCATTTTGTAAGTTCCATTTTTTAGAGTATTTTCTGAAGGAAGTACACTGTTTTTTTTTTATCAATTTTACATGGATACAATTTGCGACTTAATTTCTTGTCTGATAGATTCATGTAGGCGAAAGCCTCTTCAGAAAGATTTTTTCCAATCACAGAATGCTTTTCGCAAGTTCTCATACAATAACTTGTTATCTTTTATCATGATGGAGCCTAATTTTGCTAATACTCTATCTGACACTCTTCACTTTTTCAGGAATCGAGCGTGAAATTATTCTAACCACAGGTGGTGAAGACAGTATGGGTAATCTTTTAGGCATGATGCATTCTGCTCCACCCTCAGCGTTACAGCTGAAAGCACATATTCTAAAAGTAAGTCTCCTCTTCTCGTGTACCATGAAATTTTACTAATTTAGAGCTGGAGAATGTTTCAGGGAGAACCTCTTCAACTATAGGTACAAATCAAAATGAGCTATGCCCTTTCATCTTACTTTCCCATGTCTTTCTTCATGTGCTCCGATGAAAGTCGATTTTAGATAACTTCAAAATATATTTCGCCATCAAATCTATTAAATGTTTCAAGTATTTCTTTCATTGTTATTCTCATGACTTTGTTGCTTTTTTCCAGACAATATTAACATGTTTACGTGAAAGTCACCGCACCAGAACTGTGTTTCGTCGGGTTGGCGGCTTTGTTTACGTAATGTCAGTGTTGGTGTCAATGGAAGGCTGTTTAGCAGATCCAACACCTGCAGAGTGGCAGAATGTAGCTCCAAATCAGCTTTTATCACTCCTGCATTTAGTATTTAATACAATCACCGTGGCAATGCGCTTTGAGCCTGCAAATGCCAAATTCTTTCATCAAGAGGTAATCATTCTTTGACCGTGCATGAACTTAAGACGATTTACTATACTCTCTCAATTATGCAACCAATGAATTTGCATGTTTAGTAGGTTAAAATGCGTTTTTTGCCTCTAATAAATTTGCATTTAAAAGTTTGATGTATATTCTCCAAGCCATTCAGCTGTATTCCATTTAAATTATAACTTCATGGTACATAATTTTGACAGAAAGTTTTTCCTCATTCAATGAATTATAAAGAATTTAGCACATACAGCTCTCTCATGGCAGTCAATAAAAAGAATGAAAGATAATTTTTCAATCACAAACATCTTTCACTCTAAGTATTTTTTCAGTAATTTCTTTATTTCACGTCTATTTCAGATTTGCTTGACAAGTTTATGTGATACATTACGCTTACTTGGTTGCTTCACATCAGCTACAAAAATTGATGAAAGTGATGAAGTGTGCGTAGTCTTGGAGGAAGAATCCACCTTTCACTCACTCTTCTCCGGAAACTTATTAGAGCCAAAATTCCCTGAACACATTCCACAAATTCTGTGTTATGTTACTTTAGTCTATCGACTGTTGTATGATGTAGCCTTAGATTCGTATGAAAAGACATCTGTATCCGGTAACATTCCTTTCAAATCTCCGCGTCACAAACCCAGACAAATTGAAGTAAGTTTATGACTTTTAATAATCTTTCTCTTTTTTCTCTGTTTCGTTATTTTTCGTCATCATTCTTCTGTTTCTCTAAAATTCAGTGGCTCCTCTTTTATAATGGGCTCCTTTTGCTTGTGAAGTGAATGAATTTTCAAAAAAAAGAATGCAGATTTCTTGACTATCAATATACATAATTTGATGAAGAAATTGATCAATTTCAGACTTTTAAATACTAGATGCACATAGTAAAATAAATAAGGTTGTATTTAGTCTGCAAAACGGATACTGCATCAAATTTTAGTATCAGCAATCTGGCTCACTATCAAATTCTGTTATTGAATAGTAGTTGACGTATTCAAATGGTTAATTGTGTACACTTTATTTTTGCAGAATCAAAAATCTGCCGATTCTCCGTCAGCCTCTCGCCGAGTGAACTCACTAAATTTGTCTGCGCCACCTCCAGATCCAATAGTAGTTCATTCTGGTGTCGTCATCGCCATGCTCCATCTTTTACCGTCAATCATTCACAGCAACTGCCCAAAACTTTCCCTGTCGCTTCAGTTATTTGCGGCTGAAATAATTAGGTCATTAGTCAGATCCGAACGAAATCAACAGGTATTTCCTTCTTCTTGAAAGTATATCAAGTTTTATGCTTTTTGACCATCACTTGGTACATACCTCATGGTATCAATTTAAATAAGTAAAATTTCAAAGGATTTTTTTAAGGGAAAATTTTATTTACCAAGAACTTCAGTGACTTCAACTTAATGATGTATTTCAAAGAAAAAGAAATTTCTTTGGCAATTGTCGCTACAATGAGATTTTTCCACAGTACATCAGTGAAAGTAGAGTGAATGGAACTAATTCATTTATAATGTATGTTTATTTTCCTTTGTAGTTTGTTTTAAGGTAAGAAGGACGTGAATATTTGAAAAAAAACCAAAATGTTGAAATTTTTCTTGATTCTTGTAGAGGTGGAAATTCTAAAAATTTTGGTATGATACATTATATATTTCGCACAAACATGCAGTTTATTTGTTATGAATCTCTAAAATATTGTAATATTGTATGTCAGAATAGAGTCAGCTATTTGTCTCACTCCTGAACTGATCAAGACTCAGTTAAGCTAATTTTTCCTCACGTATCCTAGTACAGTATTCTCTCTCTCTCTCTCCATAACAAGAACTCAAGTAACGGGCATATTTCCTGGTTACAGAGAGGTTTTTGCCATGGCAATGGTATGCATTTATTGTAGGTAGTTCATGGGACCGATAGATTTTCTGGTTATGGAGAGGTTCTTGTTACAACTATATTCGTTATGAATAGAGAAATAACTGCAGTTCAAAAAGCAACGATTACAGAAGATAAGAACAAAGAAAAGTCAGAACAAAAAATAAAACAGAACAGTAAGTGAGTGCTTTAAAGAATAAGTTCTAGAAATCTGCATCTCAATCTCTACCATTTTCTTCTTTAATTGCAATTTTCCGAAATCGGACTTTGGAAACTTTCACTACATGTTTCATGGTAACCAGATCAGGTAGATTCATGTTTTATAATGCTCAGAAAATTATTGGTCTCAACTTGCAGCAGAATTATGCATGAAAGTCAACCCATTCTTTTCTATGCTCCAAAAAATGATTTGAAGCTGAAAAAATGTTTAATTTTGCGCATTGAAACCATTTTTTCTCAGAAAAACTGAAAACTGCAAGAATTCTTCTTATCAAACTTGAAAATTCTGCCACCAGTCTGGCACCAAAGTGTGATAGAACAGCCCACCAAATTTTAGGTCTCTAGTAGTCTAGCCCCAACTTACTTGAGAATGAGGGGGGAAAAAACACTAAGAAGTGACCCTAAAATTTTTCGGCTCTAATCGAAACTTTTGGAACTTCTTGGCTTTGATTTCCCCGCGAAATGATGTGGACCCAGCACCATTTCCCCACCTTATTACAGGAGAAATAGGTACCAAAAAATGTTCAACTTTTCAATTTTTACATTGTTTGAATGGTATGACCTTCTTACCTTAATTTTGCTGATTTTGCTGAATTTTTTTAGGTCATGTGTGAGATCAATATGCCAAGTTACCTCCTGTCAGTTGGACAAATGGCTCTGGAAGACGAAGCCCATTATTTGCATATTCCATTTCAATACATGTTAGAAAGGCTAGCAACACAAATGCTTGAACCCAAAGATCTGAGGTAATGTGATTCTTTTCCTAAAACAGCGATAATTTCAATCAGCAATGTGACGATAGTAAAAAATCCTCTTGAAATTTTTAACCATTTAAAATTTAAATGTTAATTTCAGACATGAAGAATAAAACATAATCGGAACTGCACGATTTTGATTCAAGGAGGTAAAGGACCATTCATTAACTATCAATATATTTTCTGCCACTCTGAAAGAAAAAGATAAGAAATCTAGTAAAGTGAAACTTTTTCCGTTCTTTTGTCTGCGCAAAATTGAATGAAACAAATTGCTCCTTTTTAATACAAAGTGAGTAATGGTTCTTCTTTTTTATGTCAACAGAGATTTCCTCCGCCTGGGTGATCCCTTATGCTGTGTTCCTATGGACTATTTGGACTCAATAATTACGCTCGGAAGGCGGCGACCCGGTGGACCAGTTCCTCTCACACGCATCAAAACCTTAGTTTCCATGACAACACCAAGAGATTTTCGCACTAATACCTACGCCGGCTCTTTGACTCTTCCATCACTTGTCGAAATGGACATGAGTGCAGAAGGCTTTGCATGTCTCTTTTTGCCAAGTATAGCTCCACAGTCCCCCTCTGGTGGACAATCAGTCGTAAATGCTGCAATATTAACCAATCAGGATACGAATGTACTCGGTGGGATCGGCTCTGGGGACAGAATATTTCCACCGCAAACAGGCCTTAGTTTCTCCACATGGATTTGCGTTGACAGATTTTCAGACCCTCGCACCGATCCGCATTGTATTCGCTTGTTGACAATAGTTCGGAATCCTCAGAATACTAAAGACGATCATCTAATCTGTTTAGCAGTTGTGTTATCTGCAAGAGATAAAGCCCTACTAGTCAGCACTCAAGAGACGCCTGTGAGTCATACAAGTAGTGGCTGGGAACCAGATGGCATAGGAGACTCCTTTGCTAGAGTCTGGTGTCCGGATTTAAATTGGGAGGGTCAGTGGCATCACCTTTGTTTTGTTTTAAATAGAGCTGTTCTAAAAAATTCATCTCTTTCAATTTACGTCAACGGGCAGTTGATCCACACCCAAAAACTTCATTACATATCACAGAATCCCGGAGGAGGAGTTGTCAACATGACAGTGCCAACATCAGTTTATGCATACATTGGCACTCCGCCTATGTATAGGCGGTACTCCGAATTGTGCTGGAAGCAAGGGCCATGTCATCTGGTTGAGGAAGTGTTAAGTCCTCATATTGTCACCATCATTTACGAATTAGGTCCTCATTATTTGGGAAGCTTACAAGCTGCAGATTTACAAAACTCAGAAGTTTTAGCGCCCCTTGTGGCGGAGGAAAAGATCATTTTCGGACTGAATGCGAAAGCTGTATCACATTTGACTTTAGCCAAAATCCGCAAAGTGTATAGTAGAGTCGATAATAAATCCATCGCTAAACAGCTTGGTATGTCTTCAAATGAAAATGCAACTCCTATCAAAGTACTTCATAATTCTGCCGGTCATTTGAACGGCCCTGCAAGGTCTCTGGGAGGAGTTGTTGTTGGATACTTGGGCGTGCGTGTCTTTTATCCAAGACCTGTTGCCAAAATGATCGATAGTGTTGGCGGATGCTCTGTTTTACTTGGATTGATAGCAATGGCTCAAGACGTTGAAAGTTTATATGCAGGTGTTAAGGCTCTAACTTGTGTGGTTCGCTGCAACAGAGCTGCTCAACTTGAAATGGACCGGCGACGAAGTTACCAAACCCTAGCCATGCTTCTGCGCAAGAAAAAACATTTACTCAACTCGCATATCCTACATTTAACTTTCAGTTTAGTTGGCACAGTCGATAGTGGGAGGGAATCATCCTCGATTCCAAATCCAGTCGCTTTTCAAGACTTACTGTGTGATATTGACGTTTGGCATGAAGCCCCTGGAGAGTTGGAGCGATCCTTGTTTGAGCATTTACTTGAACTAGCTTCAGAATCTAGTGATAAACGTAATAACTTAGCAATCATGAGAGAATTGAATTTGGTTCAAAGACTACTTCATATCTTGGGAGAGGTCATTTATCCTCCATCAAAACAAGTCTTAATATCTTTATTAGGAGCTTTACTTTCCGTGCAACCTGTACCAAATGATCTTCTGGCATTCGGGCAGTTCATCGCTTCCTCGCTTTCTCCATCTGCTTCAACAAATGAAAAAATTTACGTTTTAAAAGAAACACCATCAGTTCGTAAACAATCTTGCATCGAGGTTTGTTTAGAAATTGAGAATCTGTCGCTTGCAACAAGTATGGACGAACAAATGGATGAAAAAGAAGTGGCAAACTGTATATTGTTGAGAAACCGCTGTTTGCAATTACTTCACTCCCTACTTTTCACTCCTAAAAGCACAGTCAACGTCTCATTTTGTGAGGAAGTTTCCAAAGTCCTTGGTTTTGACTGGATTCTTCTTTTTCTCCAAGGCCACGTCCATCCAACATCAATGGTCTGGGGTCTGCGTATCCTTGTCGTTTTATGCTCAGTGCAGAACTTATTAAACAAATTCCGAGAAGGCTCTAGTAATGGCCATTGGCTAACTAATGCGGAACTTGTCGCTCAGAATAAAATGGGCGTGGTTCTCGGCTATCATCTCGGCACAACTGCACCAAAATCACGTGATTATCGTGCAGATGCTTTGAACGTCCCTGGTTTTCAACATTTAGCTTGGTTACTGCCTCTTCACATTGATGTACCTGAAGTTTATTTCCTTCTCATGGCTTTAATGATGGGCCAACCTGTCAAATTGTTGCCCGCAGACCCCAAATTGGATTTGGACAATGTTTGGAGTTTTATTTACGGAGTACCTGTCAAACAGTCTGTATCTACAATTTCCGGTCAAGTCACATTGTGTCTAGAGGCTGTAGTAGTTTTGTTGGGGATGGTCAGAACTATGCTAAATCAAGAAAATTCGAATCCAGAAAGCTTACCTCTTTGGCTGAAAGATTATCCTGTGACCATTATACAGTTCCTATTTTTTCTTTACCACAACTTAGCAGACTTCATGCCTATTTTTATGACTCCGGAAGTTTTGTCAGCGCTTGGTGCTACGCTGTTTCCTCCCCCATCAACAAGTCTGGCAACCACCCCAGAGGAAGACAAACAAGCCGAATCCGGCATCTTTACTTCTGTTTCAACAGTCAAAGAATCTTCAGAACTGAGCAGTCATCCTGCGCATAAATTTGTCATGGATTTCTTGCGTGTCATAGTCGTGGATTCACTTTCTCTACCAACCACAGCGAAAACAACCCCCACTTTGGATCTAGTTCTTGACGCCTCTCCAGAAGCTGCAAGTAATTCACAAATTTCCAAGTATCAAACTGAAGTTCTATCTATGTTAATGGAGCATTTGTTAGCTGCGGATGTGCTAATAGGAGAACAAGCTGCTTTACCTATTGTGCCAGGAGGAAACCACCAACACATTCCTCAAAATGTTTGTTACCTCACAGCGAGGATTGTTGATAAAATATGGCTAGGAATGTTATTGAAAGACCCTCACGAAGTTTTTGACTTCATTATAAAGCTCATCACCCAAGCCAAACGTCGACCAATAAGCCTAGCATTAGAAGCATTATATCACTCTCTCAACCGAATCATTCTCTATCTTCTCTCAAGAGGAACAGATACAATAGCTGATCAAACTTCTGTCATGAAAACCCTTCACAAATTAACCACCCACCGAAGCCTCGTTTTTGGAGCTGGGAACCATGAATTGGATTTCATTGGTTGCCTTACATACTGCCTCCTTCAATTATCAGCTGATATGAAAATCGTGCTTGACTCGAACTCTAAGACCCTGTGGCACATCAATCCGCATCAAATTACAGAAAAAGATGAAGTAGTTAAAAAGGACCAAAATTTGATGGCGGTTCCAGCGTGTCGAGTCTGGGAGGAATTGTACATCTGCAAAAAGCCTGCAATAGAGGAAGTTTTTAAGATTTCCCTACCGACCTCACCCAACAACAAATCCCCAGACTTAGCGATTGTGCGGGAGCAAGTGTATGAACCAGCATTGAAATTATGGCTCAACTACATTGACATGGAGAAAAAAGCCTCCTACAGAATGCCATGGGAGTTGCATAATCAGATTCAATCAAAGATCCAGAAAGTCACAGGTGGTCTAACAAGACTAGCTAGCCGCACCAAAGTTAAAAGAGATGAAACTGTCAAAATTCGTTACTCACACTTGACACAAGCCGATATGTCTTCATGGACCCTGTCGCGGATTGCCCTCATCAGAGATCTTGTTGCTTTAAAAGCCATTCAACGGTCGCAAAATCAATTGTACATGCAGAAGTATGTTTTGGAAGAATGGTTACAAATAGAGGTAGAATTGACTCGAGAACGAGGATTGTGGGGTCCGGAAATACCAAGTCGACTCGATAAATGGATGCTTGATATAACAGAAGGCCCAAGCCGCATGCGTAAAAAAATGATGAAGAATGATCTATTTTACATACATTACCCCTATCGAGCAGAACTTGATGGTGGCGACAATAAGTCAATTAAGTACAAAGTGGCCAGTAGTTATGATAGCAAGGAATATTATCAAAAGTATCGACCGCAAAGCCTCATAGATTTGGAAAAAGAACTGTATGATTTTCCGCAAGAGAAGGAAGTTGTGTCCACTGTTGCTGGAAACGGAAGTGAATCTTTATCCGATCAAAGTAGCTTCGAGTCTAATTTCCAAGGCTTGAGACGTATGGTTAAAAGATCAACATCCGAGTTAGATGATACGGGTGAGGAAATAGACACAGAGACTGCTGGAACTGAAGATACGGAACCTCCAGCAGACAATCAGACTATTCTGAGGCTTTTGGAAGAGCAAGAAAAAATAAGTTTTATGTTCCGATGTGCAAGAATTCAAGGTTTAGACACGGTAGAAGGGTTATTGTTATTTGGGAAGGAGCATTTATACATCGTAGATGGCTTTACTTTATATAAATCTCGAGAAGTTAGAGACATTGATTCAATTCCTCCAGATGCTCATGATCCAATATTGCCCAGTCCAGGAAGCCCACGCCGATCAAGAACCAAAAGACAGTGTTCTAAATTTTCCTACGAAGATATAAGAGAGGTTCACAAAAGAAGATACTTGCTGCAACCCATGGCTCTTGAAGTTTTTGCTGGTGATGGTAGAAATTATCTTTTAGCTTTCCCCCGGAAAGTGAGGAACAAAGTCTACCACAAATTTATGGCATTTGCCACAGCGATAAACGATAGTGCCTCTCAGTCAGTTGCCGGTCAGAAGAGGACTGCAAATGTCGAACAAGGAGCAGGTATTCTCTCAAGTTTAATCGGAGAAACTTCTGTTACCCAAAGATGGGTGCGAGGTGAGATTTCTAATTTCCAATACCTCATGCATCTGAATACATTAGCTGGTAGGAGCTACAATGATTTGATGCAATACCCTGTATTCCCTTGGATTCTAGCTGATTATGACTGCGAAGAACTCGATTTAACAAGCCCTTCTACTTTCAGAGACTTCTCTAAGCCAATGGGTGCGCAGAGTCCAGAACGTTTGGAGCAATTCAAAAAACGATTCAAAGAATGGGATGACCCTCATGGCGAGACTCCGCCTTACCACTACGGCACTCACTACTCCTCTGCTATGATTGTTTGTTCATACCTTGTTAGAATGGAACCTTTCACTCAACATTTCCTCCGACTACAAGGTGGTCACTTTGATCTTGCAGATAGAATGTTCAACAGTATTCGAGAGGCATGGTTCTCGGCTTCCAAACATAACATGGCTGATGTCAAGGAGTTAATACCTGAATTTTTCTATCTTCCAGAGTTTCTAGTCAATTCAAATAATTTTGATCTAGGATGCAAACAGAATGGTGTTCAATTAGGGGATGTTGTTCTTCCTCCTTGGGCGAAAGATGATCCTCGCGAGTTTATCAGAATGCATAGAGCTGCCCTTGAATGTGATTACGTCTCTCAACATCTTCATGAATGGATAGATCTGATCTTTGGGTGCAAACAACAAGGAGCAAGTGCTGTTGAAGCTACAAATATTTTCCACCATTTGTTTTACGAAGGAAATGTAGATATTTACAGCATTGATGACCCGTTAAAGAAAAATGCAACCATTGGTTTCATCAATAATTTTGGACAGATACCGAAGCAGCTGTTTAAAAAAGCTCATCCAGCCAAGAAGTCAAATCAAAGGTTATCCATGCTGGACCCTGTGCCCATTGTGTCAGGCATAACGAGTGTCCTTCAGGATTCTGGCAAACTATTCTTCCACAATCTAGACAATTTAAAGCCTTCCCTTCAGCCAATTAAAGAACTGAAAGGTCCAGTAGGTCAAATTTTGCAAGCTGATAACAAGAGTGTTTTGGCCGTGGAGCAAAATAAAGTATTAGTCCCTCCTGCGTTCAATAAGACTGTCGCATGGGGCTTTGCGGATCATAGTCTTCGAATCAGCAACTATGACACTGACAAAGCAACTTTTGTGTCTGAATCGATTATTCAGTCTGGAGGAGAAATTGTAGCCTGTGTTTGCCCGTCTGGAAAATTAATTGTGACAGCAGATACCAACTCTGTTGTGACCATATGGGAATTCAATAGGAAACATCTGTCGGTTATTCAGTGCCTGTATGGTCACACCCATGCTGTTACTTGTCTTGCTTCCAGCCCGGCTTACAATGTGATAGTCTCTGGCTCTCGAGATGCAACTGCTATTGTTTGGGACCTCTCGAGGCGAATCTTTGTGCGCCAACTTCGGGGTCATTCTGCTCCAGTTGCAGCGGTTGCTGTCAATGATCTGACTGGTGACATAGCTACTTGTGCTGGGACATGGCTACATCTGTGGACGATCAATGGTGATCCATTGGCATCTGTAAATACTTGCGTCGGCCGAGCAGACAGGATGCAGCAGATTTTGTGTGTTACCTTTTCTCAAGCCAAAGATTGGGATTCGCAGAACGTTGTCATGACTGGGTCCACTGATGGTGTTGTCCGAGTGAGTATTAGCGAGTGTATCACAATTGAGGTTTTATGTGCAAAGAGGGATTTTTTCCCCTTTTGAAGTACTTGAGAAAAATGATGTTGTTTCATCCAGCATTTCAATTACTGAAAATACTTTTTCCTCTAAAGTTATCTGTTCAGAAAAATGACGTTTGTCAGAAAGAGAAGCTTTTTTTGTGATCATTCTGATCATCAGTACTCAGCTGTGCTAAAGAAAAACGCCACATGAACATTCGTGCATTGTCAAATTTCCTTGAGTAAAATGTTAATTTTAAGGAGAATTATGAACCCTCAAAATTTTTAGGTAATTTAAATCTGACTGCGGATACAATTCTCTGTGAAATCAGAGGAGAAATATCCTCAGATTTCTCTGAAAATTCTTAATTTAATAGTAATTCAGGCAACATCTGAGGGCTCATATGACGTTTTTCCTTAACCCTGCAGATCCCAAAGCTCCTTGTATTATATCTCAGCCTTTTCAAGAATACTCTCAGAAAATTTCATAAAGACCAGTTGGAGAATATTTCATTTTATTGATGTAATAATAGGTAATAGGTGTATAGTATATAATAGGTATAAGAGAAAATTTTGAAACAATTTTTTTAGTCCTACCATCATTATGCAGCTAGACTATGACTATTCTTGGGTCATTGCTTTCTTGAAAACAATTTTTTTTATAATAAATACTATTCTTTTTTTCTGTTCAGATGTGGTCTATCGACTATGTACAAGTTCCAAGGGACGAACCTCGAGATTCCATGACAGGAGAAACTCAGGAAAGTGGAAATGAATCCAGTTCTGAAGTAGCTGAAACCAGTAAAACAACAGAAGCTATCTCCAGTTCGAAGACAGTTGATGAGAAGGAGGGAAGGAAAAAGAGAGTTTGCGACCAACTTGTCAAACAAATGAGCCTCTCTACTGAATATTCTGTCGATAGTTCCAAAGGTCAGTTCTTTAACTTGTAAAATTTTTCATTTCTCTCCCCCTTTTTTTAAAGTCTAAAATAAATTCTGCGTTCTACTTTCTCAGACCAACCTTTGTCTTTGTTAAATTTGTTTGTATGAGTTGAGGGACTTTGTCTTTATTCTAATTCAAGTTTTAGAAGCTTTAGGAATCCTTGTTTTTTTTCTTTTCATCTCTTTTTTCATATCTGCTAAAAACGCTGCCCTTAAAAATTTCATCAGCTTTTTGCATGAAAATTTTGTGATAGAGCCATTGATGAAAAGTATGAAACTCATCAGAACTGCTGAGTACTTTTTCTTCTTCATACTTCTCGTCTTATATCCAGATTAGGTTGTTTCAATAAAAAAAAATATTTTTATCTGTTCAATTTTATTTTTTGTTGTAGTTTCTCTAATGTTCCTCTTTGGTGTAATTTTTTTCAGGAACTTTAATGAAGAGTGGTTCTGAAAGCAGTTTATCAGGAAATGAATCGGAAATGAAAAATGCCAGTGGGAATATTGATACTGTTGATTCTGAAATTGCTTCTGATAATAAAAAAACGGAGTCAAGTATAGGTGTTCAGAAGAAAGAACCTGATGTTCAAAAGGAAGAAAAGGAAGAATGCAGCGGGGATGAAAATAAACCTGCGGTTCCTGTCGTCAGGAGGCGAAAATCATCGGCACGGAACAATCCACAGTTCAGAAAGTCAGAGTGTGGTCCTCTACGCAAGGACAGTATCGATGACTCTCTCGGAAACGAGAGTTCTGGTAGCGAGAGTTTATTCAGTATCCGTCCAAGTAAAAGTGATACATCTCTAAGTGATTCATTTGTGGTTGTCAACGCTGAGGGTGAACTCAAATCGGCCAGCGAGGAAACAGACTCATTGAATTTATCGCCTTTGACAAAGAGTCAGACCATGTTGAGCCCCTTCAAGAAAAATCGAAGCCAACATGCCCTGCGAGAGGGATTCAAGTGGCAACGACAGCTAGTATTCAGGAGTAAGTTAACTATGCACACAGCTTACGACCGTAAAGATAACACAGAGCCAGCATCAATTACTGCGCTTGCCGTTTCAAAGGATCATCGCACCGTGTATGTGGGAGACGCTCGTGGACGAGTGTTCTCATGGAGCGTGACTGATCAACCTGGCCGCGGTGTTGCTGATCACTGGTTGAGAGATGACGGAGCGGAATGTTGCTCGGGCTGTGGAGTGCGATTCTCCCTCTATGAGCGAAGGCATCACTGTCGCAACTGCGGGCAGCTGTTTTGCTCCAAATGCAGCCGATATGAGTCTGAAATATCTCGTTTGAGGATTCTGAAACCGGTTCGAGTTTGTCAAAGTTGCCACTTGTCTTTGAAATTGCAGCAGAAATCGCAGTCAATAGAATCATCGTAAATATTGAATGAATCCCTGTGGAGGTAAGTTACCCATTGCTTAAGTTTCTTCAATTTTCTTTCTCAAATGTACTTCCGGTCTTTTTCCCCTCTCTTTTTCTGTTTAAATAATTAAACAAAATATAGACACATAATAATTCAATCACAATGATAAAGGTCTATTTTAAAGTAGACTTTTAAAAATTCAGCATGTCTAAACTGAAAAATCCAATAAAAATAATTGAAACTTTTATTTTCTCTGATTACCTATTATGTGTCTTCAGAAATGTTCTTGAGGGCATACTGCAAAATTCATATGTTCATTTTTTGACCTACTGGAAAAAGACCAAGAAGAAATATCATTAATGAATTAACTACTGTTACTTATTCGAATTTTAACGGATCAATGTATAAATATTAGATTTTTTGAAGAAACTACATAAACACCATAAAAGTGGTTCTGAGAATTTCAAGAGAAAATATCCATAACTCCTTAAAAATAAATCTTTTATTAGAGGAATCTTTTATCTCTCAAATGTTCATACAGTGTTTCTCTTTAGCAGGGTGGTTCAAGTAGTTATGTAGTTGGGGATACTGTTGCGAACAGGCAACTGACAGTGTGTTCGTCCCAAAATCATTTCATCCTTAAAGCGTCTTTATTGTGAACATGTTAAGAAATGCAGAGGTTTCTCTTTTACTCCCGTCAACAAAGAGAGTATAGTTTACTCTTGTCACATTCAGGTTTATTTCTATTTGTTTCAGGCCCACAAGTACATTTTCCAATGCCACAAATAATTGAACAAATGAGGCACTGCCAAGGAATCAATTCTCTGACTTTTCGAAGATGAGCCCATCCACATTTTACATCAACATCAGATCATCGTCTGTAAGTGAACAAAATATCCATTGTTCCCAACTTTATATTCAGCAAGAAAAGTGCGCACCCCAGGAGAATTATCCATGGCTATCCTGATTTTATTTGATGTTTTCAGGATGTAAAATTCATGGAATTTCTCTAGAGAATCTATATTTTTAGATCAACTTATTTCTGCACAACTCTGCATTTGAAGAAAATCTTCTCCAAGAATCTGCCAAATAATCGATGTAAAAAGAAAAATTTTCCCAGATTAGTTGAAACTCACCTCATTTCTCTCACCAATGGGAGGTACTGATGAGGTACCACTTCTCAATTGACAATAATTTCCTCTTTTTATTTACCCACCATTCCCATCATCTTAGTTTTAACTTTGCAGTAAAACCTTGTCATAGTGGATCCAGTCACTCCGCAAATCTTTGCAATCTTATGTTACTGATGTACTTTACCGTAACTGCACCGACATGCAAAAAGAAAAAGATATCTAGCCCCTATTCACTATTCAGATGGGTTCAAGGTTTCACTTCAATTCCGTCAACTGCCTATTAAATGCAGGATTGTTGTAATTGTGCGCACTACAAAATATCTTCTTACCTTCCCTTTAAGTATCTTATTTCTTTAAATATTTGTCATCTGCTCAGCTTGGATTGGTACATTGAATTTGATGTTACCTACAAAAAAAAAAAAAAAATTGATATAGTACTGTTTTACAATGTAAACGTGCATTTATTTATTATTTTTAAGTAAACCAATGCTTTGAGAGCAGCATAAAATTGACATAAGTAGAATAAAAACGGTTATACTGAAAGAGGCACCTATGCTGCCTGGTGTGTCATTAAAGATGATGGATCGTAAAATTTCACCAAAAAACCATCATGATGTGCTGATTCGAATACCATCAAAAACTTTGGTTCACATTCGTGTAAATCTTTTTTTAAATGTCTTTCATTTTTCTTCAGTACCAGAAATATTCAGCTAAGCAGTGAAAATGTTGAAGGAAGTAATATATATTACTTTTCTTCCCTTAAAAGGGAAAATACAATCTATTCTTGACTTTGCGGTACATATGTCCTCCTTGAGGAACATTCTGATTTAGTAGGAAAAATTATGGAAAATGTTTCTCTCTAAAAGAAAGTCTATGCAACACCAACTTCAATGATTGCACAGATTCTATTTCTATGCCACGTACCTTTAATTCACGAATGAGATGTGAACAATTTCATTTTTCCAATCACTCAATCTTTTGTCATCAGCAAGTCTCTCCTCAACTCGCACAGATTTTTCTCTCTCTGTTGTCGAGTTCTTTGTGCAATGTAAATATGTAAAAAAAAAGAAACAACCTTTTTAAAAAGCTAAAATTACTGATTTGTTAAGTTTGTTTATTTTATTTTTGTTTCTTTTTTCTTTAATTAACTTTTTATGAATGTTGTTTAATGAGTCCTTTAGACAATGTAAAATATGTATTTACGTAACAATTTTTCTTCTTCGTCTTGAAGGTCAACAGCAGTGTATGTAGGCTCTGAAGGAGCTTATTTTACCCGTTCATTAAATTTATATTTGAATGTGATGAAAAATCAAATTCCAGCCTTTAGGTTTGAAGCAATTCTTTCGAAACGCCAACATTTTTCACAATAATATCTACATATATGATCATATACCTCACTTGAACATTTTGTGTCTATAAAGTATTTAGAGAATTTGTTTTCAGGAGGATTATAGGAGTTATCGATAACCATAAGGCAATGGGAATTCTTTGATGCGACTTTAGTATTAATTATCATTGAACTGTTATTAAATGTGAAATGTATTTCTTGTATCCCTGTATTTTTTTAAATTTCATTTTTTGTTTGTTTTTTATCATTTTTATATTTTTCTTTCCTACTCAAATGTGACTTTTCTTTTTTAATATTAATTATCGTTGAACTATAATTGAATGTGAAGATGACTATGCATGATTCTTTTAAACCCCCCCCCCTTTTTTTTTGTCCTCTCAACCATAACTGACGATCTTTTAAAATTGAAGTAACATCAGTACTTTTTAAATGATGATTTTTAATTGGAAAGTAGTATTTTAAATGAATAAAATCAACTAAGTCAAGTAACCCAGTGATCAAATTCAGCTCAAAAACCTAAATTAGACAATCCTTCCATTTCGATTTCAATTAAAGAGACCAGATAACTTTAAGTTCTGAATCCTGGATTCTACAATTAATTATTTAATCGGTTTACCTTTTTAACTTTCATGAAGCGGATGTAATAAGGTAATTTTAAAGCCTGTTTTCATTCATTTTCTTCTGTTAGTACAACAGAACCCTCTTTTTTGTCTGTCACATTCCTTTCTATCCTCTTGAATTTGTACATTGTGATGTCACAAGTTGGTTGCTCTAGGAAACTTTTAATCGATAGAATCTAATCATTTCCTCTGAATGAATTTTAGCTCCTGTAGCGAAAAAAAAAAAAAAGTGAGACATAATTGTTAAATTTAGTAATTTTTGTGATCGGTTGTGAAGAGAGAGGCAGGTATTTATCTTGTAATACGAATGTAAAAATCCACTCCTCTTGTTTTAGTTTAGTGTAGGTGCATATTATGTTGTCTATTTATTTTATTTTTAACCCTGTAAGTTAACGTTACCACAAGCAAGCTCACTGCAGATCAAAATAGCTATCTTAATAACAGTAAAAGTAAAAAGAACTGCATTGATTAATTTTTTCACTGTCTTTTTTTCATAAGCATGATTCTTTTTTTTTATACGAGTACTTTTTGCCAATTTCAGCCAACTATTTAGAACATTATCAGTATTTATAACGTGTGCTGAAGAAACTCAGCAATGATATTCTTAACATTATAAAGATTGAAGTCCGTTTCGAGAAAACAGCATTGATATCTTAGTTTTTGATAAAATAAAAATTGGTTATTGACTTGCCTGAATTACTTTTGTGGAAGAGAATACCCCACTCTGCTGCGTTAAGTCAAAGAGCGTTAAATCCATATTTTGCCGGAGTCGGATGATTGCAAAGTATAATTCTGATTGTTTCAAAGAGCAAGGTTCTTCCTCTGTTTTAATTATTCGACTCAAAACGCTTGTACAAAACGCCTCTCCTTTTTTAGCTGAGAAGTCTGCTGGTGGATCCCCCCCCAACAATTTGACCACATATTGCAATCAGAAACTTCAATCTCTGGCTCATCCATAAAAACACTTCTGCCCAGAGGGAAACAAATGGTGCATACGCTGTTTCTAAACTAAGCCAGAGATTATAGTTTCTAATCGCAAAATGTAATTCAATTGCTTGGGTCTGATGTATGTCATCCTAGCCTAATACGTATCAGCAACGATTTGGCGAAACTCGTACATTCACAACTCTTTAAGTATCTTTCACAGAAAATATGAAGTTGCGATCATAGGTTTCTTGACCTGTTCCTCCGGCAAGATTCTCAATTATCTCCACAGAGTTTTTTTATTTACTTATTTGCCTTCATGGTCACTGTATCCTTTTTGATTGGGGCTTTCTCGCATATTGACGTTGAAGCCATCCCGTTCGCGGCGTTTTGAAATTTCTAATGTCGTATTATTTTTCTGAAGGAGGACAAATCAACATCATTACTTGAAGTTTCCACAGAATTTTCTGCCCACATAGAAGAAAAATCATGGATGTTTATGAGAATTGACGTTGAGTAATTTTCCATTTAAGAAATAAAGTATGACAAGAAGTCTATAACGTTGCAAACCAAGATCTGCGGTTTAGGAGTTTCACTGTCAACATGAATTAATTTTAATTTGTTTTAAAGCCTCTTTAAAAAAAGGACAAAAAACATCTCTCCTACACTTTCTTTTTCTGCATTTTTTAAGGATTAGTGGCAGGGCTCTACTTAAAGATCTGAATCATCGAACAATTTAACAAGTGAAGGTCTTTATTTCGATAACTTCAATTTTTTTATGTTAGATTTTGTCATCGTTGTATTTTATTTTAGTTTCTTTGCTTCACAAGAATTTTCTGTAGGTATATTTTGAAGAACTGAATTTGTCTCCTACGTTTTAGATTATTGATTTCATTTTAAGTAATTTATGTCTATGCTTTCAACTTCCTTTGTCGAAAATTCTAAACTCAATAAATTAATTGTTGTTCCTGTTAGAGAACACCCTCCATTCTAGTCTTGACCAATGCTGATAGATAGTCAAAATTCCCATGATGGGACAGAGCTGCGCTCTAACTTCATTTAATTTTAAGTAAATCATTTCTCTCCGGAAAATTAATCACATTAGAATTTTTGAAATTTTGTTGGCTCGATTTTTTCAGATGATCTCTCTTTATGAAATAATCCAAGATGTTCGGTATTCCCATTCTCGTATGAAATTCCACTACTCGTTTGAAGTGTTATCAGAAAGATATTCATGAAATATTTCTTGTTTTCAGCCTTTTTTCCTGATAAGCTGAGGGTTTTTTCTGTAATATCTTGATTTTGAAGCAGTGCAACAGACTCTTCAAATTAATGAGTATCAGCTTCAGCGTACAATTTTTTTTTTTTTCCTTACGTAACGTCCGCCCAAGAATTTAGGTTTTCTTGTAGTCAAAGAAAAGAGTGCCTCTGTGACTTGTTTGCTAGCATGATGGAATTAAGTAATGGATCTGTGATGGTAGCTTTTTTGGAGAAAAAAAATATATTACTTTGTCTCAAAAACATTCTTGGAAACTCTTTAATGAATAAAGCCAAATAATGTAATTTATTTTAAACAAGCTCATCAGTTTAAATCGTGATATTGATCTAAATTATTTTTGATGAGATTGACGAGTTTGGTATAGTAATGCAATTGCAATTCATTTAGATAAAGCTCAATCCATTCTGACTTCAGTAGTGTCGTTGCGACAGATTTGTACTGAAGGTTGAAAAAAATCAGCCTTTTGCTTTGAGCCTTGAGTGTGAGTTTACCACAGCTAACAACATGAGACTTTATTCTTTCAAGATCTTTCATCTTTCTCTCGATGAATGCAAAAAATTCTAATCTTCCTGTGCATGTGCCACTTCTGCTTGGCAAAAATTAGGTAATTCCTCCCCTCTTAAAAACATCTGGTACTCGGTTCTACTATGAAGGGGTATATGTACACAATTAAAGTCGCATAATGCTGGTGAAACTACTGGAAGGCGCATCTCGTTCGTGTTGTTTGGAGATCACCATTCCCATTTTATTATATCAAAAGAAGACAAGCCAAGGTTGCTTATTTTCATATAGCGAAAAAACGTATGAAAGTTATTAAGAAATCATGTTGAGAATTTCTTTATGTAACAGATGAAGCATGACAGAAAGTTTTGTAACGTCACAAATCAAGATGTGCGTTCTTGCAGTTTTACCGTATATAGGTAGTGCTCCTCTTTGACTGATTGCAAGAAGACCTCAAAATTTTGAAGTCACCAGCAAATCACTAATTTAATTATTTTTTCTTCTTATGTCGTACTTATTGTACTATTTGTTCGGACACAAACAGATGCATTTTACTGACCTACTTTTAAGATAAAGAAAATTGAATTAGCTAGAAATATTATCCAACCAATGAGTGTATCTTGATGTATTTTAGATAAATTATTAGTAGAAGTTTCATTTAATCATGTAGGTATTCTGAAAACACTCAAGATGTTAATGTAACCCTTTATGTTGAATTTATCTTGTCATAAAAGGTATAGCAAGTAAATTTAACCACCGTAGTGCAATTGAGATTGAATGTTCGAGGAATTATTAAGATATTAGTAGTTTTCCCTCTATTTTTACCCACCCTTTTAAATTTGTTCACCTGATACTAAAGAGTCATATGTATTTTCTTTCATTTTTTCTTATTTTATTAATCTATCACAAAGAGGATAAATCTTTGCTTAATTTAAGACATTAACTGACTGTGGGTGTAAGAAAAAAAGAACTTTTTATTTTGACTCTAAAATTTTAAGAATATATGTAAAGAAAAGAACTTCTATTAATAAATGAACTAATAAATTAAAAACATTGTATCTTATTTGCTGCATGCCTCTATACTTTTGAGACTACCACTTTCAATGCACAACTGCACACATCAGAAATTGCAAGGGGTCTTGCTGTCAAAAGTGTATCCACTGTAGAGTGGATATTTTCAAATGCCATCTTGACTTGTTCAGCTGTGGGCACTGAATGGGATACTCAAAGTACACAACTTTGAACTTGTTTCTTTAAGGTTGTTATAGTTAAACAAAAATCCAGGAGGATTCCTGCGAGCACTTACTACTTTTTAAAAATGAAAGAATTAAACATTCAAAGGAGTTTATATAATTTTGAAAAAGAACATGAAAACTCAAAAGATAAAATTTTTTATAATAATCTTTAATTTTTTACAAACAGTGTAATCACTTACAAAAATTGAAAAAAAAAAATAAAAATAAAAATAATGACGTTATGGACAGAATATGATACAAACAACAGGTGAAAAGTTATAATTTACTATTGCTTTAAGTTAAAAGAAAAAATATGCGTGGAAATAAAAGTCAATCCAAGAAATCAAAACTCATTTGTACATTTTTTATGAATAATTACATACTTACACATCATATGGAAAGAAAAAAAAGAGATATAACATGATGAAATAATTACAATGACGGCTAGATCATTCCAATTTTTTATAGAGTCGACCAATTGACTCCATTTTTTTTGTTTAACAAACGTACAAAATGTCACCTTTAAAAAGTTTCAAACTATAAAAAAATGTACACAAAATATAAAGGCTTGTCATTCCAAAAGTAGCTTCTACAATCAATCAATAATTTGAAATTAATTCTTGAAAATGTGAAAGAAATGCTTGCAAAAAAAAAGCTGCAAAAACTATCTAAGGCAACATAGGATGGGTTAACAGAAAATTAAGTCATAACCATGTAATGTGCACAAAATTTTTTAAATAGACAATTAGAGAAAATGTGACTCTTTCTTAATTGAATACTTTGATATTTTATATATTTAAAAAAATTAGAATTCAAGGTGGCAGAATTATGCTTGGTGGCCAAAAAAATTCTTGATCAGAATCTATATAGTCTAATGTGATCTTTGACAGATGTAGAACTGTGTCTGTAAGGCGCAAACAGGATGCGCCTACTTATAGGTTTATTTTTTGGCTGCTAGATTTTCCGTTCATGTATGTACCTTTCTTGATAATTACAGAAAAATTAGAGGTATGGTATTACCTATAATTCAAAAATCAATTTTTGTTCATTGTTCATAAAATTAAGTCTCCAAATTTTTCGATCTTCAAATAAGGAGGTAAAATGTAATCCCTACATCAACAAAAAATACAGGAAAAAACAGAAACAATTTTGAAGAAGTTATGAATAAAACGGAATTAATGAAGAAAAAATGATGACTGATTTCGGTTAAACCTTTAAAATTGCAGGATTCAAAGTCCAATACTGCGGGGGAAGAAAATTCGAAATACATATTTGAATGGGATACCATTCAAGTAACTGCTATGTAATGGAACGAATGACAATGACTACAAAATTATGTGTTATCATTTAGCTTATGGCACGAAAAATGAGAGAAATAGAACCAACGCTCATTGGCCATTGCTCACTGATTTTCTTAGGAGATGAAGAACTTGAGAAAAAAAAGACTAAAAATTTTGACATTAGAAGATAATGCAACTACCTAGTTCATAAAGACACTTGGTACACATGGTTCCTTATTTCTTTCAGTTGGATGTGAAATATTCAAGTTATGTAAGGTGCAAGATTCATTTTTGATTAATAACTGTATTCAATTTGAATAGTGTCGCTATCATGGCAAAAAAGTCCAGGAATTAAAATGGCCAAAAAGCGTAATTGAGAAAACAATTTTTAGTGTAACAATAGATGCATAGAGTGCAGCTTTGTTCAAGCAATCAATAAATACAAAAGAGAAATCTTTGAGTCGAGCAATGCTAACCTCCAAGAGTTAAGCATCATCAGTGCTTTCTCCGTAACTTTGGACGGAGTAGAGGAGCTCAGACAGAATCTTTAAAACTTCGGTTTTGCTAGAGCAAAGTATTTTAATGCACAATTTATGGTATGGCACTTTCATGACGGCTCTAATACTCAAAATAGACACAATTGCTACTTTTGCTTCAAGAGAAAAATAGCATCAAACCTCATCACTCATCATCTACAACAGCTTGAGCCAAAAGAGATTTGTTGATACCAGACATTGATACCCAATTCTAATCCAACAAGACATTTACGATCATAACTTGAGCTCCCACAATATAATGTGAGAATTATGTTCAACAGTTGAGCAGCAAGGCTGTTGGTAGTTGACATACCCTGTACCGCCCGTGATCGTGACCAGGGTACTTTCTCGTTTACTGCTATTATCAATGATGATATTTCTGTGATTCGGGGGAGCAGATGTTTCTGTGCTATCGTTTGAAGATGCATTGGATAGAGACCAACTCGAGAGATTCAACTGATCTGTCTCCTCCTCGTAGTACTTATTTACACACATCAATTGTCCGTATAAGCCGTAAATATCACACGCTAGCGCTTTGGAGGGAGGCCTTTTCAGAATGGTTGGAGGGTCTTGGAGCGCCAGTAAGAGTTTAACCGGACCGGTATGAGCATGGTAGGATACATTTACACGGCCGCTGATTATTGGAACACCTTCTAGTCTTGGTAATGGAACGGTCAAGCTGATTCCTGCATCGGTACCTACCCACAGCAGACCCTTGCAAGCCATCAGAGCTGTGACACAAACAGGTCCAGAATTGCCTGTTAATCTAAGGATATTTGAGGCAACGTTGATGTCCTGAAACAATATTGAAGACAACCTTTAGTACAAATGTAAGAGATGGGATTGGTTAAGAATTTGGAGTGAAGGATGAAAAATGATAGAAGGATTCAAGGGGAACACTTTTTGGTCATTTGAGATTTTTAGTGATGAGAATTACAAAAAAATCAAGTAAAAACCAAAAACAAAATCTGAACACATCAGAACACCCGCAATTGACAAAAGACAACAGGTTTCAAGAAAAAATGTAACTGCCCATATAGCACAGGCATAAATAACAATAACGCAGTAAAATGGATGCTATTGTATTAATTAAAAATTTGTGTGTGTTGTCTATGGACTAATTTGAAGGGCTTCATCTCATTGAAATGTGCTGCAATAAAATTGAAATGAGATGCAATTTTCCTGAATTGCAAATTCAATTGCGTACCTTTCTCACACATGAACTTATTTTATTCATAGTTTAAAATTCACATTTAATAGTGACTAAATAATACATGTCAAAATTTTCAAATTTCAGGGTAAAAAATTGCATTCTTTTTGCATCACATTGCAAAATAATTTCAATATTTTTGTTGCACTGTGCTACTTTAGTGTGGGAAAATGCTGATAGAACATAGTAAATGAGTAAAAAATTACCTGCAAATGTTTGAATGTCTCTGTGTGATATAAACAAATGGTCGTAGAATTTGCTAGGGATAGCCACAAGCCTACTCCAGAGTAAGCCATTAAATTGACATTACCACCAATATGCTCATGTTGAATTGTAAAACTTTTCTGGAAAAAATAAAGAAGACATCACATAAGTTTTCATGGTTGACTGAAGGTCTGACTATTGAACAATTCTTATCTCACAAGATCTAGGGATGGTATGTACAATGTTTTTTATCTTATTTTATTTTTTAAATTTAATTATTCACATATATGAACGAGAAAGTAAAAATCCACAGGAAAAGAGGTCTCAAAATTTTTTAACTCACTGATTCCATAAAAAAAGAAATAAAAAAAGAGCGAGAAGGTAAAAACGATTAAAGAAGGTAATCACGATATTGACCCTCATTCTTTTCTGACAAAATTGGATTAATGAGGATTATCTGACAAGACTAAATTTACCTGTATTTCACCAGTTATTGCATTCAAAACAGTAACTTGCTTCCCGCAAGCTGCATATAAGGAGAGGTTTATGGGCAGAAGAGATGAGACGGGCTGATCAGGCCCCAGTACTATCGTTTCTGGCTCTGACGACTGATAGTTGGCGCGACGATACAAAAGCAAAGACCCATTGCTTAAGGCTAGAAACATGCTATCACAGTGCTGCTTGATTATAACTACGCTGGCATTATTTGGTAAGGCAATTGAGCCGACTTCCACCATATCGAACACGGAGTACACAAGGACTCTGAAAAAAAAAAACCACACAAATTCAGATGAGTAAAATCAACATTTGTTAAACCGAATCAATATGAATTAAAAAGGACACACAAACATATAAACAAAAGCGCTCCACTTGTGGGAACCAGTGAATGTTGAAGGAAATTAGTTACACACATGATTAAATTTGACATCATTGAAATTTTTCACAGAGAAGTAGAGTAAAAGATGAAGAGTAAAATTGTGACTTTAGAAAGCTTTAAAAAAGGCAGTTTAAGCGAAGCTACATCCAAGGCAACTTGAAAATATTACTTCTCAATGGCATGTGTTAATAAAGCCTTCATACTCTTTTAAGTAGCGTACTTTGTCTGGATATGGTGGGAATCATATCGATGGCCAAAATGCAAAACCACATAGGTACCGCTGTTTGAAACGTTTGCAGACTTCTTATGATACTTTATTTATTTTTTGGAAACCTACTCATGTGATTTCTCTGAAACCTCCTTGATTTTACCTTTCTTTCGGCAGAATATTCTGCACAGAATTCAAGTTATAAGGTTACCTTGTTTTTCTTTGAAAAAACAAAATAGGAGCGGAAATTTTGAAATGCCTCATTAGAAATATGTGATTTTGTACTTCGGTCATCGATATATTATTAAATTTTCTTAAATTTAAAAGGTCACTCCACCCTCCCTGGGCCCCTGTTTTGCAAGACCTCCATAATCCAAAATCTTAAAAAATCAAACCTTTCAATTTTATGTTGCGCCTAAAAGTCTATTGCAATCTTGTAGGTTTACATTGAGCCCTAAAGGCTCTAAGACAGCCTGACACTTATAGAACAGTTAGAGGGTGGCACAACTTTTTTGTTTGGAGAAAGTTGAGAGGGCAGACTCTCTCGTAAGTGTCGTTGGGCAAAGTTCGCCTTGAATTGGAACTCGAATTGTTCACTGCAGCAAACAGATCGGTTTTAGTCCAAAGTTCTGGCCTGGTTCAAACTTGAATGAAATAACATTCCTTTTTGCATTTTGGAAATCACTGTAACAGCAAGGATGTAAAACTTGACCTTCTGAAATTCTCTAAAATCATTTTACGTTAGTGGACTGCTGAAAGTACCTGGAAGAGTCGGTTCCGATCCAAACGGTGTCTGCAGCTCGATTATGTTCCATGGCCGTTACACGCGTATTGACTAAATCTAAAGTAGTAACTTGTTTGAAATTAGTTGAACCTGGGGAGGCTTGTATCACAGTTACATGACTGTTGGTGCCGTCAACAGTGCACACCCACAGATACGATGATTTGCCGCAACTTGAAGTGTAAAAACATCCACATGAGACCTGAAAGTTGAGAGAGAAAAAACCCTATAAGCAAGTCGCCCAGTGTAAGCTAAAAATTCCTTAAAAATACAGTGAAGCTTAGTTTAAAAAAAGTCAATATGTGGCCGTCTTTTTGAAAAGGGACCTTCGTCTACCAGAGGCAAAAGTTTTAGTAGATCAGTTTTTGTCGAGATAACAAAAGATTATTTTCACAGAAAAAGCTTGCTTTAGTCTTAAAGAATAAGTTGCAAGCGGTTTGGCTAATTTTTATGTCATTAGTGGGTGTAAGTTGCATTATTATTGGAGAATTTCAAGCCATGAGCATTATAGATCAGAGTTTTAGAAAGCTTTTTGTAGGCGACTTCATTTTTTAAATTGCAAAATTCAAACCACCGTTACTCTAGTTTGAGTGCAAATTTTAGGGAACATTCATAAATCTAGTATCAATGACTCAATTTTTGATTTCTGTGGAATCAAGTTCATTTGCCTAAGGACGATCGAAAACAAGTTGTAAAATTGGTGAAATCATCTAATGCATTACCTACTCAAAAATTTCAGGTTGGAATAGACCTTATTTTGTTGGCTTAAATTACTACATTCGGTGAATTAAAATTTCATTTTCAATGTTTGGATGCTCATTGAATTTCCACGGACTTAAGGATGCAACAAAATTTTTTGCATGGTCTGGTCGCAATTGTCAATGATTATTTTTTAGCTTATGAGTAGCTTTTGATTCAACTGTGGGCTATTATAATGGAGCAAAATTTTTTAGCGCCCTATTTAAGTTTTGCGTTGTCCTGTATCGGACAGCATTGCAAATTTTGGTAACACGGAAGGGTATAGTTTTAGCCTGTTGTCCTATCTGGTTAAATCCTCACAGATCTGGTCACGAAAAAGAGGGTGAAAATTAACTCATTAAATGAGAAAAGCAGTTTTTGGAATATTGGTAAGATCGTTTGACTGCTACTTACTTCTGATTGCTGCAATGATGAGGTTAAAGGTAAAGCACCGACGAATAAAGGCATTTTTGTTGAGGGTCTTTGTTCAGACTCGGGAATTTCCCAAGCCGGGGAATTATTAGGATCCAAGGCAAGTCTTGCAAGTCTCAGTTCTGAAACATTAAGAAAACATTCGATAGGAACGAAAAATTACCGCAGTCATTGCAGCAGTGTAAATGCTCAGAGCGTTAAGGCGTCATGGCATTTATGACTGAATGCGAAACAAATATATGTATCAACGCTTAAAAATCTTCCGTTATGTTTAAGCTTCTTCAAGGAATATTAATTGAATTTTTCCATTGCAATTTTGAATTGTTTCTTCTTTTCAGAATGAAAGATGAAAATTTACACAAAATTTCAATAGGAACTTTGATACTCTTCCTTAAAAAAAAAAAAAAAAAAAAAAAAAAAAAAAAGGGCAAGGGCTTACAACATTGCAATTTGAAATGCATATTTCTCAATTTTAACCGTCAATATGTTCTTTAGCTTATAGTTAAAACGTAATTACATATCCATAGATCAGTTTCCTTAGAAGTAGATGGGCAAACCAGGAATCTGCACCATCAAATCTGCAATTTTCAAACCTTTATGTTGGATTAATAAACAACTTTCCACCTTCATTATTGCCTTCCACTCATGCAGAGATAAATAATGTTACTTTATGCAACGCAACTGTGAAAAAAAAAACTCACTTCCCTCTTCTCTCAGGATTCACATTTTTCCAAACCACTCGGCTACAAAGGGCGATAGAAATGGTCAAGGCACTTCTTCACTGTTTTCATTGAATTTACAATTCTGTTCAACATGCATCTTTGTCTTAATTGCTATATATTTGCCAAAAGCATATTTGCTTCCAAAAAATACACAATGACTGTAATGCTCCTTGGAAAATAAGTTCATACCTGTTATCCACTCTTTTCTGATTTCTGGGCTATCCATTTGGAATGTGTAATTTTGCTTGTTTTGAATCGATAATTGGAGACAACACGAGTCAACCCATGCCATTTGTTCGTCTTTCCGTTGAATCTCGCACTGGATTGAATTTAAAAGCACTCGAGTACTGTCTGCGTTTAAGTCCTAGAAGCAAACAAGGAACAAAAAATGAGAGGAAAGAAGGAAGAGTGAGGCATATTTTTGCTCATTGAGTAAAAATGTTGAGTAATATATTTAGCACTAAACAAATTATGTAGAACCGTACTTCGGATCTGGCAAATGAGATTCTCACTGCTACTAAAACTTGCGACCTTTCTATTCCTGCATTTTGATGGAATGTCAAAGAACTATAGTTTGTGATCAGTAAATCTCATGAAAGACTTTAAGATGAGGATCAACAATTGTGAATAGGATGAGAAAAAGCCAAACAATTTTCTTTAACCTATGACCATTGCTTTAGTTATTGCAAAAATTACATGGAAATTCCACGACCACCGAAAAACTTTGTATGCTGTGAATGTTAGATAAGTGCCAAACATTATGCTCTTTTTCAAGTGTCAAGATTTAGATGCGCGCATGCTGCGCAATTTTCCCCCATACTAAAAGTCCATTATTGAAAAGTTAAGAGTATTTTTCCTTGAAATTTTCAGGCAAATGAGAAAAAATTACTACTAAAACTATCTGAAAATGAATTATATTGAGGAGACAAATTCACAAGTTTTTCAGAAAATTCATATTTTGTTAGGTGGCGTTTCGCATTATCTGAATGTTGACAAGGCATTTTTCCTTGCCATGACAATATATGAACCACCGATAAAACTTGAGATTTCTTTTACTTACAGGGTAGGTTCCTTTCAAAGTTGCAACTAGATCTGATATCCTAGAGACAACTTGATAATCGTGCATTAATTGAGACATTTCAACACACAAATTATCCGTGACTCCACTGCTGTTGGAAGATAAACTGCCACTTGGAGTTAAGAGCCGATTCAGAGTGGGTGAACTAGCGTTTTCTACAACCTGCACAAAAAATTGTTAATTGATAGAATCTCAAGACTTGAAGATGGAACATGAATTATGTTGGAAATTTCTCAAAACTTTCATTCTTGAAACTGCGAGCTTTTTTTTTTTATTTTTTTTTTTATTTTTAGGGATGAGAGCTCTAGATTACCTTGCACGTCTTAGAATACTTACTTTGCAAAGTATTAAAGCTGTCATCAATTTCAGTTACTGAATCCATGCTAAATTACATTACTGGAATGAACTACAATTCCATCATATAGCTAAAGGGGAAAAAAAATAATCATAATTCATCCAGAAGTGAAAAATCAAAGCTGAAGTGCTTATATAATATGTGCTCAATTTCAAGCGCTATTTATCAAAAAATTTAAGAATTCTCTCAAACTTAAAGAAACACTTCTCCTTAAAAATGGAGTATTTGTCAAGATTCAAGATTTAAGATTTACGAGTGTGTAACTTCCTTCAGCTCAAACATGTTCCAGTGTTCTTTGTCAATTTTTCAGATGAGTATTTTCAAATACAAGACAAAAGCTGGGAGAAAAATCAATTATGCTCAAGTACCTACGTTCGAGTATCTTCACGAACCAAGAAAATTAAGACATCAGAAAAATGGAGAGGAAAATCAATACCTGGACTTCTGTGATAGGACAACTCCATTTGAGAGAAAGTCTTTGATTGCTGAGAGATGGTGGACTATTTACATCTTCTTTACCACTCGGCGTGACAGAGACACAGACTAGAAAATCATTGAGCAGCAAAAGCCGCCTCGGTTTGCACTTACTGACTAAGCCACATTGGTTCACATCCTGAAAACAAAGTTTTTATTAGTAAAAAAAATATATAAATGTATATTTAAATTTCAAACCATAGAAGAACGAATCCATGATGATATTAGAATGAGATATTGCTGTGTCCAATGTTGATTTGTTCTTGGTTTTCTAGTTGAGCTTTGCAACAGCGGGTCACCAAACCTTGTATTTTTTATTTCAGATTCTGAAAGTACCAGAAGAGTAAATTGCGTCATGATTTATTGCTTATTTTTGGAGTCAAAATCCTGGACAAGTCTGCATTTCCAACAGTCCAAAGGCTTGAAGGAATTTTAAACCAACAAAAATAGCAGGAAAATTATGCCAGTGAAATACTGCAGCAGTCAAAACAGTATCTCCTCTCATAAATGAATGAAATACGACTCTTTGATTCTGAAGATGTAGTTTTGACTTTTCTTTTGTTTTCATACACGAGAAGGAGAAAGACGTATGATGAAAGTTGTAGAAACCCAAGCTTGCTTCTAACTGGTGCCAGATGACATCATTCGATTCGATGTGAAACCAGGGTGATGCAAATCTGCGGAGAAGTTCGCTTTTTAAACTGCGCATTTCTCAGGTAATATCGCGCTCTTCCATTAACTGGTGAAGGTACATATTTTCATAGGGAAAAACTACAAAAGAATGTCCGGGACTATGAACTGCTGTGTCAAAGACCATTTGGTACAGGAAAAATTTGGAGAGGATAATCTTACCAATTGTGTGACATCATCCTGCCTCAGAAGGCACCTATTGTTATCTGCAGACATTGGACGGGTGGACAGTTTTCCAGATATTGCTCGCAACATCTCTTTAAATGCTAAACTTTGCTCTGACTCGCGCTTCCTTTCATTCAGCAGCTCTGCTAATGATTCGAGCTGAGTCAGGGCTAATTGCAACGACATTCTGTCTGGATGTCCTTGGCCTGTATGGTGTAGCAAATCCTGCCGGCAAATAAAATCTTATTAGTAAAAAGAAATTTTAGGATCGGAGCTGAAAAGACACAATTCTTGACTAGATATACAAATGAAATTAGATTCATTTCTTGTGCAGTTTAGGCTGTTTTCTAAATAAATATAACTACTGCATTTGCCACAGTAAGCAGGATGCTTAATTTTCTGACAAAAAAGTGGCAAGGATTAAGTCTTGAGAAAGCAACGCACAGTGCTGTAGAAAAAAATAAATATCTTTCTACATTTCTTATAATTGATTTGAGTTTTTTGTTGGACAGAGAGAAAAGGAAGAGAGTGATGGTTCATCGGCCCACTATGCTCGTGGGCTTCTTTTACCACTATTGTTCACAGAGTTTTGACCTTTGAGACCAGATAATACGAGCTTGTGTGCACAAGAAATAAGTGCTACAAATATTATGAATTAAACTTTTACTGAAAAGAGAGCTGATACAAAACCGAGAACAGTAGCACATAAGCACAGAATATTTGAGGCTCTATGACATAGAATAATGGGGATATGATTTAAATAATTAGGCAATGAACTCCACTCACCTGAAGAAGCAATATAAATTGAGGAAATCTTTGGACTGGTTTCACCATAAGGCCAAAAAATGACAGTCTATCGTGTGAATTTACTTGCCGAGTCTAAAAAGGAAAACAATAAAAAAATAAATCAATAAGTTTTGTACAAAAAAGGAAATAAAAAATAAAAAAACTTAATTACATTTGCGAATATTCACAATAAATGTGCAAGTGACATAGTTTTCCTAAATGTAATATTTTTCAGAATGTCTACATCAAAAAAGGTAAATAGGTAAAAGAAAAAAGAAAGTCTAGGTTAAAATAGGTCAAATAAAGAAGGAAGTTTAAGTTAAAAAGCATCCAAAGAGGAAAATACTCATAAGTTCTTTTTATTTTTTATTCAATTTTAAGTTTTTTAAGACACTTTGGGAGGAATCTAATTAATCAATTGAATAATTAATTCATCAATTTTCAAAGCATAATCCATATTAAATTCGGCTATTTTGTTGTTTTAATAGAGAAAAAACTCCTTTACTTCAGAAAGTTTTGAACTTCAATTCTGATCAAGTTTTCATAGTGAGTCACCTCCAATGAAAATATTAGGAGTACTTACTTGGCCCTCTAAACATAACTTCGGAACTTTTAGTGATTCTGAACAACAACTTTTTCCTTTGACTGACTAACAGAATTTAGAAATTTCATGTATTAGTATTTGGGCACCTTTGCAATGTGATGCTCTGAATCTAAATTCTAATTTTTTGAGAGGAGACACCGTCAAAATTTCGATGAATTATAAATGAACGAGAAAGGGAACTTACTCTTAAAAATTCAGCAAAGTTTGCTTTCCGCTTAGTTTCGCTTCTTGCAAGATCCATGGCTACGGAAAAATTATTTATAAAACCGCTATAGATCTCTAGAACTATTGATTTACTAAAAGAGGCTACGAAGACATCGCCGATTCGGTGATCTCGATCCCAATTTGCCACAGCTTCGGCCAGAGCAATCCGGAACAGAGTATGACACTGAAGCAGCTCAGGTACTCGACAGAACAACATAGAAATTTTTGAGGAACTCAGGATTTGTGGTGATGCCTCTTCTAGAGGTTTTTTATAATCCTGGGGAGAAAAAAGGAGACAGAAAATAGATTTTAGAAAAAAATGATCACGTAAAAATAAAAAAAAAAACAAAGACATTTTTGGGTTTTAAAGTGGTAGCCTCTGTTTTACCAATGTTCATAATTTGTACTTCTTGTACTACTTTTACTTATGTAACTTGTGCATTGAAAAGCAAGAAAGTACCTATATTAAATTTAAGAATTGGATGAGTTCCGTCTCCCAATATAGTTAGTTCATAGAACGAGATCTCCAAGAGCTTATTATTAACAGCACTTAACTGCTTCCCCTTTTATACAGTGTGATCGAAACTCCCGGACCACCAGGACCTCGGTAACTTTTGTACAAATCGGGATAAGAGACTAGAAACTTGGCTCCTAGGTCAAAAGGAACGACTTTGGGAAACCTCCAGAATTTAAAGGGACTATCCGGTATAAATAATCATTGTAGGGTTGGGACCATTACAAGATTAAGAATATCTAATTATTTTACGCTTACAAAGAGTGAAGAAAACAATCGTCAATATTACTATAATCAATACAAATATTGGAATTATTAAATTAGGAAATACTAAATCTAGGTTGAACCACTTGTCTAAGTTTTAGATTTAAAGTGTTTAGAGCATCAAAAGAAATGAATGAGCACTTTTTTTATTTATATCCAAGGATTAGTGAATTAAACAAAAATGTCTTTCAAAATTGATCACACGGATACAACTTACATTGACAAGTCTCTCTAAAGTGGCATGATATGAGTTTTCACTGTGAACGATAGCACCGACAATCAGCCTTCTCTTCAATTCTTGAGGACTTAAATGGGGAGGTGGAGGTGGCAAGGCTGGAGGCAATAACCTACGATGATTTAAGAAAGATTCCTCTTCCACCTAAAAAAAATGAAAACGAATACAAATTTGAGATAAAACTTGAAATAGATACATACAAAAAAGAAAAAGGCAGAGCAATAAATAAATAAAATAAATTAGGTATAGGAAAACTGATGATGAGAAAAATTACGAGAACTGACAGAAATGACTGAAAAATGCCAGTTTGTCTCAGATTTTGCTATACTTGCAGTCAGACTAATTAGAAAACCGTTACTTAAAACGACTAAATTGAGAAGTTTTCACCAATTTAGATTGACACTTATTTCATATCATTTTTGGGTAAGTCCCCTTCATACAAACATGAGTGCACCTTAATGTGTGATATATTTTTTTACACACAGAAAACAATACAATGTTGAACAATGCGAAAATAGGTACCTAAATTACTTGTCAGCAGAGTTGGTTATGATGATACGTGGAAAAAACGAATACCTGTGCCTACTTGTATACATGATTCACATTTTGTCAAATTGACGATGACAAAAGGAAACTTTTCAACAAAAAATTAAAATACGTGATTGATGATAAGTATACATACTTCAGGTAACAGAGGCATTTTCCCAGACCTTTCCTTGGGTTCCAATTCGTATTGCGAGCCTCTCCTTATCGAAAACCATCGGTAGAGTCGGCCTGAAGGAGGGGGAGGTCCTGCAGGATCTGGCGAAGGAGAGTTCCGCCTCCATAGAGATCTATTGCTTTTGACAGTTCCTCTATTTTCATTACTTCTGGAACAGGACAAATTAAAAATTGATAAATAACAAAGCAGCAGCAACAATTTTTACCGAGATAAACTTTAGAACAATTGAAATATCAGTTAAAGGTGGGGTGGGGCGGGGCATGTCCGCAAAATACCACCTTTATGCGCCAAAAATCCAAGTTCTAAAGCCTAAATCACACCCCCCCCCCAAACCCCACTTAGAACTGAGATCCCGATTTTCCTAATGTCACTAATGAGATCAGCGTGTCAATTTATGAATGCATGACAATTTTCCGGATATTCAGTGCATTACCATTAAATAAAATATATAAACAATCATAAAACTATTAATGAACTATTATAAGAACCATTAAATAAATATAAACACTATTTATTTCTCAGAACTCTGAACGTCTGCGCGCTTCCTTAAGAAGCACTTTTGGAGCCTATTTCATATGAAGGCGNGGGGGGGGGGGGGGGGCGTCGTTGTCTCATTTTGAGCCATGGAGGACGCTCCCGCAGTCTGGCGGTTTAATCTTGTATCGATAGAAAACCCAACATTGAGCTGCGTGAATTCTGCTGAAATAAACTTCTTCGACGTAAATGCATTGGATAATCCGGCGCGATTCAACTGCGCGGCGCGATGCTGCAAAAAAGAGGAAAAAGAAGGAAGAATGATCGAGTGACGCCATGCCGTGCCGCGCTGTAACACGAAGGACCTCCCGTAACAGCTAGGTACATTCCACGAGAAACCATCTGGGTCTAGATTCTTGAGAATTCTTTCTTAAGGAGCGCGACAGGCGACACTATACAGAATGCACAATCGGCTTGCAGTGCAAACTGAGATAATAAAGTGAAGGTAAACAAACACTGTCGTGGGCACACTCCTTTCATATAAAGACAGAGAAGAAAAGAAAAAAATTAAAATTACATGAACCATTCGCTTCATCATTCTGCCACGAAGCCGCACCAAGGCTGCTCAAATACGCCGAATGGAGCCACTGCAATGTGCGATGAAAAGGGCATCCCGGGATAAGCATGTCAAAATGCCCTTGTGAACGGATTTTTATTTTAACCATTTTAAGTCATCAAGGGTGTCCTAAAACTTAGGTTTTGGGGAATTTTAGCCCCCCAACCCCCTCCGCCCCCCCTCAGACCCCCCAAAACCGCTTTTTGGGGCTATTTTTGACTATGCTAACGTCTTTTCCTCATAACTTTCGTAATTTTCGATAGAATTGAACCAAAATTTGTCAGAATCTACATCAATCAGCTTACTTTCTGTAGAAAAAAAATTCATTATCATCGGATAATATTTTAGCTTCTAAAAAAATTCGTAAAATTTTTAAAAAAAATCATTTTTTTCCTTTTTTCGCGCTAGGTGACGTATGGAAACGAGGACACAAACAAAAATTGTCTCTCTTCTTAAGTTATACATCCAATAAGACACAGAAAAAATTTCGTGTTGATCGGAGTGGTGCGCCATACTTAAAAACGCAATTTTCTAACCTTAAAACGGCCAAAATTCCACCATAGCCTCCTTTGATGACTAGGCGTGGAGAAATATGTAAAGAGAAACATCCGGTTTTATCATCTCACCTCTTAAGTGACCCACTTAAGTACCTTGAGCCAAAATTTCGAGTTGACCAGAGTGGTGCGCAACACCCAAACACGCAATTTTCTAACCTCAAAACGGTCAAATTGCCCATTTCGGCTGATTTCGGCACCCATTATCATTCCGTGTCAAGAAATAAGAAGAGGGACATCCGATATTATTGTCCTACCTCATAAATTAGACACTTAAGTACATTTAGTCAAAATTTCGTGTCGATCAGAGTGGTGCGCAACACCCAAGCACGCAATTTTCTAACCTCAAAACGGCCAAATTGCCCATTTCGGCTGATTTCGGCACCCATTATCATTCCGTGTCAAAAAATAAGAAGAGGGACATCCGATATTATTGTCCTACCTCATAAATTAGACACTTAAGTACATTTAGTCGAAATTTCGTGTCGATCAGAGTGGTGCGCGACACCAGAACACGCCGTTTTCTAACCTGAAACCTCCCAACATTCCCATTTTGGCATTCATTATGATTTTATGTACGCGACGAGCCCGCTTGAAAAGTGCATGATGCACATTTCAAAGTTCATTTTGGCACCTCACCGCGTAGCAGACCCGATCACTCAGCGAAACCTCTGAACTTCCAGGAATTATATGACAGTAGGGAGGCTCGCTCATCCCCCACGTAGAAGCGTTCCCTCCTCCAAACTTCGATAATACGTAGTAGTGCACTGAGTACTGGCAAATGCTAGTAAATAAATTAACAAGAAAACGGCGTGTTCTGGTGTCGCGCACCACTCTGATCGACACGAAATTTCGACTAAATGTACTTAAGTGTCTAATTTATGAGGTAGGACAATAATATCGGATGTCCCTCTTCTTATTTTTTGACACGGAATGATAATGGGTGCCGAAATCAGCCGAAATGGGCAATTTGGCCGTTTTGAGGTTAGAAAATTGCGTGCTTGGGTGTTGCGCACCACTCTGATCGACACGAAATTTTGACTAAATGTACTTAAGTGTCTAATTTATGAGGTAGGACAATAATATCGGATGTCCCTCTTCTTATTTCTTGACACGGAATGATAATGGGTGCCGAAATCAGCCGAAATGGGCAATTTTGCCGTTTTGAGGTTAGAAAATTGCGTGTTTGGGTGTTGCGCACCACTCTGATCAACTCGAAATTTCGGCTCAAGGTACTTAAATGGATCACTTAAGAGGTGAAACGATAAAACCGGATGTCCTTCTTCTTATTATTTGACACGGAGTGATAATGGGTGCCGGAATGGGCAATTTGACCGTTTTGAGGTTAGAAAATTGCGTGTTTGGGTGTTGCGCACCACTCTGGTCAACTCGAAATTTTGGCTCAAGGTACTTAAGTGGGTCACTTAAGAGGTGAGATGATAAAACCGGATGTTTCTCTTTACATATTTCTCCACGCCTAGTCATCAAAGGAGGCTATGGTGGAATTTTGGCCGTTTTAAGGTTAGAAAATTGCGTTTTTAAGTATGGCGCACCACTCCGATCAACACGAAATTTTTTCTGTGTCTTATTGGATGTATAACTTAAGAAGAGAGACAATTTTTGTTTGTGTCCTCGTTTCCATACGTCACCTAGCGCGAAAAAAGGAAAAAAATGATTTTTTTTAAAAATTTTACGAATTTTTTTAGAAGCTAAAATATTATCCGATGATAATGAATTTTTCTCTACAGAAACTAAGCTGATTGATGTAGATTCTGACAAATTTTGGTTCAATTCTATCGAAAATTACGAAAGTTATGAGGAAAAGACGTTAGCATAGTCAAAAATAGCCCCAAAAAGCGGTTTTGGGGGGTCTGAGGGGGGGCGGAGGGGGTTGGGGGGGCTAAAATTCCCCAAAACCTAAGTTTTAGGACACCCTTGATGACTTAAAATGGTTAAAATAAAAATCCGTTCACAAGGGCATTTTGACATGCTTATCCCGGGATACCCTTTACAGAAAATGGTCAAAGGTAGCCGCAGATAATTTTAAAGAAAATTTCCTGACTTTTAATTTTTAAACTAATTCTAAGATAATTTCCAGTCTGTCGTTCTTAAAAAAACAAATAAAAATAACCTAACGCAAGGCAAAGGGCACGGTGTATCTTCGAGGGTATTTCGTCCGCAGTCATCAGAGGACCAAATTTTTATTTCACAACGAAATGCATTATCTACACATCATCGTTCCCCATACGAAAGAACGTATCTACGCTTCAGTGTTGCGTTCGGCGCAATGCAAGAAGTATTCATGCAGTCTTGTAGGCGCTAATATGGGCTTGACGTCGACCGCACTGTTTGGCGCAATGCGTGAAGTATTCCTAGAGTCTTGCAGGCGCTAATATAAGTTTAACGCCGGCCGCACTGTGTTTGGCAAGATTATTCGAAATCGCGTTAGAATAATCGCGGAGCCAACTTCTTCCTGACAAATCGCACTTTCATTCCAAGAATTTACTGCGTGTCTACCGAAAATATTTAACTGATTTTTCGTCCCACCTTTTGCTATAATCAGAAAAAATTTAGACAAAAATTGCGCAGGCATGCTCTCATAAAAAATGGAATTTTTTAATGCATTCTGCAACCTTGGAATGGAGTTACGGTGGTGATAGGTCAAAATGTCAAAAAAAAAAAAATATCCAAAAGTCAAAATGTCCAAACCCTGAATGCCCAAAATTCTAAAAAAGGCCAAATGGCCAGTAATCAGTAATGTCCAGCAGACAAATAAGTCCGAAAGTAGGCAAATGTCCAAATGTGAGACTAGGCGTTGGTTGAGTTGTCATTGGAGTTTCGGGTGCAGGTTTGCAAGCTGTTTGTGAATGCAGCCATAGAAACAGATGCATCGGATAATGGAGAGATGCACGTTAGGGAAAAACGGTGAGAAAATTGTTCATGAGAGCAGGCGGATTCTTACTTTTAAAAATGCATTAATGATTTATTTTCCAAATTTTAAGTGATATTGACAAACATAACAAACATGGCTAATATTACCCCGTTTGTCATAAAAAGCAAAAAAAAGAAGTTATTCTTATCCATAACAACAAACAGTTAGTACCTATATAATTACCCTTTCCATATTTGGACATTCGCCTACTTTTGGACATATTTGTCTGATGGACATTACTGACATTTAGCCTTTTTAAATTTTTAGGCATTCAGGGTTTGGGCATTTTGACTTTTGGACATTTTTTTTTTTTTTGGACATTTTGACCTATTACCATTACGGTACTTTGTCCGACGATATGAGCCGTTTATCCGGCGTTCTGCAACACCTAGCCGCCCTAGTGCCCTATCCTGCCATGATCTTTCTGGAAGTTGGCACTCCTCATTTTCTTGTAAAACTCCCTGTCGTCTCCCTCACACCGAAATACACGGAAGATAAATTGCGCATTCCCGCAGAACGACCCGATCGAAATTGAAAGCGGTGGCATGGACAATGGAAACGTTCGGCCGAGCGGGGTGTTGGGACGTAAGCTGGATTTGAGCCGGGTTCGTTGCAAATTGATGGTGAGGTTCCATTCAGATGACCAATCGGCCTCCGCAAGCGCCGGCCGTTTGAAGGCCCCACTCACTCTCCGGAGAGTCAGGGACATGTAATTGACCTAGACTAGCGGTGCGGGCTCGCGGGGACCCACTCGTGGTTGTAATAACTACCTCCGCTCGGCTCGGTTCCACGAATCCTCGTACATTTCACAGCTTTGCGCTTTGGCTCAAGCTGAAACGGATCCCAGATCCAGTGGCGATTCTTGCAAGTTGGCTACACTGTTTTTTCTCCATTTAAATGAATGTTAAACAATCGATACAGATTCGAGTTCGATTCGATTTTCAAGGGATTTGAATGGAGTGTTAACAGTGTTGCCAACTCGTTAGAATCGCCACTGCCCAGATCCGGCAGGGGAGGCTACGACAGAGTCAACAGAATCGGACTAGGATCCCGAGTCCAGTGGCAGTTCTTGGAAGTTGGCTACACTGTTTTTTCTCCATGTAAATGTATGTTAAACGATTAATCGATTCAGATTCGATTTTCAGTGGATTTGAATGGAATACCAACAGTGTTGCCGACTTGCTGGAATGGAGATGTTGCATGTGTGAGAAATTTGCGATTTGACTGTTGTTGATTCTTACGTAAAAGTTCGCAAGAAACACGATGGTGCCACTGGTTTTCTCTGAAATCAACTCCCAAGCTCAAAAAAAGCTTTCAAGTTGAGGCCGAAATGGAGGAGATATCCCACGCTATCCCGAGAGTCCACCTCTACATCAAGACCAACTCTCCATACACAGATGGGAGCAAATACATTGACAGGACTGCCACCTTATTTAAGGACTCTAAAACTGAAATCACAGCAACCCTGTCAATGTATTTCCTCCCTATCTTCGCATGGAGAGTTTGTCTTGATGTAGAGGTGGACTCTCAGGATATCGAGGGATATCCCCTCCATTTTCGCCTCAACTTGAGAGCTTTTTTTGAGCTTGGGAGTTGATTTCAGAGAAAACCAGTGGCACCATCGTGTTTCTCGCAAACTTTTACATAAGAATCAATAGTCAAATTGCAAATTCCTCACACATGCAACATCTCCATTGGAGATAAGCCCGGGAAAGTATTGAGTTAATGGACAACAGGGCTCATCATCGAGTGTAGTTACGCCCATATATCAGGAAGGCGACGAAGAGATGAAGAGCGGCGCTTACTACCATTTGAGAGAATGACCACTCTCCCTTTGACGCCAGTGATTTGGCCATACGATAAATCGTCGCTCCTCTGAAGTAAGGGCGGATCTCTATTTCCACAAGAGCCCTAAAAGCATAGGGTTATACGGAACACACGGCTCACATAGAAATCGAGAGACACCCTTGCATCAGAGGAGCGACGAAATATCTAAAAAGGAGCGGTAGAGGTGTGACAGTTGGGGCGCCGCCGGTGTCAGAGTCAGAAATCCTCTGAAGACGTTGATCTAGTGGACCATGCTCCAACTCGCATCGGGTAGATCGACGGTTGTTAAAATTTTGGTTTGTGGCCGTAAGTCATTACTACCCACACGAAAACGCCGAACCTTCTACGGATAACAAGATTAATTAAAACATCTTTCAATTTCCCGTGAGATTTTGAAGAATTCGATGATCGAAACGCGTAAATTCACGTCCAGTCCCGCAAGTCGAGAATCATTTGTTGTCTTCATTGCGACAGGCGTGATGACATAATCAAGTTCCTGGCAGGAACGGAGGGTTTGCGATTTGATTATCTACGTTCATGATTAATATTCTGCGAGAAACACCATGGTGCCACCCGATATGGCAAAAATCAACTTTCGCGAGCTCATAAAAAAAAAAAAAAAAAAAAAAAAAAAAAAAAAACTCTGAAAGTCGAGTTGATACGACAATGGTGGAGTACACATGATTTTTGGATAGTCCACTTACATACTCGGTCATCTTTATGCAAGGGGAAAAGAGCCCGTTGGCAGAGTTGTCATAAATAAGAGCTGCACATTGCATAAGTTATACAAAAAAAAGAGAGTTTAACCGAAAACGAATGTGGGCTCTCCTGACATCAATGGATTCGGACCATCATCGCGCCTCAAGTTTATGAGCTTTCCATAAACTTGGGAGTTATCAAGATACATGAATGCTGAAAAAACGACACGTAAAAACGAGTTAAACCAGGAACTGTGAAAGTAAGAATTGTGTACTTTACAGTTCTACTGAAAATGCAAAACAGAAATTAGTTTGTGGAAAGAGGGGTTAAAGTTCATTTTCAACATCGAGCCTCATAAAGGAATAAAACTTCAAACCTCTTTATCTCAATTCAGCTTATGAGGGTTGGTTCCTTTCTGATGAACTCTGTCCATTTTCCCCCCGAAAACATGAGCGTCCAATTTATGCTCGAAATTCTGCTGTTTCTTGCGTGTCAAAGAAGAAAAGTTAGTGGAATTTTCAGTTTAAATTATCCAACGATATCCCAGCATAAGAACAATGTGCGGACGGAACTTACGATGCAGCGTTACGATGCAGTTACATTCCTTTTTTCTGAAAAACGATGACTTGCCGTTACGGAAACGGCAGCCCGAGAGAGGACTACCGGGGGTTAACTGGGGTCGGAGAAACTACTCCTCTCGGACTTTCTCGGATGCACCTAGCTCGCGACGCACAGTGGATCGAGTCAATTAGAGAGGGCGGACACTCAATTTTTGACTAAAACTGCACATTTTTATGTATGTTCATTTCCCCAAATTTAAAGCTTAAACAGGGTGTCTACTAAAACAGACTGGCCAAAAATCAGTACTTTTACAGTAATTTTTCAGTACATTCCCAAGAAACTCAGTATCTCCTCAACAGAAAAAGTCAGTACTTTTTCAATACCTTTAACTGACGAAATTCGTAAAATTTCAAGAATTGGAATTTCCCGCTCAAATTGCGACAAAAATGAGAAAAATTCCGGTCTTTCTTGCAAAATTTTTCAGTGCTTCCGAACCGCCCTTGAAATATCAGTACTATTTCCAGACTTACCGGAAATTCAAAACTTGTAGACACCCTGGACACGCAATTTTTGACTAAAACTGCAAATTTTTATGTTTCTTTCGCCACATTTTAAGCTTATAGTGGTGCATCTCGAAGCAACTTTCACGAGGAAACCAGTGGAACCACTTTTAGAACTTCAAAGTTTCGTATAAACAGAGTTATGAGCATTTAAAGTTTTCTAATTTTGTCCGACTTCTCCTATCGACTCGATCCATTGCGCGACGATCCAAGTTTCCGGTCTTTCGAAGCCCAGCTCGGCAACGCGTGGAACCGCCGACCCCTGGAAAAAAAGCCGAGAGACCGGACCGGCAACATCCAGACGCGTTGGTCGTTGGTATATGGGCAGGATGATACGACCCGACCAGGAGCCACAAGCAAGAACAAAAGGGAATCCAAGCAGACATGATCCGCCGGATAGACGACGCACGACGCACAGTGAGACAAGTCGGTGGTAGAGCTCCCACATGATGTACAAACTTTAAAAGCTCATGCTGCCTTGCAAGAAAGAACGTCGTATGAGCCTTCGGACATTGCAATATTTTCTTCGACAAAAACGAGAAATTGTCCTTTACATGATGCTATGTTGAGGATCTCCTCGAACATTATTTCTTAAACACGGCGTAAACCATTTGGGGCCTCCCAAGGAAAGGAGCTGTTTAACAGGGGGTCTAGTTTTTTTTTCTTTTCACTTGAGGAAGTTCTAATGAAATCCTGATTTTTGACTACTAAATCCTAATTTCATAATTTTTCTAAATCCTGATTAAATCCTAATTAAATCCTGATTTCTTGCGGAGAAACTTTAGCTTTACAAAAATAGCTCGATAAAAAAAATTCGATCGAACGGCCGACTTTTCCCAAATCCTGATTTTACGACCGATTTTTCCTCAAATCCTGATGAAATCGGGAAAATCCTGATGATAGACACCCTGGTTGAAGGAACGACTAGAAATACGACCGTATATCATCGCTAAGGTGGATCTTCAACACATCGGAGAACAATTCTATAGTCGATCGATCAAGTATGACAATACCTGGATTCTTAGGCATTTCTTCAGAATTTCCGAGCACCCAATCTTTCACGCTGAAGATCTTCAGATTTTAGGGTCTTAAGGAATTTTTATTTCGATTCAGGTTCTCCAAAGTTCTGAAGATCCGTCGTAATACATAATTCCAAAGTTTAAAAGAAGGCTCAGCACTTTGGAGAACGATTCGATAGTCGATCGATCAAGTGAAAGTACCGGGATTTTGGGGGCATTTCTCAAGAATGTCCGAGCATCAAACCAGGCTGAAGAACTTCAGGTTAAAGGGGTTTCAGGGGTTTTTAATTCGATTCAGGTCCTTCAAAGTACTGAAAATCCGTCTAAATACATAACTCGGAAGTTTAAAAGTGGGTTCATCCCTTGGTTTTCTCAAAAAATTTCCTCCAGACGCACCACTCGAAATTTAGAATTCGACGGAATAGACGACAAAATTTGCAGTTTAGGTCAAGGGCCCAAATTTTGTTGGCAGAGTTACGGTCGGCCGCAAGTTGAGGCAAGGATGTTGACTTAGTTATTCAGTCGCTGATTAATGGTTTGCACCGTCAACAAACTAAAGATGATTCGACCCTGCTGTAAAAAAAGCTCAACTTGCGCACAGCTTGAGTTCAGAATATAATTATTGCAATTTACAGTCGGATTTTGAGGTTAGGTTCTCAACTTGCGGTCGGCCGGAAACCAACATGATTTGGGCCAAGAATTTTATATTTAAGCTCTTAAACGGCTCGCTTTACTGTGCGACGCGGAAAAGGAGGAGAGGGGTGAGCGACAGAGCATAAAAAGCTTACTCACTTGATGCTTTCGTCGCCCGACGAATATTCGGGGTCCGAACAAGAGCTCCGCTGCGATTGGTAGCCTCTGGCGCACTCCTCCCAGGATGTTGACACGCATCTCGGCTCATCTGCACAAAAGAAAAGAAAACAAACGTTACAGGCACATCCAAAAACGCAACGAGAAAATCATACTCACACTAAAGTTCTTCCACACGTCAGGGATTTGTGATTTAAGTACTTCCTCTTACGTACAATTTCGCGAGAAACACGATGGGTCACTGGTTCCCTCTGAAATTAACGCCTAACCTCAAAAAAAGCTCTCAACGGGGTGTCTACTAGAACAAGCTGGCCAAAAATCAGTACTTTTACAGTGCTTTTTCAGTACATTCCCAAGAAATTCAGAACCTCCTCCACAGGAAAATTCAGTACTTTTTCAGTACCTACCTCCAATTGACGAAAATCGAAAAATTCCAAAAATTTAAATTTCTCGCCCAAGTTGCGACAAAAATGACACAATCCCGGACCTTCTGCGGAATTTCCGCACTTTTCCAGTACTTTCGGACCGCCCTTGAAAAATCAGTACTTATCCGGACTTCCCTGAAATTCCGGACTTGTAGACACCCTGCTCAAAGTTCAGGTCGTAACGGGGGAGATACACCACGCGACGTCGAGAGCCCACCTCTATAACTAGTCGAACTCTTCATAACCAAATAGAGATCAAATACATTAGCAGGGTTGCCGTGGTTTTGGTCTTGGATCCCCCTTGGTTGGGGTTTTAGGTTTGTGGTTGCTAATGAATTTGCTCTCTATATCTGTGCGTGAGTTTGACCAGATAAAGTATGAACTCTCAACAAAGCGTGGGCTATCCTCTACATTAGGCCTGAACTTCAGAGCTTTTTTGAGCGTAGGAGTTGATTTAAGAGAAAACAAGCGGCACTATTGTGTTCCTCGCAAAATTTTACACAAAGAAAAGCATTTGAATTCCAAACCCCTGACGCATGCAACAACTCCATGCAATCGTTAATTTCGAAAAGGTGTGAACTCTAAAAACAAAACTTTTCCGGAGGGATGAGAAACTATGCATGAGACGGAAAGGTTCACTTAATGAAAAAGGTCTTGGTGTTAAAGGTCTATCTATCGTTAAGAGACTTCGTTGACGCAAAAGTTGCAGGACATCCGTCATATTTTTTTATAGAAGAAACTGAATTTTAAACTTTCAGAGCTGGTACCTTTTTGAAACAAACGAGATTGAGGCGCTGGAATTTCGTCCAAAAATTGAGAAAATGATGCATATTAATTGATAATTTTCATTTCTTCAAATGAACTATGTGCATAGAAACAAATTGAACAAAAAAATCTCGACAACATTCCCGAGTTCGATATGCTCCAAAATAACGTGGAACCGAACGAATGTCGATGACAAAAGTTACCCGAGCATGAATTTAAGAGAAATGCAATATTACTCCTCGACGCTGGCAATAATGTTTGGTCTTAGCAAATATTCCTCAATTTTGGAAGCTGCAAACCCGAAGGGGGTCGGAAGGGAAGGGGAGAGTAGGCAGTCGTCAACAAGTGGGTGGGTCTTGGGACGATCACAGGCGTATCATTACATCGTTGTCATATTTCCTAAAATTCAAGACGTAATACCAGAGTAAAATGATCCGAAAATCTTGCTTCATTGAAACGTCATTTTTGAATGTGCTTGCAACTACGGTACGGTGCGATTCTTTTGATCATGTTATATGTTTCCCTGCGTAACGTTAATTTGCGATTGCTGTTGAAGAATGGCTGCGAAATGTTAGTCGAAAGAAGCTATGATACATGGATTTCGTTAGAGTACCTATATTAAGAGAGTATGGCCACTGGTGTTACCACCTCTGATTGGCTCAGCCATCTTAGGCTGAATGCAGCCCTTAGGACCCAATAATGGCGGACGCCATAAATTAATGTAATGCAAAATGACTCAAAATGTAGTTTTCTTTGCTTATCGTAACGAGAAATTAACCCAAATGCACTATTGCGACTTCTTTACATATTTTTAAGGCTAATCGTGTGCAATTTTTGAGAAAAATTATCTTAGATGTAGTAAGGTTGGCAGCAAGTGCAGTTGGTGATAACCGTCAAAAGTTGGCAATGACCCCCCCCCCTCCCATCCACAAAAACCAAAACAAAGCACCGCCATTTTTGGGTCCTAAGCCTCTCCATGGGGCCCAGTGGCCATACTCTCTCAATATAGGTACTCTAGATTTCGTGATTAACGGGCGAGCTGGCAACACTGGTATTGTGTTTCTAAACACTGCTGCGTTTCGCTGCTTGCTCGTCTGTATAACAGTGGTTCTCCCACACAAAAATCCAGATTTTAAATCTGCAATCCGCTCGGGGACTCGGCTTTTGTTCCAAAGCTCACGGGACTTTGTGCCTCGGTAATTTTTTTGGTTCCAATGAGCTTCATCCGCGTACATTCAATTCTTTTACATCCAAACGAAGAAACATTATTTGACTCCTACTATACCTGTCTGAAGAATGGGTCGAAAATTGAATGATCAAAGTGTCTACTAAAACAGGCAGTCAAAATCAGTTCTTTATTTCTTACATTCTCAAGAAATTTAGGACCTTCTCCACGGCAAATCTGGCAAATTCGGTACTTTTTCAGTACCTCCATTTGACGAAATTCAATATTACTCGCTCGAATTGCGACAAGAATAGGAAGAAAATGAAAAAAAAAATCTGGATCTCCTTGCGGTATTCCGTACTTTTTAGTACTTCCGGACCGCCCTTAACAGATCAGTACTATTTCCGGACTTTCCGGAAATTCTGGACTTGTAGACAACCTGAGTCCCTGATGATGTAACAAATTCAGAACTTGCTGAGCACTGCACCATCAGAAGTTGCGAAGATTGTGCTTTAAGTTACTAATTTTACAAGAACGTGGGTGCATTCGCTTCATGAACTTATTAATCAAAAGTTTTTTCTTAATTTTAGTCTTATTTTCGTAATGAGTATCGTAAGTAGACTCTACTAAGTAGAAACCCTACAGTTGGTCCAGCATTTTTCTTTTTAGATTGTAACACCGGTTACAACCGATTTGAATTCCGAGTGCACACTATAACAGTGCATACGATCAGCATTGCTTTGTCATAAACAGAATTTGAGAGCGGAAAGGATCTAGAAGTATTAAGAGGGGGCTATGCTAGGAGCAAAAGCTACAGCTTTGGGACAAATTAGTAGCGGTTAAGTTTAATCAGGGTTCATTAGGAAAATTACTGTTGAAAATACCGTGCAGTCGGTCTAATTTTTCGTCCATTACGAAATTGTAACACAGTTGCCAAGATGCATGTCGGAAAAAGTGTAACGTGGTTCTTCGTCGTTAGTAAGCGTACGGATATGTTTAAAATCGATTTTTGGAGACACGACTCAATAACTGCACGCGAACTTTCTGAGGAAAATACGCGTTTTTTAAAATTCATGCATGGATGGATTCAGTTAGCTAATTCATGCACGTCAAGACGTTATGAAGCGTTTAAGATTGCCGTGCTATGGAGAAACGCCGTATGAATAATCTTCAGATGTTGACAAATCCCCCCCCTCCCCGAAAAAATAATTATTTTTGAAGAAATTTTTCCCTTAAAATTCATTCATTTCCTTGTAAAACATTTTTCCTTGTAATTTTCAGATATCTTAGATCTTAGATAAGATTGAAAAGCGAGCAAAGTTGTCTGAAAAATTTGAAGAAAAATATTCACAATTATCCCTGTAAACTCGTTTTTTTATTGGAGGAAATATTGCTACATCTAAAGGTTCATACGACGTTTCTCCTTAGTAAGTACTGTAGTACAAACATTTGAACTTGTGAAAAAGGCATATTGTTAAAAAGGGACGCGTACGAAAATAGAGAAGAAGGAGGTCACGACACATAATAGGCTAAAGTGAGTGACACGCAGGAACCACCCGAGACTAAAATGCCGAGGCTCTTAGAGATGGATTCATTCCACTCGACGTAATTTTTGCTACCACCGTTTAATCAAACAGATTTAGCTGCCAAAAGGTGAGAGAAAAAAGTTCTATCTCCTCCCTCAAGCGATCGTTTCGACAAATAAAATCAATAGTCTTCAACTTCGAGCAATTGAGGCGGGGCCTGGGCTTGGAATTACCCTAATTCCAGCACAGAGTTTGGTGTTCGATATCCATCTAACTATGTGGTTTGTCGAACTGAATCTTCGATTCGTGTAACGGAACCTCATGTGTCAGTTCAGTCAATCCAAAAGATCAATCACAAAAGCGGAACATGTAGTTTGACAAATCGAAAAGCTTTGAGTAAACCAATTAGTCCAGGGAACAGCGAACTTGAGTTCATAAGATCGAACCTTTTTTCAGCGTCATCATCATCATCATCATCATCATCATCATCATCATCATCGTTAGCGGCCCCTCGAAAGTTCGACCGGACCAGGATACTACTGACGAGCAGTTCCATGCTACGGTAAAATGCCGTATGAACATTCGAACATTGCCAAATTTCTCCGGATAAAAAGTTTACTTTAGAGGAAAGTTATGCCTTGAAATGAGGGGTACGATAAGTGTCATTTTGACTACATTTTACAATTAGGAGCTACAATTTCTGACTCAGTTTAGAAACAAAGTGTGTACGATTAGTTTCCCCAAAAGGATACGTCTTTTTACGAATGCGGCAGAATTTTTAGTCCCTAGTTGCAAAAAAAAATATTTTGAAAGAGAGTTATGCCTTGAAGAAGGGGTACGATAAGGGCCATTTGGACCACATTTTACAATTAGGAACTACAATTTCTGGCTCAGTTTAGAAACAACGTGTAAACAATTATTTTCCCCATGTGCATAAGTCTTTATAAAATTGCGCCGGAACTTGTAGTTCCCAATTTCAAAATGTAATTAATTGATGGATCCACCTAAAATTCCAATTCCACGATTTTTTTCTTTATTGAAGATCTATATTTTGCCTAAAGCATCATGATTTGGTCATTGGCGGACTCTTTGAGGGTCAAGCAATGGCCTACACATGGGTCTGTGTAGCGATTTTGGCGAAAGATGCGGGCATGACCCAAGATGGCGCGCATGGTTGCCACAGAATTTAGAATATTAAATTCCCTGACAT